ATATTATAGGTAAAACAATTGCAAAAATCTAAGAGAAATGAAAAAATTAATATGTTTAAATAATTATTTATCTTTAGAGTTTGAAATGGTAACATGTTCCATTAATTTTAATCAAAATTACATTGATACACATTTTATATTGATCAAGATCGTTAATTTCAATATAAGGATTGGTTTAATAATTATTATAAATGTTGCACAAAGTAATTCTGAAAACCAAAATTTACAGTTGGATCTTAATAATAGTTTCAGGAATAATAGCCGTGCTGGCTTGTATATTGGCTGGTTAAGTGAGTGATTATGAAGTGAAAATTTATGGAACTCTTTATGCAATAACAGCATTTATTTTTATGGCAATCAACACCATTGTATTCTATAGATTATAAGCGATTAATCTGATCAATGCAGAGATCAATAATTCTAATTGCTTTTCTTCATGGAAGGTACTTTACAACTCAATTTTAAATAATTCAGATTTGTGGTTTTCAAAATATGTGTTAAAATGCTTAGTTGTCATATTATTCCATAGTACTCTTAGTTTCATAACGAGATTGAAATATCATAATGATACATTTGAGTTCACATAAAGTATTTCATAATTAAAGTAGATATATCAATTTCAATTGTACTTTTTATAGTCATGTTTATTTTCGGATTCTTATTGCAATTTTACTTGGTTGTGCAGCTGATATAGATGTTGGCTGATTTTAAGGATTATTCTAGGGAAATAGTCTTCACTTTTCACCTTAAGGAAACCTTTTAAGAGGAGAAACAGTATAAAACTGGAATTACGATGATTGCAATGATCTTTATGCTTGGTTCTATTGGATATTACGGAGTGAAACTGGCTTTGTATATATTGATAGCTAAGAATAATGAAGAAATAAATACAAAAGTATTTTCAATCATAGTGTCAATTCTAAATATAAGTTGCATAATATTATGTGCAAGAATATATCTATAACTTAAAACCATCTATCATCAAATTCCAGATATTTAAGATGTGATTATCTATAGTTATAATATTCCATGCTTCACAGGATGGTTTATTTTGGTAAGATCTCTAGTTTTTTCTAACAAATTTAGATTCTGGAGGAACCTAACATTTATTTTTTTGTACATCTAAACTATTTATGGAATGATCAAATTTCCTTTTTATAAAATATATGATGTTACAATAGAATAAATGTTCAGTCTTGAATCTTATTTATATTGTGATACAGCTATAATAGTGGCATTAATGTTTTGGTAGTTTATCGAACAATTTGCCAGAGTCATTCACCAAGTTAAGAGAAAATATATTGTTTATTAATTTGAGGATCAAAGTGTATGTTAAAATATTTATAATAGCAAAATATCATTCAGCCAGTTTCAATAGATGTATAAACAGAGGAGTTAGGCAGAATTCAAAATTAGTCAATCATAGATAATTTAGTGGAGAATGCCTAGTAAGATTATGGAGAGTGTTGTTTTTGTTTGGATCAAATTTCAAAAGGTTAAAGAGTTCATAAATTAAAATGCCATGCTACTCATATTTTCCACTATTACTGTATGTCAAAATGGTTAGCTAATCATAATAATTGTCCTTTATGCTAATACATTATAAACTGAATTGATTATTTTTTATTAATTATATGCATAATTACTATTTATACATTAAATAAATAATATTATTAAAATGAGATAATTTACATTTTGATTATAATATTTCAACATATTATCTGTTCAATAATATGTATACAAATATATCAATAAGCTATTGCCAAATAGGATCTAACTGAAAAGCACAAATCTCGGAAATGGGATATATTTCTGATAGGGAATCAAAATAAATTAAAAGCAACTGAAGAATAGAAAGTACAATCTCAATGTTTTGAGTGAAACATTGATGCAATATTCATGTAACAAGGCTGTTACCAAATAAGTCATGATGAGTGCCTTTGTATTCTCTCCCTTTTTGCTTAACCTTTAATAAATATTGATTTTAAGAAAATTGTGGACTTGCTTATTCCATTTTCTATTTAATTATCCAAAGCCATCAGCATTCCACCAATCTTCATAGAAAATGACATTTTCAACTTTGGTGATTTCCTTGAATAAACCCAAAAGATAGTCAAAAATTAGATAGTGATTGACAACAATAAGAATGCCAAGTCGAAATGAATAATTTATGATAAACTTGGCTAAGTCATCATGCATATAATTAGGTTTTATTTCATACGTAATATAATAAAAGTCCCATAATATTATTAATGCGGAATTAATGATACATTTGAATATTTAAATATAGTTTCTTTGTTTCTTGAAAACCATTTAGTTAGGCTAACAAACCAAACATGGTACCCAAAGATATTTATTGTATTCAATAATGTCCAGTTTTTCTTCACTAATTATGTACGAGTACATTTTCATGCTAAATCAATAGTATCAAATCCTCACCTAAAAATGCATGCTACGCAAGTTGAAAAAATGGCCTCCATTATAGTTGTTTCAATCAATGCGCTGATTATTAATGGTGATAGCATAATAAGATATGAAATTATCTTCCTGTTGATAAAGAAATGGGGTAAAAAGGATATTAAATAGTAAAGGGGCCATAAGAGCAATATAGTGAGATCAGTGTTTGGGAACGGATAATTATATACTAAATAAAGTAGGTGATATATCCAAATAATTAAAATAAAATCAAACATTATATTAAATATTGTTTCCGCGAAGTAATTTTTCTGTTTCCACTCTCAATTTCTCTGTTTTCTTCTCAAAATTATCTAAATATTGTAAAAATTGCATTGTATCCTTCTGTTGATCCTCACTCTCCTCTGTTTTCTCATCTATCTATTCAAGGATGTATGGTTGGTTAAGCTCTTGAAGGTATTAAAAGAATTAATCTTATTATTCCTTTAATAAAATTGCCTAATTTTAAATCAAATTTGAATTATACTTCATGATCACTCCTTTTCTCCAAATATTGCCTGCAATCAATGAGTAATTTCAGCATTTTCTCTTGTAGGTTTGGAACCTCAGCTGATTACTACTATGGTTGTTGTTGTTCGAAACAGAGACTATCTTTTTTGGAAGTTGGAGGACGAGCATTCTCCTTCTAATCACTCAAAACCAGATATCTATTTAATTTAGGTAAGGGACCTTCAGGAGGCCTTTTATCAAAAGGTTCTGAGAGTGTTCCCTTTGACACTTGATTTAATAGGATGCGAGCATATAGATTTCGATTCTTTTTCCAAACTTCGTTGGTAGTCACCTAGCATAATTTCTTGGTCCAAGCTTCAACTCTAATTTTCTAATGCTTATTAAGATTTTGATAGGCTTCTTCAATAGAAAGCATCACTTTAATAAATTCCTCATCCATAATGACTGTTAATATATTTTATATTTATCAATATCATTCATATTCCAAATTTAATTAAGCTCTTTAATAGAATGATCAGATAGTTCTCACTTATTAACATCAATTTATTATATTTATGTATTTAATAATTCAACTATGATCAGTGACTAAGAAGCTTGTATTACCAAAGTCCTCTTTCAAAGGATTATACCCAGATTTAGTCGTCGTCCAAGAATTCTAAGAAAATTACTCAGCAAATTAGTATGCCTTGAAGACTTGAGAATCCATCCCTAAAATTTGTTTAACCATATATTAGACAAAATTGAAATCTGTGGGAAAGAAGATATCTGCAGCTCCCCTTTCTACCAAATATGTCTCATAATCTAATCTCTCATGAGGTTACGCCAATTTCTTAGACACAATCGGAGCATTAATAGATTCTTGGGTGAAGTTATTTTTGAGTAAATCAAAGTCTGCAATCACTAAGGAAGGGTTATGAAAATTAGATTTGATGTGTTTCAATACTTATAATGCTCCTGTTGGTAAAAATATGCTGTTAGACTCTTAATTATTTGTTATATTACTTTCTAATTTCCATAATATTTACTAATCACTTTTCTTAACGTATTAAATAAGAATCGATCCTCAACATTCTCATCTTAATTGTTGTTTTGTTATTTAAATTCCTGATACATAGCATAGACCTCTTTGATTAATGGATCACTGATTGTCTCAGTAAACTCTTTCATGTTTTCAACATAAACCTATTTCCCATCAATTACTTTGTCATGGGCAAGGTTATCAAAAACCTCAAGAAATACAAAAAACCACATTTCATTATTCTAAGTATGCTATTTGTAATTCAAAAAGTCCTAATTAAATATTCTTAAATTTCCTTTTTTGATCTATTGTTTGAAATCTTGAGACAGCCTTATTTCTGCTTAAGCACATGCCTCTGGTGAGATATCAACTAAGTGATATTCCATATTTGAAAATATTTGAGGTTAGTGATTCCTCATATAATATAAGACCCCTTCACAAGCTGCACCATATCCGGCACCAATTTCTACAATTCTCAATTTCTCTTTGCGAGTGAATCGAAATTATTAATTTATATAATTCCCCAGCGTTATCCCATAATACGGTCTGAATACTTCTGATGGAGTCAACCATTAATTTTCAGGATAATTTTCTGCCAACTTTTTTGTATAATCCTCATAGCCTAGCAATTACTTAAATTCAATTGGTTTTTTGAGTGCTCCAAGCTGAATATTCTTAACAAAATATCCCTCCACTGGATGATAGAGACGATCATAAATAAAATCTCTGACTAGCATTCTCTTCATTTGATTATATATTTATTGATTAATTAAAACTAATTAAATTGATAATATTTGAATAATTTAAGCATTATTTATTCAATTGAATTAGAAGAAAAGCAAAAAAATTTTAAGTATTTTAAAGTGAATTATTTTTGATATATATTAATAAGAGTATGTAATATTATCAAGAAATAAGAGATGATATAATTTAAATAGACACTTGATATCTGAGTCGAAGCATTATAAAATTAATAAATGATGGCAACAAATAAAAAAATAGAATTTAAAATATAAATATTTTGCATATAATATTTGTAAATTCATTAATTAATCTAATGAACTATTAATTATCAATCTTATTTGAGGCCTTGGATACTAATTCAGGGAAAGTATTAGTCTCCGAAAAGAAGGACCAAAATACCAAAACCAAATATTATGCATTTTAATTTCTTAAGCCAGAGATTCTTAGACAATATTTGCTGTAATATGACACAGCTCTTAAATAATCAAAATACAATTATTTATTTAGATAATATTAGGAAATGCATCTAGGAAATCCACACCTCCATCTATTTCAATATTACGAAGATGGTAAATTTTTGGATCAATATGTGATTGATAATGGCAAACAAAAATAATCTTTTAATTATTAATAATTAAATTCATACCTGAAATAATTGCTAATAGCATTGTATGAATTGCATTCTAAGTAAATACCTGGAAGGATCTTCTCAATTTACAACATTCTAGTTGTTTAAGAAAGACTTGTTTTAATGGATTTTGGATTTGGACCAGATATTAAGCAAGATAATTTAGATATACTGGCACCTCCTGAATGTTTAGAAGAAATAATTAATCGCAGTAATATTTTATGTATGCTTTAGATGAAAACTAAAGAGATTTCGATTTAAAATTTGATTCTTGGTTGCTGGGAGCAATATTGTATCACTTAATAAAATTTAGATCGATAAATTAGGTTGAACTCTAAAAGGATAAATATCAAAGATATAAATATAATAGAATAGAAAAATATTATGAATATCTAAAAACACTTGATTATATTCCATGTTAAACTGGTAGATACAATTAAAAATTACTCTCCTTTGTTGAATCTTTGCTTACTTGTAACAAAGATAAGCGATTATCATTTTTACAAATTTATCAACATGAATACATTGCCAATCTTTAACTTGAAAATATAAAGGAATATCTAGACTTTTATTCAAAATGTCAATCCATTAAGGACTTTGAAATTGGGGTTATGACTACTGAAGGTTTTCCTGCTGTTACTTCAGGATTATCTTCAAGTAATCCAAAAATTCGTATAATAGATTCTGTAGAATCTTATGTTGTTATAAAACAAAATAGTCCTTCTCCTAGGACTAATAGTAAACCACAAGTTTATATATAACCANTAATATTTGAATAATTTAAGCATTATTTATTCAATTGAATTAGAAGAAAAGCAAAAAAATTTTAAGTATTTTAAAGTGAATTATTTTTGATATATATTAATAAGAGTATGTAATATTATCAAGAAATAAGAGATGATATAATTTAAATAGACACTTGATATCTGAGTCGAAGCATTATAAAATTAATAAATGATGGCAACAAATAAAAAAATAGAATTTAAAATATAAATATTTTGCATATAATATTTGTAAATTCATTAATTAATCTAATGAACTATTAATTATCAATCTTATTTGAGGCCTTGGATACTAATTCAGGGAAAGTATTAGTCTCCGAAAAGAAGGACCAAAATACCAAAACCAAATATTATGCATTTTAATTTCTTAAGCCAGAGATTCTTAGACAATATTTGCTGTAATATGACACAGCTCTTAAATAATCAAAATACAATTATTTATTTAGATAATATTAGGAAATGCATCTAGGAAATCCACACCTCCATCTATTTCAATATTACGAAGATGGTAAATTTTTGGATCAATATGTGATTGATAATGGCAAACAAAAATAATCTTTTAATTATTAATAATTAAATTCATACCTGAAATAATTGCTAATAGCATTGTATGAATTGCATTCTAAGTAAATACCTGGAAGGATCTTCTCAATTTACAACATTCTAGTTGTTTAAGAAAGACTTGTTTTAATGGATTTTGGATTTGGACCAGATATTAAGCAAGATAATTTAGATATACTGGCACCTCCTGAATGTTTAGAAGAAATAATTAATCGCAGTAATATTTTATGTATGCTTTAGATGAAAACTAAAGAGATTTCGATTTAAAATTTGATTCTTGGTTGCTGGGAGCAATATTGTATCACTTAATAAAATTTAGATCGATAAATTAGGTTGAACTCTAAAAGGATAAATATCAAAGATATAAATATAATAGAATAGAAAAATATTATGAATATCTAAAAACACTTGATTATATTCCATGTTAAACTGGTAGATACAATTAAAAATTACTCTCCTTTGTTGAATCTTTGCTTACTTGTAACAAAGATAAGCGATTATCATTTTTACAAATTTATCAACATGAATACATTGCCAATCTTTAACTTGAAAATATAAAGGAATATCTAGACTTTTATTCAAAATGTCAATCCATTAAGGACTTTGAAATTGGGGTTATGACTACTGAAGGTTTTCCTGCTGTTACTTCAGGATTATCTTCAAGTAATCCAAAAATTCGTATAATAGATTCTGTAGAATCTTATGTTGTTATAAAACAAAATAGTCCTTCTCCTAGGACTAATAGTAAACCACAAGTTTATATATAACCAACTTCTAATGTTTTGGATGCACAAGGTTATCCTAATTTCTTGAATATCATAATGAATACGCCTTAATTTCAAATTCCAAACTTTAATATCTATTGGCTGAAAATTTAATTAGATTGCTTTAAATGCCATATGTTAAAATAAACAGCAGAGAAGATTATGAATGTTTTACCAAAATATAAACATCCCTACCAATAGGTTTTGGTATATCTTATTTAAAAAATGAATTTGATAGTTTTAAGGGAAATGGACAATGATTTGAAATCAAATTCATATTTTTAAAATTAATATGATAAATAATGGGAAGCCTTTTTGAATACATATGGGAAAGATTTACCTAGATCTGATTCAATATCTTCCTATTAGAAATCATTATAACATGAGATAGCAACCCTTTATTATAATTGTGAAGTTTACTTCGAAGATGACTCTTGTAATCTTTCTCCCTCAACCAAAAAATCAATCGAGGATGACAAGATTCAAAATTTTAAAATGTTAAATAATTCATAAGAATTCTTTTAAGATAATTATAAAGACGAGCTTGAAGCGTTTCTTTAATTTATAAATTCAAAAATAACTTCAAATAATAACTTAGAAGAATTAAATTAATTAAAGCAATTAATTTATCATTGTTTACAAATTACGACTTCAATCAAATTAGATAAATTTTAAGAAACATTTGCAGCACTTGCAAAATAAAATCAAAAAGTATAGCCAAAAGATTTAGCTTAATATCTTGGTATTAACAATTGAAAGAATTATGATCTAATATCAGAAAATTTAAATATAATTATTTAATAATCAGAATATAATTGATTGATAGATTGGATTATTATCACTATCACCCAGAGCAAATTTTTTAATTATATAATATACTATTCTTTAATTTCTATCTTTGTATGCTTCTTTTTATAGCATTACTCTGACAAAACCAAAAATAGGGAATCTAAAATGGAAATCAGAGATAATAAATGGGGATTTTCGTAATATTAATTCTTTATTTATTTTGTTCATTAGATTGTAGTTTATTCTATATAATATTAATTTATAAGTGATTATCATAATCTTTAAATTTATTTAATTAAATAATATTCCATAATGAATCGTCTTTTTGGTACTTCTAAATAAGAACCCCCCAAACAATAGCCACCTCCCCCATAAAATCCATAACAACCTAAGGTTTTAGACTTGACAGAACAATAAAAAAGAGTATATTTCATTTACTATAGTAGTCCGAAGCAAAAGTTAAGGAGTTGACTGAATAAATTTAAGAAATAGACAAACAGATAAGCGAACAATATTACAAAGCCAAAAACTCTAAGGGAGTTCAATAAACAACAGCCAAGTCAAGAGCCGTCATGCTTCTCAAGAGAAAGAAGATGTATCTACATAACTTAAGATTAGGTTGGAATAATAATTAGGATAAATGCTCAATAATTAAATGACCTTAGATTAAGTGGCTTTCACTAAAGAAAACATTTAAAATACACTTGAAATGGTACTTTATTTCCTTTTTATATCAGGCTTAAGCGATGTAATAGGTAGTTGCAGTTCAAAAAGAAGCATTCAAAGAAATCGATATGGACAAACTGGATGGTATCAAATATGATTAATACCAATAGACCTCATGGATGATATGGAAGATATGAAGTTTGAAACAGACTACATGAATGATATGATGAATAGAAATTATGGATGTGACATAGATGAAAGTGAATTAGATAGGGAAATGGCAGAAATCGAAAACGACATGAATTACAATGCTTTTTAACCTCAATAATAATAGTAACAAGCCTCCTATTAGGTATTATTTTTAAATTTAAACCTAGAGTCTGATGGGCTAGAAACAAGTTTATAATCCTTAAACCAATTGATTGACATTATAATTTATATTATTATATTGTTATAATTAATCAATTCTATTTAACATCTTATAATAAATTCATCCAATTGTTTCATAGATCTTACATATGTTAATGACTAGCATTATAGTGACTTTATTTAATTCAATTCTGATATGACAATTACAATTGAAATTTATTTAATTAATAAATAGTAATTCTATCTTAATTCTTATTCACATAAAGAAGTATTCTTAAAAATAAATTGATTAACATTAACAATAAAAATGTTTAATCCATATGAAGATGTCCTGAAATCTAATAAAAGAAATGACACTCTACATATGTTCTTATTATTAATATAATATTAGTAAATGCTTATACATAATTCTTTTTAGAATTTATTAGATGAGTATTATTTATTTTCTTATAATATTTATATCATTTATAATAATAATAATTTATAATAACATTCAAACTCATTGATTTGTAATTTTCATAAGAAAATCCTTGATTTTATCCACTTTCTATTGTAAGGATTGACCATCTTTAAATACAAATTTATCATTTTAAACAACTTCTCTTTTTCCTTCCAATAATGCTTAGATTGAAAGATTATATAATTTTAGTGCATCTAAAATTTACTATTTATTTAAATGAGGCAATTTAATCAATTTTGCTTAAGCCTTAATGTTGGATACTTATTCTTCTATTTCCTGCTTTAACTTAATTTGATTCCATATTTTTGAAGTCTTCTACTCAATGGGAATTTATTGTAATTAAAAGAAATGGCTATGCAAAACATTGGATTCTGTGAGAGCAAGTTTTAGAGATCCAAGAAGGGTTTGTTATTGTAATTTATTTTACTTATACCTCCAAAGAAATATTCTGAGTTTCAACATAATATTTTAGGATTGATAATATTTAGAATATTTATGTATATTAATGTAATTAACATGATATTGTATACTCATTTATAACTTATCAAATATGAACAGAGTTATTAGATAGCTGGAATGATATAGCCTAAAATTTGATGGGTCTTGTATGGTTCCAAATATTTTTAATTTACATATTTGCATTCAACTTTGAATTTATCAAGCAAAATGTATTTGATTCTAATAAAATTTGCAAAGTAAACAAAGGTCAAAATAGATGATTTTCCTAAGAATAGGAATACCAAACTTGCTGGAACCAAAGCTATTTCGATTCTGTATTTTAATACATAGATTTGCTACTATATTGAATACACCTTATCAACCTTACTCTTTAATACTAAAAACATATGTTTATTTATACATTCGTAAATTGGCCCTTGTAACAACAATAAATAAGAGGATAAACCAAGAACAAAGTGTAAAATAAGTGGAACGTTGAAGACTGTCTTGAAAGAGTAAACAAACAAGTATCCAAATAGAAAGAATAGATTGTGTGTAAATTCATTTTTTAGCACTAACTCTCCATATTCTCTAGTCTTTTTTGGAAATTTGCATTGTCTATACAAACCCAAAACACAAGCCACAACAGCAAATTATGTATTGGGACCAATAGGGACGAAAGAAGTTATAATAAATGCCAATTTTAGAAAATTCTCTACACCAAAAAGAATTTTAAAAACAAGGGCTAATATGAAACACACGTATACTTTGTTATCCTAAGTTGAAAGCGCCTCCTTATTGAGAATGAGTCTGATTCTGATGAGTAGTATGGGAATTTGTGTTGCTGATGAATTCGGGATCAAACTCTGGATCGATATTATCCCTATACCAAATTTTCTTAAGTTTCTCAAATCTTTCTTTCGGTCTTATTATTAGTAATTACTATATACATCGTTGGATCTAATTCTTTAATGAAGTCCTTCCAAACTACATTGTTTTCAAAATTAAAATTCTAAAATTGCCTTAACTTTGCTTGATTCATAAATTGTCTGAATTTAATTTATTAAAAAAAAAATGATTCTCAATTTTAAACACATCGTTGCATTTCAATAAAAAAATAAAGTAATGTTGACTACTACGGATAACAACAATAGAATAAATCATGATAAAAGTGATTTTTATTTTGCTAATAATTTTGTCAATTGGAACTTTGACTTTGATTAAAATGCTGCGATAAATCATATTAATATTATCCTTTTATAATACCAAGAAACTTAAGGATTGGAGATCACTTGTGTTGTATTTATTTTACTAATTATTTGATATAATTTAAATGTATTTTAGATGACTCTATATGTATGTACCAGAATGGATAGTAATAATATTAAATAAACTTTTTACATCTATAATTATATATATTATATTGAATTAGGAATGCAAAGTCAGGGGAATTAATAGAAATATGAATCTTCTCATATTCAAAGACCAAGTATTACAATATTTAAGTAATCGACTGAGATGAATATTTAAACAGATGAAGATATTGGTGAATCTGGTTCAGAACCAGAATAAATAATTTAAGAAACGCAAAATAACGATCCCTTACCTTCTGATTAGTACATTTACCTTCACAAATAGAAAAATTCAGCATAATAATTCAGTTATAGAAGATGATAATAACGAAGGTGTGCTCGAAGAAAAGGATTTGAATATTTCAAAGCAGATATTTTTGTCAATGAATTTTAATAACTTAAGTTAGATTAGATTCTCACATTTAGATAAGGAAAAGGTATCTGAGTAGTTTTACTGAGTGTAGAAATTAAGGGCTGAGATTAACCATATAGAAATAAATAACGATATCGTTTATTATCAAATAGAGACCTAGTCATCTTAATTACAGTATGTTGTAAAAGTGAAGAGAAGATACAATGACTTCAAGCTTTTGTTAAGGGAACTGTAAATTCGATTCCCTCAACTCATATTGCCTCAACTACCAATTGGAATAGGAGTGGGAAAACTTAGCAATCGTGATGTAGAGGATAGAAAAAGATTGTTACAGAATGTTATCAATATTATAACTATGCATGAAGAATTGATACTTTCAAGCTCTGTTAAAAATGTATAATTAAACTGACCTATTATTAGTTTTTTGAAGAAGCAGATCAACAGGAATTTGAGAATAAAAGAATGTAAGGCTAATTCAATTTGAAGGGAGGTCTGGCATAAAATCTATAAGTAGTCATAGACAAAAGCATCAAATCACTTGGATAATTAAAAAATTGGTGGAATGGGTCCACATCAAACAAAAAATGCGAAGATTTACAATAAATATAGTTAGAATTGCTAAGATTATATAAATATTAAACTAAATGTTAGAAATTGCTTTTTAGCATATAAGCCTAATAAAGGAAATAACAAAAAATCAAAGATATAATTGCATAATAAGATAGTTAAAAAACGTAATTGTTGATTGAAATAAAACTTCACGATTGTATATTCGATTATGCAAAACATTTGGATTTTTAAACTAATACGTTAGAGGATAAATTTGTAATTAACATGAGTATTTTAGGATTAATTTTATCAGCAGCAAATTTGGCAATTAATGAATGTAATTGAATTTATAGATTATGTTGACATATATTATAAGCATTTAGTTGAATTCATTGATGATCTTAATGAGTAGTTAAATTAGGTTTCTCCAAATCAATAAACGTATTAAAACATGTAATTGCTAGTCATTAAACAATTAAGGATGAGATCAATAAGTACTTGAGTAAAGCTAAAGAGTAATTTTGTAATAAAAAGGATGGCATAATTTCAAAATATTTGGAACTCTAATAAAATGGATTAACATATTTTTACGTGAGTTAGCAATAAGAGATTTGGAATTATGCTTCAGAAATTAACAACAAATTTAATTGATATGGCTTATAATTTTTATTAAATTAAATAATGAAATCGCCAAAATCGAATGGATCATCAAATAATAAATTTACAATCAGTGAATTTGGATATTACAAATAATGTTCTCGGTTTCTTCCTTTAGAAAGAGCAAACGAATTCTCAACTCAGGATGCCATCATTTATGATAGATTGAGATAAGCAGGAATGAAAAGAAATAAAGCCTTAAAATTTTGTAAAGGTTAACATTGTAAAATTGATTCTACTTAAACAAAACATGGGCCACCTGGGTTCAAAATCTTCAACACCAAAATAGACAAATTAAAACAATTGAATGGGTAATAATAGTATTTATGAATAGATGGCAGATGGTAGGAAGATTGAATTATGAATAATCTATGCGAGAAGAATATAGCGATGATTCTGAATGGTAAATATAAGATTAAAATAAAGAAGAGCAAGAGAAAATGGAATAATTAAAATAATTTTATACTGATTTAGATCTAAAGTATTCATTTAGTGAAATGGACTAATAAGAAACTCTAACCAAATTACGCTCACTATCAACAGAACAACAATATAGAAGCCGAGTGCCATAATATTAATTGAAAGATGCCAAACATAAAATGATGTATTATGAAATGGCAGAGTACATTTTGCAATTGAAAAAGCCACCCAACACACTCATTTAAGAATTGAATGTTTTCGATGACACTATCCCTTTAGTTAGATAAGAGTATTTTGATATTAAACCCAAATACATTGAGAAGGCAACTCCCTTTTACCCTAAATAAAATTGTGAAAAGAGATCTAAATTATTGAAAGAATTAACAAGAGCGTATACTGGTAATATTACAATCACAGAACCTGCTGAGGAGATCAAAAAAGTATTTTAATATTTATAATTTTGGCTATTAGATATTCTTACAAATTAGATTTTAATAATAGCCATTATGTAAAGGGATTTAAATAGCAAACACCCAATGAGTCAGTTCTCTCCAGCTTGAATGACATTGATCAACAGAGCACCAAGAAGATTAAACAAAGATGCAGCATAATGACACATCGCATCACCAAATTTTCACCTTAGGATAAGGAAGTTATCAAATACAATGAATTTCGTAACAAACTTGAAGAAATAGTAAATAAAAGTATTAAAAGGATGAATTGTGAAACTAATAATCCCATATTTTGATCATATTATAATATAAGCTTTAGTTTAAATTCTCAATACATTCAATAGCAATATTGTATCCTAATTTCAATACCTTTGTTGTTTGTTTGAGATAACAAGTCTTGCTTAATTTCAGAATGAGAGTTTGCAAAGTTTATACATGATTGTTTAACGAAAATTATAATAATTATCAAAGTTCTAGTTTTAAGTAGTTTTTAAGCTAATCAATTTAAACTGGTTTAACTAAATATCCATCCATTCCATTTTAAAGTGCCAAATTTTCTTCTTCTTATTTGGCATAGGCTGAACACCCAATAATTTGAATTTTTGGATATTATTTCTTAATTATCGAAGTGGCTTAAATGCCATTCATGGTAGGCATATCGATGTCCATAAATATTAAATTATACCCATTACATTTATTACACCTATTAGATTTTACCATTTAGATAGCAGTATGGCCATCTAAAGAAAATTCTAATTTAAGAGATGAATTAATCTTTAAAATTAAGAATTTTAGAACTTCTATATTGAAAGCGTTATCATCAACAATTAAAATGTTAGCACATTGACATTTATTTATGTGTTGCGTCTTGATATTATTGTATCTCCATAAAGATTACCTTCTTTCTGGACTTTCTTCATCAATATCTTCCGATTCTTCTTAAATTTCAGATTCTTAAATATTCTTAGCAATATAGAACCAGAATGAGGAGCCATTTTAATATTCTGATTGAAATTGTAATCCTTTTTCATTAAAACTCAAATTTCTAGCAATCATATTACTAATAATTAATCCCAACCCAACTCCTTGCGGATTCAACTTTTTACTTTCTGAATCTTCCACTCTGGCAAAAGCCTATATGAGTCTTTCTTTATGTTCCTCCTTAATTCCGAGTCCTGTGTCATGGACCTCTATTTTTAAAGAAGTGTTATGATAATTGGACACTCTAATATCTATGTATCCTTACAAAGTATATTTGAAAGCATTGCCAAGAAGATTGATAATAATTTGTCGAATCCTATTTGGATCATTATTCAATAATCGTGGAGCACTTTTTCGGTAGTTTAGTGTCAGATTAATTTTTTTTAAGTTTGCTTCTAATTTAAATAATTCCATGCATTCTTCAATCAATTTCTTAAGATCCATTTAAACAGGACAGATTGAAAATTTACCTACTTTCAATTATGCAAAATCCAATAAATCATTTGATAGGTTGAGCAAATACTTACAATTTAACAAAGCAATTTTGATGTACTTACTTTAAACACTAGGGTCTCTTTCATCCTGTAAAGCAGAGATAAACTAAATAATGGAATTAAGTGGAGTTCTATATTCATGACTAACAAATGAAATTATACTTGATTTGACTTGGTATTATTTTTTCATCAACTTTATATAATCTCTGTGAGTAACATCCCTTATTTGCAGTAAAATCATTAATTTCTCATCAACCAACGTAGCATGAGCATTGATTTCTAATAGACGCTTTCTTGGTTACTCGAGATCTGCACAACCCTCGTTTTCATACCAATTTCCCAAATAACTGCCAATAAAAACTGTGTTATGAGGACTATTCTTTAGGATCTAAAAAAATCTTTTGTTTGGTTTGATGTTCCTCAAATCACAAAGAATTTACTAATTAAATGAAAATCAATTACGTTGAATTCTATTTCTTCTTTCGAATATCGATTATTGGAAATTTTGCATTACTGGAAAGTTTATTAAAAACTCTAAAAAGAGGGAAATGAATCTCTGGGATCTCTGATGTCTGGTTTAGCCTGAGTGGACACAACATCAGTTAATTATTCTAAACATGTCTTAAAATTAGCCTTGTCACTTATCCTAAATAACTCCAAAGTCGCTGAATTACAAAAGTGAATTGCTAAATTTTAGGCTGTCAACAGGACCAAAGAGTCCGGTATTAAATTAAAGAAATGGAAACATTCCTGCAATTCCTATTAAAAACTTGTCGCCGATGAATGGAATTATTGTTTTCTGTATTCAGGAGTTTACACAATGTTCAAAATTGATTTCTCATAAGACTTAATGTATGATGCCTATGGGTCTATGTCTTACTTTTATTGGTTCGCCCATAATAAATACAGATGTATAAACAATAAGGAAATTCCTCCAAAAAATGCATATAAATCATACGAATTCCAACTGCACACTCTAATTAAAGCATATAAATTGATAAAAATTGTGAGTTTTTGCAATTATCCCTTGTTTACTCTCTCTTATCCTATCTCAATACAGATGAAATAGAGAACAAAAACACTGATATTTTATAGTTTCACAGCGCATTCCACAAAAAATATAGCTAAACACATGGTGTAACTTAGATTCATCTGTAAATACCTTCTTTCATTTAGTTTATAAGAGAAGAGCACAGCCATCTAAACTGCACTCATAATGCTTAATAAAATTGCCATCTCTATTATTTCAAAACCCAAAAAAGGAGTAAGTATTATTCCTATTATTCCTTCAAGAGGTATTTTGATTATTTTCATCATATATTTATTTATAATTTAGGTTTTATTTAATAATTTAAAAAGGAAACTTCTCCACAGTATCAAAGAAGCCAATAAGAATGCATCACATATCCTAATCAATCCTAAATTTGAATTAAATCTATGTAGTTTATCTGAAAGTCGATAGCAATATTTATTGAAATATAAAAATGAATATCGAATCATTAAATTATAAAAATAAACTCTAATTCAAATAAGATTATATTAAACATGATTAAAACTTTATCCTTCTGGATGAAAAATAAAATGCCCTCCATTAGATATGGGAACCACTTAATTGTGCACAACTTCTTCTTGATTGTGCTGTGTAACATAAATTCGTTGATTCAATAAATTCTCTAAATTTTTCACTTAATTTTTTCTCAATTAGATTTATTCATTCAAATAAATTTTCAAACTATCCTTTAATAATTATTTTACATTTTAAGGGAAGAGCTTCTGAAAAGCTGGTAGTGAAATAATTATAAATAAATTCAATTAATAATTAAATTATTCTGAACTTTGTGAATAAAATGGAGAAACAAAAAGAAATTCTTAAATTATATCATGACAATCTTGATTAATAAATAGAGGATGCGTTCAAGACAGATCTAAACATTCCCATACATAAATTCCAAACTCAAAAGTAATTTACAGGTAATTGGTAATTTAGTGATAAGAAATCTAAAAGTTCTACATTTGGCATGTCTCCACAACAATACAAAACTAGCTGAACTCACTTTGACATATTGTAGAAATTCCAACTTAATAAATTAAACCCAGATGATTGAATTCATTAATTTATAGAATAAGGATGGATTCACTCCTTTGCATATGGCCTCCTTTAAAGGAAATCTAGTAAATATATTAAGAGAATATGTGTAGGAAATTATAAAGTTATTACTATAAATAGGAGCTAATTCAAATATTAAGAACATTACTGGATTGTCTGTTCTTCATATGTCTGTTTAAGGAGATCATATTAAGACTAGTGTAATAAACATTCATATTTAGTTATTCTGGATTAATCAAAATATTCCAATTGACATTTTAGATCAGAATCACTAAACCCCTTTAATTTGTGCTTCCTTTTTAGGTTCTTAATAAATGGTCAACTTTTTAATTCCTTGGGGTGCTAAATTGAATGCCTAAACAAAAGACAAAGGTCACACGGCATTACATGTGGCCACTTAATAAGGTCATTCTCGCATTGTGAGAAAATTACTAATCAAAGGAATAGATAGAAAAATCAAAGATAAGACTGGAAGAACTGCACTTGATTTAGCCATTGAATCTAGATTTGAATCTATTTAAACCATGATTGTATAAGATGATATCATCATACTAGGAAAATAAAATGGGACTAGCTGAAAGATGCGGTTTAAGATAACCTGATTCAAAGGTTGAAAAAAACTACATATCAATGATCATTTATCTATCTCTATATTGCAGTTCCTTCCTTATGACTATTTCCTTCACTTTGCCAAGTATCATATATCTAATGATAATAATAAGAATTAGATTCCTTATAAGCTTGGTACATCACTTCATTTAGTATAACTCTTCTTTTGACTTGGTATCTTGTTAAAAGAAATCCAGGATTTGTACCACGCTCTAATAAAACCTTAATGGTAGGGTGATTTAACATTTATAAGGATCTATTAGATGCTAACTCAGTTGATTAAATATGCCCAGATTGTTCAGACGTGAAACCACCTAGATCAAGACATTGTGAAATTTGCTAAAAGTGCGTTTATAAATATGATCATCATTGTCCTTGGCTTTCTAATTGTGTTGGTGAAAAAAACCAGTATATATTCATAACATTCCTATTTACATTGACACTCAGTATTTCGTTGTAGATCGCAGTTTAATGTTCAAGTACAAGAAGGTTATTTAATTTAGCGTTAAATTTGGAAGATGATCAAACTGATGTTGATTCTAACCATTTACTTTAATGGATAACATTCTACTATACGATGATATTTAGCTGCATATTTATATTACCTGTGATGTATAAATCATTTGATTTAGGTTATTATTTACAGTTCAAATATACAATTTAATAAAAGGGCAAACTACATATGAAAGATATATAGAAAAATAAGGAATTAATAGAATTTAGTCTAGAAAAGCTAGTGCAGAATAATAATTAAAACTAATAAAGAGTGCTTCTAGCACAGACACAAGTGAGAGTGAATTAAAATTTACATTAAAAACTTAAAAGAAACCCTTGCTCAAGGAAACTGAATTTATTGTATGATAAAGAATAATATTAAATTTTTACATCCATTTGAATTCTCTAAATTCTATTGATAACTATTCCTCTTCAAACTATATAACTATCTTTAATACAAATTTGTCTTTTAAATTTATAATTTCTTCAACCTTTTTAGACAAAAATTATATTTCTATATCAAAAGAAGTTTTATCTAATATAACTATAAGAAGAATAATTACCCATATTCTACTCAAAACTTAAGTGCTCCTAAACTTATTAGATTCCCAATAAATGATTAAATTAACTGTTTGAGAGTCTATGAATTTCAATTATTGCTATGATCAATACTGTCAAATGGTTGTGAGATCTATTCTTGTTTTATTCAACTTAATGAGCTTTTGATTTTATTTTCTTCAAATAGCAATTGATTGATCTATGGATTTTCTAGTATTTATACTATTTCCTATTATAGAAATGCATTTGAACTAAGTTCTAAATAAATCTCATTTAACTCCTATTTTTTAAACAGAAAAATTTTATAGCATCATAATTAGACAAGCTCATCCAAAATAAAAAATTTGCTGCAACTGCACATTCTACCTTTTTATAAGTTCCAATCAAAAGTTATACTAATAATCATTTGCTATTTGATTGTATTATTTCAATGTGAGTAATTCCTTAAGTTTTTGTTTTCTACTTTAAAAATGATAATCTAGGAGAATTCGATTTGGCATTATCTATTTAATTAAAAATAAAATTTAACGTATATGAATTAGACAGAACAACAAGAGTATAATTATGATGAACAATACTTGGAGATATTTGGTTGCAATCATTCTACAAGATAGATGCATTCTGAAAAATTGATTTGTCAATAATGCGGCATATTTATCAATAGTGTAATAGAGTTGTTTTAAATTAAAGTCAACCACAAGAGTCTTCAAAACAATCAAAATGAAGTACAACACCTTTTTCAATCCCTTAAAAATATTGGGCAACATCTTGGCTCCTTTGACAATAAACTAACATTAAATTGCAAGATTGCCAATAATAGATTTTATGGAATAAGCATCTGAAAGATTAAATTTGAGTACAAACACTGCCTTTTTAGCAATCACCTACATTGATCACTTTTTCAATAAAGTCAATGTGAATGAAAAACAGATTTTCTTATATGCTGCTGCCGCTCTAATGTTGGCAGCAAAAGCATAGGAACTTGATGAGAGAATACCTTTCATTAGTAAACTTAAGCGTTATACTTCCATGACATCTCATCCTGAAATCAATAGCTTCACCACCTAGGAATTTTGTAATGCTGAAAAAGCTTTAATCGAATCTTTAAACTGGAAATTACAGAGGATTACTCTTCTTGATAGAATAGAATCTCTGCTTTCCTTTGGAGTCATTGATGAGGATGACAGTCTTTCACAACCACCATAATAGAAGGAAAACAAAGAGCAATAAATAAATCATATTAAATTGAGAGATCTAGATGAAAAATAAATCAATAGTTATGTGAATGAGGTTGAAAACAAATATATAGAAACTGCTTATTCTGTGATTAGAGGTAAAATCAGTTAAATAAGTAGATGATCAAATTTATTTCTCAAACGATCAAACTATATTAGCCTTGTCCTGTGTAGCTTTTCTAAGAAAAAAGGCTGGATTGCTAAATATCTGGTCTTAACAACTCTAAGCTTTGACTGGAGAATCAGCTTAGAAAATCTCAGCTACTGTATCTTAGATAATGACACTCACTCCTAAAAGTGCAAGCAAACCTGTGATTAACACTTCATCTAGTTCATATTTGAGTAGTTATTAGAATTCTGCATCTTAAAACAAAAATTCTTATATGAAAAATAGACAATACTTATTTGAATCAAATAAATCATCAACAGGAGATATCTTATTACAATATAATTCAACAGCCAAAGCTCATCTAAGAGTTCCCTTATTTCAATCTTAATCAACGATGCAACTATAATCAAAGGGGGATATCATGAAACCTCATCAACTCAATTAAACCAAATATTCTAGTCGAAATAGTAATTTTAATACTACAAATAATTATTCCTACTTATCTGATAATATAGTTCATCCAAATTCATATATAAAAAATACTGATTTGGATAAAAAATATGAGTAAATTCATAAAGTAGAGAGTAAATTCAGAACTAAAATATTCAGTTGATGAATATTTGTCAAACACAATATTTATAATGTTATAATACTATTTTATTAATGATCATAATCAATTGTTAAACAAATATCTTATAGCTTCATCAATAAATTTATATATATATGAATATTATTCTGAAGTATGAACCATTCCCCATCTTTGTTCTCTCAATCTACGAACCATTCCGAAAATGGAAATTCTGTAAAGTTCTGGATTTTCTTCCAATTCTTAAATTAAAGGTGATTAATTACTCGAATGATCATCTCCAATGTGTTGTTTGTATGCTCTAAGTAGGATCATTAAGTTCGATAATGCAATCAAGGTTCCAGTTCTTCCAACTCCAGCACTACATTTATATAAACCTAATACCTGCAATGAAAAACTACTTTTTGATCTGCTAACAATTTTTCATTAATAATATTTAATAACTCCTTGATCACATCAAAATCACTTGGAGAAGGAACTCCTTAGTCAGGCCATCCACACCATTGTATTTGAATAACATTCCTCTCCTCTCCTTCCTGATTAAGTTTCAATATTCGTTTAGTTATATTATTGCCAAGATCATCTTGACTTTGTAAGTTCACTTGAACATTCCCACAAATCATAGTTTCACCAACACTCTTCGGCCAATATTATTCGCATTATGCCTAAATACCCTAAATTTACTAACTCTTTGGTTCTCTTTTAAATTGCACAACATGACTATCATACTCATGTTTTCCTAGACAATCATCTTCCAAAAGTGACCAAATGTTGAGAGCAAAGGACCCTACGTTGCCACAATCATCCTCTCCTTTCCATTTATCAACTATGTTACTAAAACTATTCAATTACATTGATAAAATTAGCATTAATATAGGATTCCTTTAAATTTTCTTCTTCATCCCCCTCGCTCTTTAATTTGACAATTGAATGCTTGACTAATTTAGTACTAATTTAATATACATGGGATGATGTTATTATATCGATTTAGTCTCTGAACATCAGGATGAAAGTCAAATAAATTGTCATTATGATATTAAGTTTCTGTTAATCTACGTAATAACTAAATAGAAACTAAACAATTACTCTGAATTCCATTTCTAAATCTCTTTTTAATAATTCTTAACTGAAGTGTAAAACAGAAATCCCTTTTTCAATAGTTACCAATTCAGCTTTGCCTTAAACCCAATCATAAGAATAATCTTTACTGATTTCCTTACCTTCTACTAAGAACCCTTACATTTATTTTTATTTTAATAAATTGGATTAAATTATTCTAGACAAGTTTTTAATCATGGCAATATCACATAAAATCTCTTGCTTTCAAATGAACTCAAACATTGAATCAGAATTAAATGGCACTGACTTTCCTAACTCACAATATTCTATGTAAATTCTGTTAAACAGCATTCTTTAGTATTATAATAATATAATTTTGAGAAGATATACAAATCTTTAAATTTAGTTAAATTAATATCTGATTAAAATTGATATACTTTAACTAATGAATACTATTTTAGAACCATCTCTTGAGTGGATTATAAATACAAAATTAATAAAGTTGATATCAGTTTTTTAGTGGATTAAGTGATTTCGATTACTACTGTTGATACGCATCATTTATAACCTAATCTAATGCATCATTTAGTGAACACTGACGATTCATGATTAGTTTTTTGCCTTTCTAACAAGTTTAATTAGAATCGAATTACTAGAGGTCTATTCTATCATCAAAATTCTATTCAATTATTACTTTGTAACCTTCTTAGTCAGGCTCTGATTGCAGATTATTATTGTTAGTTATTTTAATAATATTGGTGATGGGTTGTTCTCGTTATGATCCTTAGCCTTACTGTTCCTAATATTGAGGAATCTCTTGTTCTTCATTTTGATTATCATTCTGAATTTGTGAATCCTCATCCAATTGAAATGAAAACTATAACTTTTAATTCTATTTTGGTATTAGTTCTGAATGTAGTTAAAATAGTTGATCATCAGTGATAAAAGTGTTCTTTTTTTCTTAGGCAGAATTAATGCCACTATATCTTTGTTCTTTGGAAACCAAGAAGGGGTGTTAAAGCAGATTCTCAGCTTCCCATCGATCTTCTGGGTTCAATTAGAGACATCTCTTCAAAAAGTCCCTGGCTTGGTCAGATTTCAATTCTTCTGGAATCGGAATCATATCTGTTAACTTGCTTATTTTAACCATGATAGTGTAAATGTTCTTAACTTCAGAGAAAGGAGGCTGTCCAGTAGCCATTTCAATCATGGTGCAACCGAGACTCCATATGTCAGCCTTCCTATTAATATATAATAATTTGATCTACTTTCCATATTGTTGCTAATTAATGACTTCTGGAGCCATAAAATTTGGAGTACCACACAAAGAACCAACAATATCTTATTGAATTTCGGATAATTATTTGCCACTTCCAAAATCTAAGTGACTATAGTTTTTCAATTAATACCTGCTAATTTTACTTATCCATTCTAATTAATTAAGATGTTGGCTCCTTTGATGTCTCTGTGAATGACACCTTAGGAGTGCAGATACTGTAATCCCAATAGAATCTATTTCAAATACACCTTGATCAAGGATTCCTTAAACTTTCCAAATCTTTTGATCATCATAAGAACAGAGCCACCACTGACATACTCTAAAAAAATATTTAATTAATCTTTTTTTCTCTCTGAACCATAATAACGCACAATGTGAGGATGTTGCAATTTACTCAAAATCTCAATTTCTCTTTGGATTGATTATACTTTCTAAAAAGACAATACTTAGAATTTACATTCTCATCTCCACTCTTTATAAATACTTACTTCACAGCCATTATCTGTCCGCTAACTCTGTTCATTCCTAAAATAACCCTACCAAATGCTCCTTGTCCAATCATCTCGCCCTCAGTCCAAGTGATCTGTTTTTCTAATTCTTATTTTTCTGTTTTCTACTCTTTCGGAGGTATGACATCAGCACAGACTTCTTGATAATGTGATTCTTCAGCCTATTGAATGGGAACAGGGTGTTCGTCGCAACCTGCATTCGCATACTTTGCATGTTTAGTCTCTTTCGTCAAACAACAGCCCATATATTATAAATAAATTAGAAATGCAATAAAAGCAAAATTAAGCCAAAATAAGGAACGCCTTGCAATAGCAGCTATTCCCCAAGATGCAAAAGAAAATCGAGTAACCCAAGGCATAACCGAAAAGGTATAACACTTAATTATAAATCCCAGAGCCATAAGGATAGAAGATGAGAATAAACTATCAATCACATCAATAACATTGCCGCACATCGAGACTATTGCCATTAATTTTAATTCCAAGTATCAACTGGGCAACATGATCGGAGAAGGTGCTCATGGATTAGTGAAGAAAGCCATCAAAGTGGAAACTGGAGAATAAGTAGCAGTCAAAATTTCAAGAAGTGGAGACCCTGAGCTTGTCAAAACTTTTACTGAAGCATATAAAAATACGAGAATACTAGATCATTAATACATAATAAAAGTTTATGAATGCTACATAGATGAACAATCGGAAACTTTATATTTGGTAATGGAATACTCAAATTTACGCAGTTTGGAAGATGTAATTAAAAAACACAAGAAATTAACGTAATTGTATATCCTTCAATTAGGGAAGAATAAGCTAAGATCTTGATCAGACATATTCTCTTGGCTCTCCAGCATATTCATGAAAGAGGAGTAGCTCATAGAGATTTGAAGCCCGATAATGTTTTGATCAACAAAAAGTCCCTTGATATCAAAATCATAGACTTTGGAGTCAGTAGGAGATTCAAAAAGTACAATGGCAGAGAATTTGTGGATGTAAACATGTGGACTAGAACTGGAAATGTGTATTATGCTGCCCCAGAGATCTTGACAGGAGGAGGCTACGACGAAAGAGTAGATCTCTGGTCTCTGGGTGTCTGCTTGTTTCGTATCTTGAGTGGCCAGTTCCCCTTCTTTGAAGACAGTGTATTAGGAACCATAGAGAAAATATTAAAAGGTACTTTTGAACTCAACGAAAACATTTCCTTGCTTGCCAGAGATTTGATCAGAAGACTTCTGGATCCTAATCCAGCCCAAAGATTATCTGCGTAATGTATATTATCGAGATTCACATTATAGTGGCTCTGCAGCATCCTTGGCTCTATCATTCAGAGATCGACCCCATCTCACCCAATAGCACCGAACTTATCAACAAAGTCGCTTACAGAGCTAGTGACGATATTTGTGATATCTCATAAGGCGGAGACAAGAATACATATTACAGCAGGAACCTCCATATGAGAAGCAACACGATGACCAAAAGTCCAGTCATGCAATCAGAAACCAACACCAATTCCAAATCTCCTCTTAATTTATTAAAACAAGATCTCGATGAAGAAATTCAATAGTCTCCCTTAATCAAATTGAAAAAAATTCAAAATCAAATGAACAAAGAAATCAACATCATAAAGAAGAATGAATCAAATGGGTAAGGATTACTGAGAATTAGGCAGAGACTGCAAATGGAAAAATTAGACATCATACATGAAATTTAATGACTATTAATAATAACTCTTAATATCAATCTTCAGTTTGTTTATATATATATAAATCAAATCAAAGCAGATCTGTATATGTTGCTGTTTTTGGTTAGTATGATTGATAAGGCACAGTACCCATCTACTAAAATGGACTCACTTGATTATTGTATTGAGGTATCTAATAGCCACTGCTAAAAAACTTGCTCTCTTGTTTTTGGCTCTTCTCTTGGTATAAGTTCAAAATTTGTCTGAATTCTATAAACGAGATGAAATTATCATCATTTAAATCAAATATCTTAAAAACGGCTTGCAACTCTTATGGTTATACATTTCTTTGGATTTTTCTAAAATTATCGTTTATTTACTTACATCAACACCTACGCAAACTCTTAAAAACTGAGAAGACCATCAAAGTCACAATCAAATTTTTAGAATAAATCATGTACATTTATATTGTATCTTTGAATTGTCTATTGTAATTTTTCAATTAACTTCTCAGGATCAAATACATATGTTTGGATTGGCATATAATTTATGAAGGGTGTTGATTGAGATTAACCCAACGTAGGTTAATACGTAGCTTAAATGCCTCTAAAATCCATGTCTTTCTGTTTTCCAGGATTACTTTGAATATTTGTTAAAGATGGCATCTTTTTGGTACCTTAATTTCTCTAATTCTGGCGACCTTTAACCTTTGAAACTACTGCCATCTTAGTATTATTATCTGTTATCCATTTTTCAAATTCCTCCAATGATACAGATTGATCTCCATCCAAATCCAATTTCTTAAATATCACTTGACAATCTTAACGACTTAGAGTTTTATCAATAGTATGCAACAATTACACTAATTCAGAAAACTATAATGTTTTATCACCATTTTCATCAAATTCTTAGAATAAAGAACTAATATTCAAATTTTGTTTTATTATTTTCTATCTTAATTCATTCATCAAAAATTTAATTTACTCTTCCTTAATATGTGCTTGATAATTCTTAAAATAATCTTTCACCAATCTATGCTTAAATACTTCATCCCAATTCATTCTGTCTGCTTCCTCCATTGTAAGACAACCCTCTATAAATTATTTCATATCGTCACTAACTGATGTTTAATCATCAGGAAAATCTAACAATTTATGCTCAATATTATGCAACAATTGTTCTATCCTTGTACCGCTCCATGCAGTATAACCATACAAAGCATTGTATAAGATCATTCCAATAGACCATATATCACATTTATTTGTGTATTTACTGTTTGACAACACTTAAGGAGAATGGAACTTAAAATCTTCATCCTTATGTGATTAATCCTTTTTGAAATTCTCCAAACACTTTGTTAACCCACAATCTAATTATATTCACAATTTATACCAGCTAATTTATAACCTTTATCTGTTAACATAATATTCGTCAACTTTAATCCTCTATGAACTATTCCATGGTTTATTAATTCAGTGAACCCTTCCAGTAGATCTATCAATAACTTAATGCATTCAGATTCAGGCATTTTGTGAACTTATTACAAATAGGACTATAAATCTTATTTACAAAGTTCCATGACAACATAATAATTATTGTCAGTTTATATTACTTCTACTAGTTAAACTATTTTTGGGTGTTTTAATTATTGCATTAATCTGATTTCATCTAACAATGCACATAAGAGGCCTTCATCGTCTGTTATACTATTTTTTTTAATTATCCTTAAGGCATATTGGTTCTTTTTATTATCAATAGCTTTAACAACCTATGATTTCAATAAATATCATTACTGTTCCTGTAGAACCCATCCCCAACATGTCTTTTGGATTATATTGGTATTTGTCAATTTATTTCATTAAGAAAATTATAATTTCAGCATTTCTATATAAGAACTTATTAATATTGGTTTGAAGTAATAAGAATTTCTATAATTTTTAATAATGGATTATCCTATTGCAAGATATTTCTCCATTATACTCTCTATGAATTTTAATTCAACAATTTTCATTCAACATAACATCTTATTTGTAATTTTTGGAATTCAATTGAAACCAGAACAAACACATATACAGAGTTTGAAAATTAAAATTCAATGAAAAATATAAAATTTGTTGTGGAATTATAATTAAAAAGTTATTTTATAATTAAATTTTTATATTTTATAATAATCTAATTAAAGAAATTGCTAAGATTGGATTTTGTATTGATTAAGGCTCGATATGTGTTTAGGCTGAAAATTTGAGTCCTCTGAATGATGATTAAGGAGATACCTAAGAAAGAAGAGGATAAAATGAAATGAATTCTAAAACAAGTAAAAATGTAAAATGAATTTTTATGAAGATTTGGATATTGATATATTGAACTTCATTATCAAAAGACCTCTTCTCTAACTTGGAGGAATTCTGATGCAGCGCTCAACTTTTAGGTGAGAACTTCTTATAATCTCTCAACAACTTCCAATTATTATTCTCTTTCAAAGGTTTGAGCTTCATATTGGGATTCTTATTCAGCAGCCCATCTTTCTTAAATGTCCAATGAATCTTCAGCATCTTCAAGGAATAACTATTGAATTTAGGGATTGTATTAGTACAGTTTAATCTTCCAAGTCTTCAACAGCTTCTTGGATGGTGACTTTGAATTAGACAATTGAATTTTCCAAGAATGCCTTTCTTTCAACTAATCTCTTGTGTTCTTCTTATAAGTGACCACTTTAGACTTCCCAGTTGGCAGCTTGTTTTTCTTCTGTGGCAAGGAGAGAGGCTCTGCTGGCAACTAATTATTGTCTGATTTAAGCTAAGAGTTCTAAGATCTTGATGATGCTCTTGTTATCAACCTTAGAGGCTAATTGGGTCAAGGCATTGATGAGTGGCTATTACAATAGAAATATTATTAATACCTTGAAGAGAGCATGCTTGGATTCCATCAATTTAGCTTAGACTTTTTCAAATCTGCTTTTGAGTTGAGCAAAAGCGACACCAGCTTACAAGTGTTAAACGATCTTTGAGGCTTCATCAATGGCATCAATTTAATCAACATGTTCTGCATCCTTTCTAACCCATGTGTCATGTTATGATTGTCTTGTAGCAGATTCATCAGCAAAGCTTTTCTCGTTATTGGCAATATCTGAGGTAACAACTCTGACTTCAGCTTCAGCTTCACCCAATGCTTCGGTTGTGGAATCTCTCAAATTTGAAAGAGCAACAATTTGGGTTTAGTGATAAGCAATTTCTTGTTCTAAGTCAGCAATGATCTAAACAATATTATTATGCTTACCTTTTCGAAAGCAACTGTATCACTCTCATGAACTTTGTCAGCTTTCTTTTAATCTCCGTTGAGTTGGGAAGCAATATTGTTTAAGAGAATTTGAATTTCACCAACAGGTCCTCCTGTGGCCAATTAGAGTTGAAGGACTGACAACACTGAATTTCCGAATGAATCTTTGTTAACTTAAGCCAAGATTTCCTTTGGACTTTCTGTCTTTGCTACTCTAGCAGTTGCAACTGCAAGGATAAGAGTCAATACAGGGACGATTCTCATGTTATTAATATTAATGAAATGAAATCACAATCACTCTCCAAGACATTAAAAATTACCCGTTTTTTAATTTATTATCCCACCTTCATTAATACGTTTTTGTTTAATTAAAAAGTCAATCATTTTATTATTCCTCATATAATACTCTTCAACTAAGGCTTTATTTCAATCAAAAATTCAATGTTTGTGAACATTTAAATAATAATTTTGATGAGCTTTCGAAAGACTATTGCAAATGGATTTATTTTGGAATCAAACATATGATTCTCTACTTGTTTCAAATAATCAATATCTAGACAAAATATGAAGAAATAAATTAAAATTAAATATGTTCAAATGCATTAACAGGGATATTTCAATCATTAAATAAATTGTTAAAACAATCGAGTTGTATTTGTGGCATATACATTATAATAAATCATAAGATATGATAAGATATAAATTTAGGTTAGAATTAATTAATCTAATATTTATATCTCAAAAAGAGCAACGCTTATAATTTTCATATTTAATTTGTTTAATACGTGAATTTTATTAGATCTTTTGTTGCACTCTGATTTTCTAAATTTCTGGCATAGTTTTTTTATAAAATTTCAAATTTCAAAATAATAAATAATTCTTAAGATATTCAAATACAAAAACAAATGCAAAGTCATTTTCAGGAAATGTATTAATTAATTCAATTTAACTATCAAAATAATTTACTCAGAACATTAACAAAGATTAATAATATTATTTGTATGTTTATTATTTAAAATTAAATGTTTATGAATTGAATGGAATACCAAGTATAGAAGTATTGTAATACCTAATAGTCTTATCTCATCAAGCAAAGATGAAACCAGAAATAATTGATTATTAATAGAAGTGCAATTTTTAATATAATACTAATATACATTGGGGTATTTTGATTTCCTATTATTTATAAACTACAAAAATAATAAGGTTTGGTATATATATCATTTATTTAATTAGTTTCTTTTTAAATCAATGCATAACAATCCTTTGAATAATGAAATCATTTTGACTGGTTAATAAAGAAAAGGCAATCCTTAATAAATTAAACAACAAAATTATCAAAATTATCATTTAAATACAAAACTCTTCCTTCTAATTCATCTTTTTAATAAATGATTTTAAATCTATCCTATATAGTTTCAACATTTTCAGTTTCAATATAAGAATCTTTATCTTATAGAACTTAAAAATCAATTAGGTTATTCTATCATTGATACATTATAAATTGAGTATTTTAAAGGCTCATTGACTTTGAAAAAATTATTGATTAAACATAATGCTTATGAAAAATAATTAAGTTTAACTTACATCCGTGATTCATATCTTAATTCTATTCAAATATGAGCTTATGAACGTGTCTAAAAGTTTTAATTCTCTAGAGGTTGTAAAAAGTTAGTAATCTTCTTGCTCATTGAACGATTTAACAATAAAATTAATAAAACAATGAAATCAAAATAACCATAGACTCCTGAATAAATAATACACATTCTGAGGTCTTTCAAGAATTTCATAGAGAAGAAAAATTCAATTAGTCCATAGATAAGATGCCAAACTTGAGTTTATACAGTGAGAAGGGAGGTAGCACAAACTTTTGATTGTAAAGTGAAATAGTAAAAGTTTGAGAATATGGAGCATCAAACTCTTGGGAAGGAATCTGTGGAGGAGAAGATAGAGCTGTTGTCAAATTAGATTAAAAAAATGCAAATAAAATAAGAACAATTGAAGAGTCAACATTATTAACTGAGTAGAAATGTTAAGAAGTTCAATCTCGAAAAGAAACATTAAGTGCAAGTAAGGAATAAGATTAATATTTAATTTAGGAAAGGAGTTAGAATATAAAAAAATTGGATTGCATGATTGATATCCAGACAAAGCAGGAAGATAATTTAAATTAATTAAAGTATCTATTTGCCTCTCGAAAAATAATTTGACTTTCTTTTATAAATTAAGTTAAATATGGAAGAATGGATTTTTGGTAATCAATATGACGATAAGTCTATTGGTTTGCTAACATAAAAATTTGTTGTATATATTTTTTCAAAATTTAATACAAAAAGATGTACAAATTAGTATTTTATAAAAAATATTCTCAAAAAACTATAAAATAATGAAAAAGTCAAATGAGAATGAAAGGATAGCCTAGCAAATATATGCTTCTTAGATGCAGAAATTGTAGGGCAAGATATTGGAGAAGAAACTCACTAAAGTATGTTCAAAATAGCAATTTGAGAGCCAATCATAAAATATCTCGAATAACAACAGCCCCGTAATGGGTCGTTAAAAGTCGTATGAAAATTTATAGAAGGTGAATAGAACATTCATAAACCCAACTCTTCAGGTGTCTCAACAAAAATTGAGCAGCATTTTAAATGTTATGGCAGGCTAACAGACGAAACCTAAAATTTAGAGTTCATTTAATAATGAATTAATGGATACGGTGAAGATTACTTATAAATTACGTAAGAATTAATCTATGATTCAAATCGATCAATAATCACCATAATTAACTAAGAATTCTTCGTTTCATCGTCCTAACTCGAGTGTCAAAATAAAGAATAGCAATAGTATATCTTATGAGTAAACATAATTTTAAAAGATAAAAGATAAAATAAAATAGCTCTTATAAGAGAAAGATAACAATTGGCAGTAAGATCAAAAGGAAATGGCTTTCATGATAAAACTAAATTAATCGTTAAACCAATTACTTTCAATAGTTTTTTAAGAGTAACAAAATACTTAACCTACTTCTACTTAAGATACAAATTCTAGTCTTCAAATAGATAATTTTTTTAAAAGATAAATTATCATTCTATAATAATCTTACACTCAATAAATGGAAAAGAAAAAACTAGAAAATATTCTCACTTCCATCAAAAGAAAACATGAAAATGTTCTCGTCGAATACAACTAGCTATAAGAAAAAAGAAAATCATAGGATGATTAAATAAGGAATATGGAATAGCAAATCTAAGAACTACAGACTCAAATAAGTTCATCTTAAAAGGAAATAAAGAATGAGTAAGGTATATATGAAAGTATTACAGATAGAATTTTTGGAATTGAAGTATCTTGTTTAAGGACAATTCGAGGCAATCTAAAAGTTATTACAAAGAGAACAGTTGACAAAAATATTCTTAAAGAGAGTTGGAGATAGTTCTATAATAGAGTATTAATAATGATATTATTTAAGCATGTTCGATTAATTTATATCAAATGCTGAACGGACAAATTTGGATGATACCGAGGGGAATCTAAATATAGATGTTTTGCCTTCTAATAAGTTGGTTTCTAAATAGAAACTAGCAGTAATTTAGGATTAAATGAGCCTCCCTGAGAAAATTCTATCTTAATATGAAGAAAATTATAAGGAACAATTGAATTTATGCGACTCTTTGTTAGCAGATGATTCTCGTAATAATTGAATTCACTTGTTTTTAGGAGTTAACGATTCAGAGGAAAGCAGTTTTGGTTATATGGGAAAGGAATAGGCGACTGAGATTAGTTGTTATTTCAACGATGCTGAATAATTCGCTTAGTGTACCAACAAGATAAAGAGAATTCAGACTATTTCAAAGGAGAAGTTGAAGATTAACATGTTGGATATGCAAATGGTATAGGCTGCGTAAGATATATTTTAAATGTGTAGTTTGAAACGTCAAGAATTAGTTGAATAATAATAGCTACAATAATAGAAGATCCTTCCAGATTATCTGATTGATAATGAGAATGAAGAATCAGAGGTGAATTTGTGCGATGATGATGATGAATAAAAGTTTTGATTTGAATCGTCATTTTGGCTCGTTCTTTATTATTATTTAATATAAATTTCAATTCTATCAATCAAAATAAAATATTAATAGAAGAGATTGAAAATCAAAATTTTTAGAAGTTCAAAACCATTTCTTTAGTTTTCCTTTCATCCAAACTCCTTTCCTTTCATTCCCTTCCTTAGAAACAAATATCCCAATTCCATCTTACAATCCTTGCTTCCATTGTCCTTTGTAACAACGACCGTCACTATATAGCATTTCTCCATATCCATGTTTAAGTCCTTCCAAATATTGACCAGTATAGATTCGTCCTTAAAAATAAGTTAAATCAAAATTTATCGCATACCATCACCCCATTTCATCGTACCATTTCCATGTTTGGTTCCATTTTTCCAATAGCCTTCAAAAACCATCTTCCTATCTGGCCATATCTAGATTTAGGAATAAGATTTACAAATGATCCATAACCATGAAATTGATCATTTTCAAATTCTCCCTCATAAACACAACCATCGGCTAATCTGATGATTCCAAGTCCATTTTTCATTCCCTCTTTGAATTTCCCTTCATAAATGGATCTGTCATTGTATATCTCTTTGCCCATGCCATGTTGTAATCCCTTTTTCCATTCTCCTAGTAAATAGTGACACATGATACCTTAGTAAATGCGACCATCTGAATAGACATACTCGCCAATTCCATGGAACATACTGTCAAGCCATTATCCCTTGTAAGTCTCTGTGCCATTGACATAGATGGCTTCTCCTTGGAGCTCATTGGAAGCCCACTAAGAAATATTATTATAATATTACAGTTCCTTCGACATAGCTAAGAATAATAAATATATAAGATACTACCTATCTTGGAATGAATATTTACCTTTTCCATTTGCTTTGCCATCTTTCCATTCTCCTTTGTAGATGGCTCCGTTCTTCATTAATATTGAAGTTGAATCAGAATCAGGGAGCTAATTGGTGTCGAAACAGAATTTGGATTGTTCCACTTGGGTAGGTGCTGAGGTCTCTGGAGAGTGCAAAGTGGTCATAAGGGATTTACGAACTTTATGACCTCTGTAGAGTGCTTATATGACAATGATTTTATTCTCATCATAAATGGGGGAGGGGTCTTCTTTGATGAGTATTTCGGTTTGTTTGTGTCCACTCGAATCCATGGTGAGTAGATCTTCAGTAGATTCTGGCAAGCTCTTGCAGATGCCCATTTGGAATAGTGTTTTATCAAATTATTTTATATTACGAAAATCCTTATATGTTCTAGACTAATTCGAGTGATCGGAAGAGGAGGACTGGAAATAAGCTGGGAGGAAATAATGAAAATGTGAACATAACTTTAAATTACTTAATTGGATCCTAATTTGGTAATTATAATGTATAAACTAAATATTATATTTAAACATGTTTGCAGACCTCATTCAGCATATAAAAAATACAAGTCCATAATTTGTTATCGGACAATATGCAGATGCTTATGATAATTATAGCAGTTGGCGTATGTGCAAAGTGATCAATCTCTCAACTGATCAGATCACAGTTCAATACGATGGATGGAGCTAGAAATATGATGAGACTCATAAACTTAAAGTAGGAAGGGTCGTGTATTTTAGATCACATACTGAACTCTACACAGGTGCTTAGAAGAGTGCGTCCCGAGAATTCTAAATAACCAAAGAAGTGGATCACATTCAATAGGTTATTGAGAAAATGCAGAAGTTGATAGTAAGCAATTTTGCCAATGTCGAAGCACACGACGTCTGTCAATTTGTGAGAGGAGAACTCTATCTACTAATTGATAGCGTCATGCAAGAATAGTACTGCTATAGTCAGGGAGAATTTAAAATGACTACAGATCTAATCGAAGCCTTTATAAGATTCTTCGTTGAATGGGCAAATAAGATTTTGGAGAAAATAAACATCTATATCCAAGGCGTCCAAGCACACCCTCTAATTTATTATTTTCATTTGGACACCTGTTTAGTATCCTGTCATCCCGAGATGTTCGACACCCTGACCAAGATATTCAATGGAAGTGGACCCAGATGCAAGCGTTACTTCCAGAGCAACGAGTCCCAGCTCTTGAAAATGTACTCCATCTCTGATCGACACTCTCAAAATGTCCAACAGGGTTTCTTCAAATATTTCTAAGATTAAAATGGCCTATAAGTAATTGAGAATTTGATAGCTTGGCAACACAGCGATGGAGAGACCAAATAAAAAGTGCCTTTTGGAATAATCAAAAATATCTTACCCTTAGTGGAGAGTATCTATAGGAGCTTCCCAACGAGTTAAAACAGACAAGAATGGCTACAAAAAATGAAAGACATGATCATCAATCGATTACATAAGTTGACAACCAATGATCTCAAGGAATCCAATCTAAATCCTGTCTTCTAAATTTTTAAGTTGATTCCTTAACAGTTCTCCTCCATCATCAACATCTCCCAAGAATGCGAAGCCACAGAGATTAAATTAGCCATCACTTTAATAAAGTCATCCATTCTTGAGAAGAAAATAAAGGGAGTAAAGGAACTCACTGAAATAATTGACAAGGTAACTACTTCCAAAAATTCAATGATGTATTAGAGTGTAATAAGCTCCTATTACAATCCGGATCGATTGGGCAAATTCCTTTAGGAAGAGAAGGTTTTCGACATTCTTCTCTAAGAGGCAGGACATGCAGAAGTCTTTAAGAGAGCAGCACCAATTCTGAGATTTATGGTTGATCAAGTGAATTCAAGCACCAAGGATATAGAATAATTATGGGAGGCAAGTCAGATGAGACATGAAACAGAAGCTCAGAGTGTCTACGAAGTGATCAGTGATATTGCGAGAGTGATGAATCATGAACAAACAGAGATGATCCTTAACAAGTTGACGAATATTAGTTAAAAAGACATAGATCTAAATTTGATCAATTTCATGAAGGATTTCACTTTGAGTGCCTAGAAAAATTCGATTTGGAAAAATAGGGCCATCTTTACACTCAATATGATGTGGAATTTACTTTAAGACAAGAGCGATCTCAACCCTAATCTACTTGAACCTCTAATGACTGGATTCATATAATGTCTCAAACAGGAGCGTGAGTAGTATTAATAATTTTGTTTGGAGAACTTGCGAAAGAGTTATTCGTTCCCATAATGTTTGCACATCCTATAAAAAATCATTGAGAGTTATGGATAAGTATAAGTCTACTTTGGAGCTTCTTCAGAGGATAATCTTAACAAAATCATGAAAGAACATTAAATGATTGATCTAATTGTTAGGAACCTTGAAAGTTATAGAGCCAATGTAATCAATTGTTAAGATTGTTTTGCTATTCTGACTGGTAAGGTTGCGCATGCGTAACGAATACAATACAAAATGGATTTCCTTGAGTATATAGCTGCAAGTCCCAAGAAGTATGAGTTTTCACTTGAAAATTTTAAGAAATTATGGAATATCCTCATAATCAATCCCATTCATGAAACTGATCGAAATCCCATGTTAGATTTCTTAGTAAAAGGTGGGTTTAGAGTTAAAGAGGATTTATTCAAAAACATATTCTGCAACATCAACTACCCAATCAAATTATGTTATAGAAGTATAGAAAAGTACTTTATGCAATTAAATCAAAAAAATGGCTCAATAAATTGCTAGAAGTCTTAAATACGCATCATAAAATACGATCAGATCATTGGTATAAATTTCTTCTTCGATGTGGTCTTCTATTACCCTGATGCAGATTAAGCCATATAGACTCTTTTATAATTGCACATGAGAACAGAGAAAGCCAGTTAAGTGGATTAGAAATTGCAAATGTGGAACTCTCTCCTAATGAAGTGCAAAGAAGCTCTGAAATAATCAAATAACACTTAAGTTTAAGTCTAAAATGTGATTAAGTGTCTCAAAGATCTTGTGACTGGAATTGAAGGGAAACAATACTTTAATACAAGCAGTCCCGCTATTACTTTGACCAAGTTCTAAGTCTAACTCGGCAAGGATGAAAAAACTTTGAAAGAGGTATCCCTCCCTTCTAATTCCACTCTGTTAGCTGTGAGAAAACATTTGAATCAACTCTATAATTTCAATCAACAAGATTACGATATGTTTTTGGCTAATCACGATATGAAGATCAATCAAGACAACGAAGAAGATTTGACAATCAGTTTGTTCGAGGAATCCAAATCTAGAGATAAGCCAGATATCATTCTTTAGAATATCAGTCAGAATATGAATTCATTGTGTTTGAGCATCCGTAAATTTAAGGCTACTTTGAGTAGCAATACAGAATTATCAGAGATTTTATTTGATTTGTTGTAATCAGAGAATTATGAAGACATATGGGAAGTGTTGACATTGATGCCTCAAAATAAATAAATAAAAGATAGATTGGATAGGGGAGGGTCTGATGAAGAATCATGGAGTAAGATCTTGTATTTCAATTGTAATAAAAAATTGCTATATTGCTTACAAATTTATGAAACTATGATATTATAGGACAAGACTGTATTGCAATACTTTTTGAAGACTAAAGGATGTCAGAGTATTATCAATTATTATCTGAAGAGACAGGAGTATGAATTTACCAATCTATTCAATTTGAAATGTTATGCGCAAATTGCTAAAATTATAGGGATATGCAATATTAGGGATTAAGAAATCAATAGGAAATGTGTCAAATATATTGTGTATGCCTTGTAAAAAATAGAAAATAAAGTATACTAAGACCCTTCTGCAATACAGAGTTTTCTGTAATATAACTTTAGAATAGCCTCAACTGAGAATGTGGGTGACATAGAGCAGATGAAAAAAAGCTTAATTGAATTGGTAGATCCTTAGATCAGAAAGACCTTGTGCCAATAACTGATTGATTTGAAGCCTCTCCATAAACATTTCTAGAATCTGGGTGAAAACTTGTAAGACGTCATGAAACTGAAGAATTAGGCTGAATAATATTTGGAATTGTATGCTGGAGTTTTAGAATAGACAAACAATAATGATTTAACAAGGATTACTCAAAGGTTGCCTTAAATATTGATTAGTTTCTTGCAAGAGGAGGAGACTGAGAAGATACTCCTATAGGCTTTCAAATTGATTTGCATTTTGGTGACAAAATGTTAAGAATCGTTATTAATGATAACAACAAATGAATAATTAGCTGATGCAATAGTTAGTAGTCTTTTCCAATTGAATGGGAAAACACTGCAAAGTCAGGACACGAGAAAAGCAGGTTATGAAATAATTTAAAAGTTATTTGCCAATTAGAAATTGATGTTGATTTTCGAATAGTATTTTTCTTGTGCCTTTTGGAGAACAAGTTCAAACACAAATTGGAATATAGTGTAAACATAATAGAGTAAGAGCCAAACTGGTTTCGTCGGTTTACGTAATTTGGGATGTATTTGTTATATGAATTCACTAATGCAATAATTATTCACTTTACCTAATTTCAGGGAAAGCATTCTCTCCCTGAACCTTGAGTAAGGATAACAGACAATTGCATATCAATTTTAACTTTTACTCTCTGCATTAAAGAATTCGTAGAAGCAATTCTATGACCCTACTAATTTTTGCAATGTGCTTGGACCAAATTATAAACCGATCAACTTTTATGAACAGATGGATGTTGACGAATTCTTCTTGTAACTCATGGACAAGTTGGAACTAGAACTCAAACCATTAAAGAGAGATATAATTGTGCCTAAGAGTTTCGGTGGATTTATGAGTACAGAATTTATAAGTAAAGGATGTTAACATCAATCTTCAAGAGAAGAATTATTCTTGGCCCTTTCATTGCAAGTGAAAAATAAAAAGAACATTTATGAATCCATGAAGATGATGACTGATGGTGAAATGCTCGAGGGTGATAATGCATATATGTGTGAGAAATGTGAAAAGAAGGTCCCAGCTCTAATGAGAGTCTGCATTAAACAATTGCCTAATGTTTTGATCATGGTGTTGAAGCGCTTTGAGTTTAATTATGAAACACAGTAGAAATTTAAGTTAAACGACTATTACGAATTTCCAACTCAATTGAATATGAAGCAATTCACCAAGGAGTACTTATAGAAGCAAGATTTTCAAGATGTTGAAGATGCAGATAGACTCATTGTGACTGAGTATTCGGATGAATATTATGATTATCACTTGAGAGGAGTGATTATTCATGTCGGCACCGCTGATCATGGTCATTACTATTCATTAATCAAAGATGCACAAACTAATAAGTGGTACGAATTCAATGATATTCTTGTTAAACCTTTTGAGTTCGGAGATTTGGCAACTGAAGCATTTGGCAATGATGACAAGGGCAGAAGCAATTAATTATTAAGTCGATCTAAAAATGCATATATGTTATTCTATGAACGCAAGACTTATTTTGATGAAAATGGTAAACCACTTAAAAATGATTAAGAATTACGATGGTTTTTTAATAACAATAAGAATGAAAAATAAAATGATGAGATCCTGATTGACAACATTAAGTTTTAAATCAGTTAGGTTATGTTCGATGAAGCCTTTTTTGAGTTCAGTTGTGCTCTATTGGACGAGGGGGCTCAAATTCATATCGGTAGATTCTGCTTATAATATTTCCTCACAGTTGTCATACGTTTCCAAGAGAGAGGACAATTTGTGCCAAGATATTTGGAAAAGTTGAAGTAAATAACCAGGAATTCCCTTCAATTGGCAAATGAATTTCTGATTTCTATACAAAATGCTGACGTTCTAAATGAGTTGATCCTCTAAAATCCCATACAAGACATGAGAGTCATTATCGGTGGCCTGATCAACGATGCCATCAAGTGTCTTGTAGACAATGAAAAGTTCGCTTCATATAAAGAGTTCAAGCAAAAAAGCAACTTGATTCAATTGACCCAATCTATGATTCACTATATCCAGAATAGGAAGAACTCTGATTAAATCCAAAGGATTATCTACCAATTGTCATTGAATGATTTCAGCAAGACATATTTACGAGAACTGAAATCTGTAGGGAGAATCTTCCTCTACTTTTTAGATGAACCTCCTGTTGGAGCTGGTTACATTGAAATTGCAGATCCCAATGTGGAATTAAAATTACTCAAGATCAACAAATAATATATTAGGAACGAATAGATGTAGTAAAATCCACAAATTTTGCAATAGTAAGAGAACCTTAAGTTTGACAATCTATACGTCGATTACTCTTATTTGGTTATGGCTCTTAATCAATTGATCTATTAGGATGATGACGAACTATGCATGTTAGATGATCCCCTACTCTTTAAGAGACTCCTAAGCATTACTTATACGAGACAAGCAAGATTGGCTTTGAAGGAGGCAATACAGAAATACATAAAACTAAACAACAATCCTTGGGATCAAAGTCTAGCAGTCGTGTAAACACTCTATGAACACTTGAAGGATTGCGATGAGAAGGACTTAAAAACAGCCTTGATTGTACTTAAAGGAATAGGTGAAATCGATGATGCTTACATAGAATAAAGAGTACAATATAAATTTCAATTTAGTTAACTTTGGTGGCTGAGGCTTATATTTCTGCTTTGAAAGACAACCTGGGTTACTGGTATTACACATCGATTATGTTTGATTACGTAATAAAGGTAATTGCTTATTATCATTCTCCACTAGATCTGCACAAGATTGAATTTTCAAAAAGCATTCGCTGAAGTCTTGAATCGAAATAAAGGGGTATTGAAATTGATGTAACAGTGGCTAAAAGAATCATAGAATCCATTTTAGAACTTCTCATAACAAAGGGTATTTATGATCGATATATTATTTTACAGTGGAAAGTCTTTAAAAAGAGACAGATGAATGTGTTGGCTCAGGATATAACTGAAAAACTGAATAAATTCTAGGCCTTATCTTAAAAAAGAATAGAGTCACTGGAGAAAATCATGAGTCAATAAGTTGTGAATAGTAGTGGTTATGATTCTGATACAGTTCCTAATCTTGAATAATAGGTTGATGTCATTATCCCAGCAAGAACATACCTCAATAATTTCGAGACTTGCGGCTATTCAACATGGACAATCGGAATCAATTTAGGAGATATGATGGAATTAAGATAAAACAATATGACTAAATGGGTTTTCAGCACAGATTCATCACTTGCACCTCCCAATACATAGACACTAAAATATGAAAATCATGTTTCCTTTATGAAATGATCAATAAATATCATCATTTAATTAAATCATCTAAAGCTTGGTTGAATTCGCTGGGCACAACAGATTTGTATGGATACAAATCAATCGCTTGTTGATTCTACTCTTCAAATTGTTATTATAACAAACTCTTAATCTCAGGCCTAATTGTATTCAAATATTCTTTTGTTTTTGTTGACATCTCTAGAGACAGCTTTGGTTGGTTAAAGAAAATCAAATAATTTTAAAACTTTTTAATCGAATCTATATATGTTAATGTTATATTTTATACTTATTAGATCTGCACTTTTCGCTTGTATGTCCTTTAGGAATTCTATCAAATACTCCTCTTCAACAGGGGAACCTTCCTTGATGTTTCTATTCAAAAAGGATTTCTCCTTGGGTTTTCTCTTTCTAACTCCTGTCGTCACAGACATTGTGTAAGATGACTTTGACATTCCTGATTTCCCGCTTACATCACTCATCTGATCGAAATCAGCATTGACTTAGGATGGTGCCAAAATACCATGTTCTTTCTTCTGATCTTAGACTATCCTTAATCTCTCTAGTTTTTAGATGAACAAATGTTGTTAATTCAATAAATGATTCACTTTCAAAGAGAAGGCCAATTATAGATGATCATCAATATTTATCCATTTGTGTCTTAAACATTAGGCTACACATTCCCACTCTTCTGCTTTACAATAATAATGAATAGCTTATTCATAATTTTTCAAATACTCTTAAACTTATCCACAATCCTTCCATCTTCCAGCTGCCAATAATATCTAATTGTAGTTTAACAAATAATCCTCCTTTGGATCAAAAGATATAATTCTTTTAGTATCTAATATTTCAGAAGATGCTTAAACTGCCTTTTCATACAATCCAGCACTTTCATAAGCCAATGATGCTTAATGATATTGCTTTTAATTATTTAGGTAGTCTCCCAGAGCCTCCTTCACTTTCTTCATCATCCCCTAATCATTTCTATACACTTCCAATGCTATTCTAAATCTGTTTTGCTTTCTGATTAATTCAATAGATTTTTATTTCTATTCCTCATTTCCCTCTGATAACACTTTAATAGCCTTATCATAATTCTTTAATTCAATATGGATGGTTGATTTCATGTCGATTGGATCCTTTATTTGTGAGTATCTTTCCAACATCGGCAAATATTCTTTAGGATCCTTCTACGTGAATTAAGCAACCTATTTGACCAAATCGAAATCATATGTCCCTAAAGCTACCTCAAACATCTTATTGGCATCTGCTAACCAACATATGTATTCCAAGACTTGCTCAGACTTAATTTTATGATGCTTTCTATTATATTATTGATGCTGTACTTGTAGGGCTTATGTGTGTCAGGATTCAAATGGGGAGGCACTTCTTCATGATGCTGTTCTTATTGTCTCAGTTTCAAAGTCTTCAATAGAGCATCTTCTACTTCGCTGGGCTCCTTTTTTAACATGGCTGTCACTATGGTGAGAATGTGAGTTTCCCTATATTCAAATATTTAAAGTACTCCTTCATATTGTCAATCAACTTTTAACAGACATAATTAATTTTGGATGTTCCCAAGGTTTTATCCACTATTAACACCTTCTGATGCTTGTACTGTTCGGCTGTCAAAACGTAGGGAAGTTCGAAACTTATGTCATTATTTAGAGATTGGATGAAGAGTTGTAGATATTGTTCTGATAGTTGTTCTACGATCTAGACATCTAATTCTCCTGAGAAATCAAACATCAAATTCATGTCTAATTTATGCTTTCTGATCATTTCAAAGCAAGTCTTATATTGCTTATTATCATATAGTTGTTTGCAGAGATGCAGAGCCATGACTCTTGGTGCTGTTGTTTCTAAATTGCCTCTTGGAATTTAAACAATAAGTCTATCCAAGGAAACGACAGCTAAGATCTTGGCCCCTCTCTCTATGTTACTAATATTCAAACTTTTTTTATCAATTGAAATTGGCTTGTTAAGATCTAGTATATATAAATTATGAAATTGATCAGCGGTGTTAATAGTAAATGCTAGAAAATGATCAAAAAATGCAAATGATGTACACTCATTCGTGACCAAGTGATTGTTCAACGTTAACCTACTATTAGACTTCAAACAACCAAGCCATTCATTATGCTGCTGGATCTTGACATCATAGACATTTAATTCCTTATTGGCAAGATCAAATTCACTTAAGCTTTCCTCTTATGATTGATCATATATAAACTTTTCTCCAAATCTTGAATGCAATATAATCTAGTGACCCTTTTTGGTTAATGCTGAAATCTATGTTGGTTAAGAGAATTCTTTTCTCCATATATTTATAATATCGAAAGTTGGAGAAATCACAACATCAACTAATTTATCACTTTCTGCCTCGTGCACTACAAAAACGGCATGACAAAAAATAACATCCTATTATTTATCAGAATAGCAAATCAATTTATGAGCACAATCGATATCCAACTTCACTTTACCCAACAGATTAACATTATCAAAGATACTCAGGGTTCCATCATATGAGTAGATATAAAGAAATTAGTCATAATACACTAAGTCTATTTGACTATCCACCTTTAATTAATAATGACATAAAGGTGGTGGAATGACTCCCTTCTTATAATCACTCACTAATAGGGTATCATAATCGGTAGATAAGCCAATTGAGGTGTTGTTAAAATGATAATTGAGCCAAAAGATATTCATGCTGTTTTCATTAAATACCACTAAGGTATTATTCTCAATAAATGTATAATCAATTAGCTTCTCAAATTTAAATGCTCTTTTTGAATACCATTTATAATTTTATCTTAAATGAACTGTTATTTTGTCGCCTTGTTAAATTGCCAAAATGATTCCATCTGGACTCCATTTGATATTTGTAGAATCCTCAAAAATGTTGAATTCCAAATGTCTCAAACCATTCTTCTCCCAAAATATCACTTATTTATCTTGAATACCAGCAATGAATTAACTATTAGGTTACCATGAAACTGTATTTACAAGATTCCTAGGCTTTTCAAAGATCGCCTACACCAAACCTCCTTCAGGGTCAGACTTACTTGGACTTCTGAATCTCTCCAATTATACATCATAAGTCTCGCATACTCTACCATCTTGAATAGCGTAGTTTAACGAAAAAAACTAATTCATATTTATCAAAGTTAATACTTTTCCATCATTTTTAAAAGAGATCGCGACCAATTGATCAAGAATTCCCTCTATGTTGATTTCCTTTGTTGGTTCTAATTGCACATCAAAACTAACCAATTTTCCATCTCCACAAACAACCACCAGTTATTCTTGATTGGGATTCCAAGCTGCTCCCAATACTCCACACTCAAACTATCCAACCACTTCTGCTTCCTCCTTATACACTTTGACTATAGCTCCATCTCTATAAACTATTATTAATTGATCATTTTCCATCAAATATTGGAAGGACAAGATTTTAGAGTTATTCTAAATTTGAGCACCCACTTTGTAAGTAGTTTAAATCTAATTTTAATTACATGAAATACGCTTAGTTATTTATTATTGTATTCATATTTGATGATATTGGATTCCTTATCAATAACATACAGGACTTTTGATAATTCATCAAAGGTAAACGCTAATGGTTGTTAGATTTCATAACTAATCAAATAATTGTCGATCTTTGTACCTTTGTTAACATTGTATTTATATTTCTTTCATTAATTAAAAAAATAATTAATTAATTAAATACAAATAGTATATTATTTTAATAATTAATTTAGCGAATAGTTAGGTTATTTAGAGTTATGCAAAGATGACAAAAATGTTCTAAGTACTGAAATTCAAATATGACCCCTCTTCATTAATTTTTTTAATATCCCACTTTATCAAACACCATCTATTTCAGTTTTTCGAGTATTGCAACAGGTGATTTCAAATATATAATGCTAGAGTTTGCCTTATACAAAATTTAATTTGTTTTAAGATATTTCTTCATTTGTTGATGGCTTTCAATATTATTTTATTTTTATTAAAACATGCTTAAATATTCACATCATTGCAAACTTTACTTTTCTCCTTTAACCTTAACAAGAAGTTAGTAAGGCATCTTCAAAGATACAGAAACATTTATGCAGTATAAATTAATTCTATATTCAAAATACTCTAAATAAATAAAATAGATATAAAGAAAAATATATATTTGTATTGACTATTGAATCAGTCGAATTTCTTCAATCTCTAGATTTACTTTTTAATTTGGAATGATTACAAGGATGGATTATTTATTACATATTATATATGCCTAAAACACTAGAATCGTTATGTTTGATTATTTGATTAACCGATGGAGCGAATTTGATAAATGTTCAAAGCTTAATACTAAAAAAATTGTGTAGTTATTATAATATTAAAATAATTTATTCAACTCATAATATATATTCAATTCAAAGTTGATTTAAATCTTATTAATGGCATCAATTTATCAGAAGTCTTCGAATACTTTGATAATTTATGATAAGGTTTGATTAGAAGTCCTGCTGGAGGGGATTTTTCAGTTTTTTACCTTCTCAGGTCTATAGATTGTAATAAACCCTTGGATTCATAAAATTTTTAAATTGCTCTCCCCTTTCTCGACATCTCATGTTTAATGAGAAAAGGAGATTTGCAAGAACATTTGAGTTTTGCATCTCTATTTGAACGAAAAGTTATTGCTGATTATTCAATTAGATTATGGTCCGATATTTCTTTAAAGACTCTCCCAAGTTATTTTTTAATGATGAAATTCCTGAAAGAGTCCTAATGGAGTGCCTGTCTTTGAGGTATCTTATAATTTGCTGTTTATTGAAAGTTTGTTTGATTCCCACAGAGATCGCAATTACAACTACTTCTTCTTTTGATTTTTTTTTCGGTGTCCATCTTGTGTGGGTAGGGTAGGTGAAAACTAGTTGATATTTGTTTTTTGATTTAGGTTATTTATTGAGATGTTGATTGAGCAGACTTAAGATGCTACTGAACTGTTAATGGTGTGTTGAAGAAGAGGGATTGAAGACGTGTGAGTTTGCCACATTAATCACAATAACAACTTGCTCTTCTTTGTGTATCTGGGGATGATGGAATGAATTATTATTTTAGAGTTGTTTTACGCAGAAGATTTCGTTATTATTTTATGATCAGCATTAAAAAATAGTTTTATAATAATCGTTTCACAATTACTTTTTAATCTATCTACACGAGAAGTCTTTGATTGCAGGAAGAACAATCTGACTCAAACTCGTGCATTCAGTTCTAAGTCTTCGATGTTAAACATCGATGTGTCTTAAACTCATCATCTAATTTTTTTATTAAATCAAGTATTTTGGATCAATCCTACTTCTGCTTTGCATTTGTTCGAGTTGGATTGTTCGACTGTGTGTTAGGTTTTTCCTTTTAATCACAAATAGCTTTCTGGATTTTTTTGGTTTTTTAAAAGGGACGTCTTTATGTTGAATTTGAAATTATGACATTGGCCCACATTCTGAACAGGTACAACTGTTTCGTCTGGGCCTTTGGTCTTAATTTTTATAAAATGAAGGTGTTTGGCTAATTGAAGTGGACATGGTTCTTGAATTTTTACTGATTTGTTATTTTTCATCAGTCTATGTTTTCTATAATTCTAATTCTTTTTTGGATTCATCAATTTAAATTTGGAGTGGCACCCATCCGTTATTTTAATGGATTTGTTAAAACTGACTTAGTTTACCACAATTATCACAATAGCAAGAACGTCTTCTTGTTACAGTTTGGTTTTTGTAGTGTTGAGAAAGATCTGGATATTTTTGTTGACTAGTCCTACGCCATTTAGCATACATTTAATTTAGTAATTGGTTTAAATAAGAAATATTTATGTGCATAAAGGAAATTATTAATAAGAATTTATAAATCACAATTGCTTATTATAATTTCATGATTTGGAAGTAGGTTTGTGAATTTGTTTAAAATGGACTGGCATGCCTTGCAATTATTGGTACTTTGTTGACAATTTCTAAGAGTCTTCATCTCCACTAAATTCATCCATGTATTAGTGAAATCCCCAGGTCGAATCGATGGTTTTATGGCGCTGAGAATAAGGTTCATTAATGTTACTCTGAATTAATCCTTGGGTTCGATTATTTGTATTCCACTGTGGAACACTACTGACTACCGTTTTGAGGATTTGGCACTCTTTTTGCTCTTCCTGCTCTTCTTGCTCCTCGACCTCTTGTCGTCCTTGATGCTGCCATTCTCGACCTAAGAAGGCACGTACTTAATCATCATGGAGGACAAGGACCCCTAAATTGAAGTGCTGGTCAGATGTTTGGATTCAGCTCTGACGGGACTGCCTCCATTTTATCTGTTAGCTTCGGGAGGCTTCAACAAATGATTTGAACCTAAGATAGCTTGAGAGGAGGGTTTGTGCTTGTCTTCAGAGACAGCCCAGATAATTTAGTCCTTAATCTTGGTAGAACGATCAGACCATTCAAAAACCTTATCCATAATAATTTGGTTATTGGATGCAGCTTTAAGAATGAGAGATTTCATATACTTATAGTCGGGCTCTGATTTGAATTCTAATTTTTTCAGATAACTATGTTTTAGTAGGCTGTTACTTCAGAATTTCAGCAAATTCAGAAGGAATGTCTTTACAGAGTTCTGCTACTTCAGTTTTCATTTTGACCTCTCCAACCAATGAAGTTCTGTCTCTATGTCCAATATTTTGTAAATTTTACCAAGGCAATTTGCTATAATATGAAAAGTGCACTCTACCCTTTTAAGAGATAAATCATCACATAGAACATCGACTCAACATCATCCTTTCTCCCTAACTCATGACCTCGATGGGCAGCAATTGAGGCATATCTAGTAGTACCTATAAAGGACTTCTTGTCTTTAGGAGGACTTGATAACATTAGAATTTGAAATTATACATATGTTTTCCTTGAGTGTCCAGATAGACTTTCGAGACTCCATAATCAACCAAGTAGATGATACCGTTGTCCAACTGATACCCAGTGAGTATGTTTTCAGGTTTGAAATCCCTATGAATGACCCCTCTTTCATGAACTTGTTGTAGAGTACCCAAGAGCTATTGAGTTATTTGCAACACAGACTTGAGACTCAATTTCTTGTATTGTTTAATGTAATGGCTCAGATCCTTCCCAAGTAGTTGGATGACAATCACATTATAATCTTATTCAAAACCACTCCAATATAATTTAGGAACTCCAGGCACTCCAACGAGACGATTGAGAATGGTAATTTCCCTGTCTAGAGAACTCGCATCCTCATTCTCCTCCTTCTCCACCTTAACAGCAACTTCCTCTCTTGTATGTTTATCGAATGCCAAATACACTATACCAAAGGATCCAGAGGAAATCTATTGTTTAATGATATATTTGTTATTGAAGATCTTCGGATCTCTGTAGCTCTGAGGAAGCTTCATCATATGTTAATTATAATTTATATTCAACGATAATCAAATATTCACTACATACCCCAACTTCTTCAATTCTTCAATCCTCTTTTTGGCTTTCGTAGCATTGATCAGAGTCTGCGACAAATAGATATTCTTCGGCAGTTGTCCACTCTTAATAATATTAAGAATGACATCAAGTATTCTCTCTGAAATCATATTTGAAGAAAGATGCAAAGACGTAATATTCGGATTCTGAGTCAAAGCCTGCAATACAACACTAGCACCCTCGTCACCTATCTTATTCCTGGCCAATTTCAACTGCTTCACCTTCTTGCACATTTTCAATTGTTCCGCAACAATATTACACCCCTCATCTCCCAACTCTTAAAGAATACAATCGACATATCTTACCTGCATTGGACAGATCCACAATTTCTAAATTGTCATTCCGAAATGCCTGCATGATTGGCTCAAACTTCTCATTAATTTTAAACGTCTTCTTCCTCTTCTCTTGTAACTTGGGAGTGGGAGATATCCCTTGTCTCAACAAGGAAACAGGAGGAGGCGGTTACAAGGCCACATTATTGGGGGCATCCTTACTTGGACTCTTCTACTTTAACTATTTCAAGGGAGTTGTTGCGGACTAAAAACTATGCAGAGACGGTTCTGTCCTCACAGGACTTTTGGCTTATTGCAATTGTGATTAGGGGGTCTATTTCAATTCATGTTGTGAATTAGACACTACATGGGTGACCTAAGACATCAAGTTGTCTTCGTTGTCTGTCCAATCAGCTACAGAATTATCTCTTAAAAGAAGAGGTTCCTCTTGATCAAATTTACTGAAACTATTCTCTACTTGATTTGTTTCATGATGACTCATTTACAAAGTTAAGGTGCACATCTATTCAAAACACTTATCTATCTCCTGTTTTTTGAAATCCACTCTGATTTTCTTGATTTTCACATTGTTAATTCGCTATTCCAACATCTTAATCGTTCTATCCATTTCGTCTAAGATGGCATTGCCTTTGAACTCCTAATTGTACAGCAGATCTAATGGCAATTCCCCACTCTCAGTCTTCGTTGAAAAATAAAGCAGTCTGTCCTTTGCCCCTATCTTCCACAACTCTGCTTATTACAAACTCTATTACACCTAGTCCTTGATCTACCTTTTGGTTTGCTATTCCAGTGTCTGTGTCAGTCCATTCAATTACTCCAAGAGTTTATTCTCCTTCAAGTCCAACTGATGATGCAATTCCTTGAATTTCTCCTTGACTGCCATCTGACTCTCCTACAACATTATCGAATACTTCTCATTCAGTGACTCATAAAACTTAGACTCCGTTAACTCTGATTACTTATCCAAGATCTTCTGATAAGTCTGCATGATATTCTCAGCTTTCGAGGCTATCTCCCTTACGACATCATCGACCGAACGAACCTCGTGATGTCTGTGATTACCAAATAAAGCACATTTAGTACATATTCGAATCTTATCCGTCAAGCAGACGATCTCCAACTTCTCCAAATGTTCCCCGCACAATTCAATCTTCTCCTGGGCCAAGTTATTCAGATGTAACTAATATTCTGGATGATCTAATGATGGCCTTTACTTCACCACCATTTTTAAAAGTTAACAATTCTTCGGAAACTCTGTTATATGTGTCTTCCCCTTTGCAAGAATACTTTATATATCTCATTGTCAGAATTACTTATCCTCAGGACAACATATCTGCTAACCATCAGCGCTCATCAACATCTACTTTATGCATTTTTAGCAAATCGTATGTCCACAATCAGGCAACATCAAAGGGATATTCTCGAATTCATTGAATATATTACAGCATTACGGACATATGAGCTCTTCCATTTTAATTAAAATAACGATATTTCATTAAAGGAATACTATTAATTTATAATTCATCATTTCATTAATGATTATTCATTATTCATTATTCTCACCCCCAACTTTACTCCTCCCCTTCAGAATATCAATTGTCAAATTCACAAGCCTTCACATATTAGAATTTCAATGACTAGTTCTAATTATTATTATTGGTTATTTTATGATTTCCAATCTCAGAAACACACATTCAATAAACCCCATTGGATGAATTAGCTTTTGTATGAAAATGTAATCCTCTTTTAGATCATATTTTATAATGTTGCCTATGGTTTGTATTATAAGTGTCTTACTATTTTGATAATTCTTAAATTCACTCATTATCTTCACTCTAATTGGGCCTAAGCATTATAGTAAATGTCTTGATTGTTAATTAACATATTTATTATTAATAAAATGAAAAAATAAATTTAAAAGGAATTAATAGATCAATATACCTAAATGGGTTTCTCGGTGGAATTAATTCATATGGCATGGGAAGTGATAAACGCAGAATCAGAAATGATGGACACACTCATTACTTTATCAAGTTAAAATTAGTAGATGCAATAAACATCAAATGTACGATTATTTAATAGATTGAATAGAAGCAAGACGAGGAAATTCAACTAACGCAGGCGTTGCTGGATTCATATAAAACAAATCAATAGACTGGATCGCAAAAATTTGAAATAATTTCACCTGAATAAAGAAAGAGAGTTGATGGAATCCCATGCGGTTTGAAGAATGTTGGGAATACGTGCTATTTTAATGGTTTGCTCCAGACCTATTTCTTTGATTGTCAATTTGTGAAGACCATCATAACTTTCTAAATTCCATAACAAATTGAATAAAACAAATATGGTAAATCAATCTAGCTAGTATAAAATCTACAAAATCTCTTCATCAGTATGATTGGGAGTGACAAAAAGTATGTTGATCCATCCGAGGTTGTTAAAAGCATCTGTGATGAATTCGGAAATGTTCTTCCCATTGGAGATCAGAAGGATGTGGGCGAATTTAATCTTTACTTCCTAAGTAGGGTTGGAGAAGCACTTACTTAAGCAGAATCGCAAAGTAGCAAAGTTGAAGACATATACATAGAATCTTCTCCTTCGATTTTGAAGTAGAAGTCATCTGTGATTCACGATGAAGATATTGTTTCGAAGTTATTTTTATGTAAGGTTTTTCATCAGTTTCAATTTGAACAAGGGGGGATTCAACAGATCAGAGAAAGCACAGAACTTTTCAATTACATTCCGCTTGATTTGAAGGATGGGAACTTATATGATAGTTTCGATAACTTTATCGTTAATAACATCGATGATTTCAAGAACGATTTTAATGAAACAGTTCAAGCAGTGAAATATAATTGGATACATTCACCACCTTAAAAACTGTCATTTCAAATTCAGAGAGTTATTTATTGCAAAGAAAAAAGTATGTTGTCACAGAATATTATGTTTTAGATGATTTAATTAAATAAAATGATGAGTTTACGTTTGATGAAGAAATCTACTTGGATCGTTTCCTATTGGAAAATAGAGTGAAATACCTGGAAACTAGAATATAGAATAAAGAATTCAAATCCAAATAAAAGAAGATTAAATTGGGTCAATAATAATTGGCTAAATTTAATGATCAACATGATTTACAAGATGTATTGACTAATACAATCAAATTTTTGGAAATGCAAAGCGTAGAGAACAACGAGCATGCTGCTAACTTTGGGTAATCGGATTAGCAAGCAGCCATTGATTAATTGCAACAATTTACTTAGAAGGTATTGAGGAAAAAGAGGTAGCTGTAAACTCAATATGATGAACTTGAGAATTAGATTTAGGCTAGCTACAATGATTTAAAAAAGCATAAGTATCTTCTACAATCCATTCTCATACATGATGGCTAAGCCAGTAAAGCAATATTCTATTATTAGATTCCGGACATTACTACACTTACATTAAAGACTTTCGAAGAGAAACATGGTTTAAATTCAACGACATTCACGTAGGAGTGGAGACTAAGGAGAAAGTGTTTTAGGATGCCTTTGGGATGAAGACGGGAGTCAACGCATACTTGTTAATCTATGCTAGAATTGATATTGTGAAATAGGAATTAGAGTCTCAAATCAGATCGTACAGAATAAGTTCGGAACATGGATACTTGAATGATAAATACGGTAGTTTCCTCAATTACATGTAAAGAGAACAGTTAGCGAAGGAGAACTAATTGTTCTACAATGAGATAGAGGAATACAAGTCTTCGAGGATCATAGAGAAATTAATTGAGTCTTATTAAATTAGATTTCAATTTATTAATGAACACTACCGAAACATATCTAGCTAGGTGCAATAAACTACGTATAAGCCGTTGATAATGTTGAATTTCCCAATGTTTATTAAGAGTAAGATGACTGTGCTAGGTAAGGATTCTTATGAGAACATTTTAAAGTGGGCAATCTTGGATTCAGCATTGAGGGATGTGAACTAGGATAAGTCAGGTATTTTTGGGGGATAGATTAGCGAGCACGTAAAATAACAGTATTATGAAAATAGTTTCAAAATCAAATAATGGTTAAGTTCAAGGCATAATTCAATGAATTCAAGAGGCCAACTGATTATTTGAGTACAGAGGAATAGAATGAATTTCACAAGTTGACTTAGGAATACATTCAATATGTAGCAATGGCTTCGTTGGCATCGATATTATTGGATTTAATTTTAAAAAGAGAGTTTTGCATGGTGCTCTCAGTGTTGCATCATTTTTCTATGAATGCAAAATAATTGGATACTCATAATTATTTTTATAAAATGGCAAGTAATTTTTAAAAATTAATTCCAATTATAATAATTTGCAAAATGATTCCAGCACAGGCGAATGTGAATTTGTAAGAATTGGAACTGCTTCAAGCCTATCTGTCGTTTTAGCATTTTAGGGTTGAGGATCAAAATTTTTGGGATACTCAGATTTCAATAATGATGAATGCGGTTTGTGAAAATCACGATGAACCATATGTTCAGAATATTATTACTAAATTTGAAGCCAATATTAAAGATCCAAATTTTATAAATTAGATAGTGCAGATCAATGATGTAATTAGAATGGTAATTGTAGGACATTGGCGTGCAGTAGGCAGCTTTGAGTGCCAGTTACGATGTGTATTATTGGTTTCCAAATGTGAAGCAGGATGTTTTGTTTGATAAGTTGGTTAGCGGTTGGAATGAAATGAAAGCTTAATTCGATGTAAGTGTAGAGTTTTAATTTAGCCGTTCATCAAGATATAATAAGCTCATAAGCAATCCCATATTCCACTGATGAAATAGGAATTAGAAAATCTAATTTGTTGATATATATATATATATTTTATAGATAAATATTATGATTCTGATAGCAGCATCAATGCACATACGGGAGCATCGTTCTTTTTCTCTTAGGACTCCTTCAATTCATGTAAGAGACGAAGATCCGAAAGATGTGGTGAAGAGTAGCATTTGTGGTATAATGATGGGAGTACTTTTCATGATAATATTCGCAATAATTGGGATGGTAGGGATATTTACGAATATCGACGAGGAAGTGGAATATATATGGATGTTGGTCGTTCTGACTTTCACTTATGTACTCTTTATTCCTTACTTTATCTTAATATTACAAGATCTGAGGAGAATATCGAGTGAGTTGGAGAAGCATCAGGATGAATCCATTGTGATGAATCCCTATGCATTTGCTTCTAGTATGAATACGATTAGCGCCATTACAAACACAGATAAATATAACCTTTTTAGATTATTAAATGTTTAATTTTTCATCATTTCTTTGATTATTAGTGCTTTCTTAATAAATTCAGAAATTGTGATCGGATCATTATTAGCAATTGTTAACTACATCGTGGCAGCAACTATTATCATCTATGTTTGCAGAAGATGCTGGCTAGGATGTTGCAATATTAAAATTGCAACCAAAAACCCCAAACGATATCACTACTACAGATACCCATGTAAATTTAATCGATTACTATACAAGCTCCCAATCAAGTCAAGGATTCGGCATTTGCATTTGCAGTAGCATTGGTTACTTATTATGTTTGCAAACTCGTCCTCTATGTGATCTTTCTTTGCTTAGATCAAGAAGATTTTCAATACACTTACCTCACTAGCTTATTCTATGCTTTTATAATGATTGTGTAATTCGCATATGTTTCGTATTTGATCAAAAGAACCCTCATCACTCAACAATCCAAGAAATACTTCAAATGTTACATGACTTTATTTTAGTCCCTTTACCTCTCCCAGACCACCCAGAACTGTGTTCTCAAGGGACTTTACTTCTTTTCCTTATTGTTTACCTACATCGCCTTCTTTCTTGAGAAACCCTACTTAACAATCAAAAACTCAGATCTCTTTGGAGTTCAATAATTTTGTTCCTACGAACACTTCATATACCTATTCACATTTCTGCAACTCATCTATTTCCTCTTATTTCGAAGTTATTGTGTTAATAAGGAGGAGGAGCAAATTCAGATTTTTGATTTCAATTAAGTCCAAACCCAGGACAACCGTTTACAATGGATACAAAATTAACAGGACTACCCAATCTACGACAATTAGGAAGCAGACTTCCTGTACTTCATCCACGATCTAGAAGCTCTCTAAGAGATCTACGATAATCTGATTTTTTAATCTTCCTAATTAGAGTTGAAGATGAGACCAAGAAATGGCCAATTAATCAATTTGACCTAATGGATTGAAGACAAAAAGTTTTAATTGCAAGTCCAAGGGAGAAGTTTTGATGATGAATACTTTGCAAATCTCAAATCATTCATCAAACAAAACATTGGATCCAAAAGAGACGCCAAAGACAAACAAAAATAAACTATCGATAGAATTGAATGTGCAATATGTTTATAATAGTTGGACACCAAATAGAATATCACCAGATTAGGATGCCATTCCACTCATAAATTTCACACTGAATGTATAGAAAGATGGATCAATGCTGTCCACAAATGTCCTTTATGCAATCAACCTGCTTGATTATTAAATATATTTGACTACAAAATTTGTGATATCTCTCATCCTACCCTTTTCAGGACATCATCATATTCTAATTCAGTTCCCCTCAAGAGAGTCAGTTCAATTCGAAAATCATCTCATTTACATTATGTTAACACCATTATCTTGTTAAAATTTATGCAATTTGATTATTTATTAACGGATTAATGGGCTGTACATCTTCAATAGAATAAACTACTATGATCTCCAGTAAGCCTGGAAGACCTAAGATCACAAAATCAATGTCAAATAGCTCGATTGTTTGCTATAGGAACTCAAAAATCAGGGAAAATGTCACAATCCTTAATTAAGGGAAATCATAGCTTGATTCTTAATTCATCACTCAAATGTTGAAGAAACACTATATATTTTATTAATTGAATGAGGAGTCTATCCAGAACATTATTAAACATATGTTCTATTGTTTGATCAAGCAAAATCATCCCTTGTACCAGAATATTAATACTCCATCTTGTATGTTCCTAGTGGATAAGGGCCAGCTGAAAACTTAGAACTTCACACTGTTCCAGCCAGGTTCCATTGTAGGCGAGGACAATTTGTTGTTGGGATCCATCAAATTTATTGAAGCCAATGAAGACACTTATATGTGGGGTTTGGACAAAGTGCAATTCAACAAGGCAATCTAAGGGATCATCTCGCAATCCTTTATAACCAATAGAGCATTTCTATAGCAATAATATTTGTTCCAGTATTTCAGCTAAAATTAATTAGATGGAATTGCTGCAAACATATTGCCAGTCCAATATCAAAAAAATCAAGTGATGTTCTCAGATGATGCCTTTGTAATCATCAAAGCTGGAGAGGCGTCCTTATTTAAAGGCAATCAATTTTCAAAGAACCTTTCTCGGAGAGATACCTATGGTACCTTATACAAACTCAATAAACCTAAAAACATCAAAGTCAGAGCTGTAGTAGAAACGCAATGTCTTATACTCACCTAACCCAAATTAATTGAGGTGATTGGGTTCAATATACAGAAGCAAATCTACCAGGCCATAATAAGACATGTGTTGATTGAAATAGAATTGCCTGGGTTGGAAATTGAGAAGATCTTGGAGAAAGAATAATATAAACTGAAGATTTACAATAACGAACCTATACGGTAAAGGTAGATTCATGAAGACTTAAACATAATCGTTGATGGATCGGTTGATTGTGAAGGAGAAACCTTGAAATTGGGAGAGTTCATCTCAGATTAATTTGATAATTCCGTTTATGTGGCTAACGGCACCATTGCCATCATCCAAAAAGACTCTCTTTACATAGAGGATTACATTATAGAAGAGAGCTCGGATGAGGAATCAATTAAGTGCAAACCCAGATTCACAGAATTACAGCAATTGCAAATCATTAGAAGGAATTCTAACAATATAATCAACTTGGTTCAATTCAAACAATCCAATTACATTCTCAGATAGATCAATAAATAATCTCAACAGAAAACCTAATAGGAAAGAAAAATGAAATCACAAAAAAAAGTATTCGAAACTCTAAAATGTCCCCATGTATCTAAATATTATCAATTCTATGAAGATAATGTCTCCTATTACTTTTTATTTCAATTTATTGATGGAACTCTCCTATCAGAGAGAAGATTAAAATTGCCTCAGATTCAATCATCAATACTCCAAATGATATCCATCCTAGAGGCCTGCTATAAGAATTCGATTATTTGTAGATCCATTAAATTAGATAACTTTTTGATTGACTACTAAGGAAACGTCTCCTTGATTAATCTTCTGAATGCTAAGTAAGCCTCCAGAACCTATACAATCATTGGCTCTCCTCATTACATGGCTCCAGAAGTACTCGAAGGGAGAGGATACGATTGCAATAGTGATGTGTGGAGTTTAGGGGTCTGCTTATACGAGTTGCTTTTTGAATCAGTTCCCTATGGCTAGGCATTGGATGATCCATACTAGATTTACGAAGAAATTCTAGGTTAGTCTGATTTAGAGTTCCCAGATAGTTATTAAGATGAATAAGGCAAGAGTTTAATAAGATAATTGATTAACAAGAATGTGTATCAAAGAATAGGTTCCAATTTCGATTAACTAAAAAATCACAGTTGGTTCAGTTAGTTGGATATTTCTAACATCTCTCCAATTGAATCACAAATAGAAATAAGATGTTGAATAAAATTATATAACTTAATATTTATATTTATGAATAAATAGAATTTAGTATAAATTATAATTTTTATTTATTTTTATTCAAAATATTCTAGAACAAAGAGTAATTTGATATATTCTAATTGTTTGAATTATCTTGTTTTGTGATGTCATAGGTTTATGAAATGACATTAAAAATGCATTTAGATGCATTGATTTAGAGTTAAATTAAATGCAAAAAAAGGAAGAGTAACAAAAAAAGAGATATTTATCTGTTATCAACAAGATTCTAGTGATTCTGACAGGAATTCTACTAGCCTACAATATTAAATTGTACTTCGATCGTGCTTCTTCGTCTCACTACGAAATTAAAGGAAATGGTAATACTTGTATTCATAATCAGAAATCACTATGAAAAATGATTAAAGGTATTTGTCAGACTTTCAACTTACCCCACTTTCAAAAGTCCTTTCCTAAAATCCACAGGCAACCAAATTAAATGCACAATTGTCATACAATCGCATTAATGATTTCAGAGACTTTTTTGCCAGCTTGGAGTAACTAAGTAACCTAAATGAATGTAATCATTTTGAAATATTTACTTAGTGTCACTTTCTATTGGTAAGAATCCAATAGTGAATGAATAAGAGTAAGCTGTATCATTAGGCAAAGCATTAGCTAAACTCACCAAATTAACCAATTTAAACTTAGAATTAGACTCATTATTCAATAAACAAAATATAGAAGTAATTCTAAAGGGATTGAGTAAAATTTCTGGATTGACTGAATTACGTGTGTCTCTCATTAGTTGTGATTTGTCAGGAGATGGATTGTAATCACTTTATCCATTGACAGAAATAAAGAATTTGAAGTCTTTAGAGCTGTTATTAATTGGTAGCAAATTGAAGGAATAAGAGATGAAACATTTGTAAACAATTTTACATAGACTTCCCAAATTACACAAATTGAATCTTAATCTCTATGCAAATAAAATATAAGTTGATGGAGCAATCACTTTGAGTGGAGGATTGTTTTAACAGAGACAATTGTAGGAATTTGGAATAGATCTATATTTCAATAACATTACTACAAATGGAACAGAAAGTTTAATGGGAGTCGTTGAATCTATGGAGAACTTGACGTCATTAAAATTAGGTTTAGAATTCAATTATATAAAGAATGAGGGAGGAATATTAGTTGGAAAGGGATTATCATAATTGAAGAACCTTAAAGATTTATCTGTAAATGCAGCCAGCAAGAATTTTGGATTTGATGGCTATGAAGCAATTGTCACTGCAATTGAAAATTTGCCACCTCTAGAGAATTTAGAATTGATTATTGGAGTTAATAAGTGTGGAGTATCAGGAGCAGAATTGTTAAAATAGGCTTTGTTTAAACAAAATAAATTGAAATCATTGAAAATTAACTTCCTGGAGAACTATGTTGGAGACGCAGGAGCTACCTACGTTGCTGAAGGGATTCAATACTAAAAACACTTAGAAGAATTAAGTGTCAACATGAACTAAAATTCCTTATCTGACCGAGGGGCTCTTGAATTAGCCAGGGCTGTCAAAAATTCTAAATCACCGAAGGTATAAATGCATCATTATATTTAGATTGTTGACTTGAAAGCAAGTTCAAATGAAATTACAGACAAGGGAATCAAAGATATTTTAGTACTTTTGGAATAGGCTCTCCCTAAGGTTGACTCATTGCATGTAGAATTGTTAGACACTGCACTTACAAATTCAACAAGAGATGATATTGAACTGAAATATGGAAGTGTTGACAAATTGTACCTTAAATTAAATACAATCCCTCCAAGTAATTGGGAATGATCATTATTTAATATGTTTAAATTAAAGTTACCTTTTAATAAATCTAATAAAATTAAAAAAAGAATTTAGATTACTTATTTTAACTCTCCTGAATTCATTAAATTTCATTCAAATTATATAATCTCTAGATGTACTTGAATATAAATACCAATAATTTCAAAATTTTTCCTAAACTGTTCATCGGTGCTTTCAAAAGTTTATCTTACTTTATTAGAATTACCAAGTCACAACATTGATGTTGTAGATAATATTACATATATACTTGTAGAGAGTATAATATATATTCTTTATATTCATAAGATGTAAGCTATGATTATAATTATATAACTAATAATTATTAAGATGAGAACAACTATTTCTAATTGCTATCTCAACTGCATATTTTTATATACATCTAAGTCATTTAACAAACTGAACAGATTCCTCTTTAACAAAATTGTGATACTATGACTAATAATTATTTTAAGTACGCGCTTTTCTAATGTAAATTTACAACTTAACTTATTTTATCAATAAATTTATGGCCTTGTCTTTGTATTTGCTTTTAAATTCTATACTGCTAAAAAGCCTCTTACAGAGTGGAGATCATATCAATATAAAGCTTTCATACGAGAGAAAGTCTCGCCAAATGCACACCAAATCTTGTTGTTTGTGAGGGGTTGCTATTAATAATTGTTTTGTATTTTATAAAGACTCATAGAATACACAAGTTTATATGAGTCGTCAATATTATAATTTACATCAACACCAAATATTTCCAAAATTTGAATTTTACCCTTCCAAAGATATGCATAATACTTAACTTGGTATATTGTATAAAACTCATATTAAAGTAATAGAAACTCTACATTAATTTAATTTTCATATGAGAAACTTAAAGATAAAACAAAATGAAGAGTAATTGTAAGAAAAATGATCTATATGAGATCTTTGCTCCATTAAAAGATCTAGATGAATAAATTTTCTGTGTTTTGTTGAGATGATAAGGAGAAGATTAGATTGAAGATTCTTTAGGATTATTTAAGAAAATTACAGTTAGTTATTGAATTATAATTAAATTAATTTTAAATTAAAAGTATCTGAATTTCTTTGACAAAAGTTTGATTCTTTCAAAAATTCATAATTTAGTTCTTAAGTTAGACTATTAAACACTCTTTTTTATTAAAATATCGATTGACGTTCTGATTATACATAAAATATATAGAGAATGTTTTAGATAAATATACTTTATAGTATTGAGAGTGAATTTAATGAGTAATGTATAAAAATAAGATTTATATCAATTTTGTTCAGATTCATTTAACATTTTAGAGAATTTATCAAAGTCAGATCTAATGCATAATACTTTTTCCTTTGTCTGTTTTATCTCATCATATTATTCTTATTTTAATCTTCGTTATAGATTATATGCATTAGAAGATACTTGATTTAGCTTTGCATAAAAGAACTTGGTTGATGATTACAAAGTTTGAGAGGTAGTTACGGACTAATGGGTTGGTGAGACATGTAAACTGGAGTGTTTTTTGGGTAGGGGTTTTTCAGCTATAATAACATTTATGGGATTGTTAATATTCAAGGATTTATTTGACGATCTTCTTTTGGAGTGCTAAATTAATGCAAATTTAGCTTTGATGGAATTGGTTTATTAATTATTAATGCTCTATTTTTAATTACAATTGACATTGGATTTTAGTGTTTAGTCATGTTCAATAAGTCTTGGGTTGGAGGTAGATCTATACAGTAATTCACTATTAAATTAGTGATATTTAGATACTAATTAGGTTTGTCGAGAATCTGTCGACTAAGTTCTAAGAGGTGTTGACAATTTTACGAGAGAATTTACCATTTATGCTCTTTTAATTCATCTACTTTAAGTTCAGGTTCCGCCTTAATTTTTTGGATTCTCCTGTGTTGTTTACTATTAGTTGAAATTTGAGACTTTTGGGTAATTTAACATGAACTCTAATCTTTCAATAAAGATTTGAGTAAATCAAGTTTTGGTTGATGTTTTTATTTATCCTTTTACATTTTTGGCAACTATATGGTGGACATATACTGAGATTGTTAGAGTTAGTATTGATGATTGATAGATTGTTTCATTATTATTAAAAAGTATATAAATTTTCAATATGAAATGTGAAACAAAAGATTTCAATAATAAAATAGATAAATGATCATAACTAATTTAATGATGTTGGCACTAACATCTTAGTCATTGATATAGTAGCTGAGATCCGGATTTTATTGAACCCCACTCTCGCATATGTATTTGAATGAATGCCAATTGCACTCATAATCGATGGAATCACATTATTCTTTTTCAACAATCTTTTCGCAATGCTTTCTACAGACCTAATCCACAGAACTCCAATAGCATCTTGATTAAGCTACACACATTTGTTCGTTTGTAAAATACTTGCACAAAATAGATTTACATTTATTGTTGGTAAAGGTGCAAAGTTTCGACTGTAAACAAGTGGCCTGATCTGTCTGCTCTTCGCATGATTCACATTGAGCGTACTTAGTTACAAAGCAAGTTTGATCATTCATCTCATTGCCTTAGCAAAACTACCACGAGGACCCAAATAGACTATATTTATGATTATTAAACTTACTAGCAGGGTTTATTTGTACAATGATAGGGGCCAACTCTCAAAGCGGAAGGTTACCATGAACATTATTGATTATTCACAGTACTTACATTGCATATCTCGAAATCATTGATATCCGAGCAGGTGGTAATTGTTGTACAGGCTTCATTGATGTAAGCACAATTGTTCTTGGGACAGCTATTTTAATCAAAGTCAGAACAAACGGGACCTCTACACAAGTGATTGTCCTTAACACAAAAAGACTTTGAGCAATCTGTCTATGGGCAAATCTAATCAAGAGCTGTTGATGAAACACAATAATTATTGATTTGAATGCATGAAGTTGAATTAAAGTAGAAGGTGTCACACTTTTGCTTTTCATTAAGTAGTACAATATCCTCACATTGCTTTGCAATCTGGCATTGATTCGATATATCCAAATAACAAGTCTCATTGTTTAAAGACAATGTACTCAGACACTCCACTTCATTTAGATCGAAGCATCTCTTTAATCGACATCCAGAATTAGCTAAATAGCAACTGCGATTAGATATACAACTATCTTGGGTTAATGAAAAACACATGTTGATATTGGGAGTAGTCTTATAGAGACAAGATGCGGTGTCATTATCCCAGACACAGTTTTCTTGTAAACCACATGCTATGTTATTGATCCCTGGAGAATTGCAAGGTATTCTCAGTGGAACTCCATAACAACTGAATATATCCTTGTGATAATTACATTTCTAAACAGCTTGAATTGCACAAGCCAATGAGTTTACATTTTCTATTTCATAGCATACTGAACTTGTGCTTGTAAATGGAGCACATTAGTGATTCACAAATTAACAAGGCTCTTATTACAGTCCCAGACAAGCATACTTATTTAATCCTGGTTGCACACATTTCTGATATCTGCTGTAAATCTTGGAGCAAACATGATGTATTGGATCATAGGTGCAAGCCTATTATTAATAGTCTATGTATTAACAAGCCAGACTATTTGTTTGTGTGAAATTATCACATTAATTAGTGTACTCATCAGGAACAAATAGAGAACATTCATCATTTACCCAATAGCAAGGTTCGGTGGTTATTGATAAACAAGCTGTCTTTGAAATCCCTTTGGTAGTACAAGAATCTTTGTCGCTTGCAGAAACACATTGAAACAACGATTCATTATATTTGCAAGAAATCTATAGAGATGAACACACTTTTGGATTGACATTCTTATATTATGCGCAATTCGAATACTGGACATTCAATGAATAAAATGAGCAACGATTATTTGTAAATTGACATTTAGATTTCTTGATGTTATAACAAGCATTATCATTAAGACCAATTGTATCACAATCATCAGTTTCTGAATCACTAAGAACACAGGAGAAAAGAGTTGAAGAATATTTGACCTTCTTGTCACTAATGAATATCCCACAAACTGTAGGACTAATAAGTGTTGGAATATCCTCTATGTTTTCGTTATTGTCAAACTGGTAGCATCTCTAATTTCTCCATTTACAATTTGCTTTATTGTTCAAACAGCTCAAGTAGCTCTGATTTAGACATTAAGCCAAATCACTTTGAACACAAGCATTGTTCAACCATTAACACTACTACTTAAAGTTGCCTATACAATCACTATAATTCAATTGGTCCTCACACAAATAAAGATTTGTGTCCAACATATTCCCTATCTGAATATTAGCTATGTCCTCCATACTTGTTATCTTCTAAGAACACTACAGTAAAACATCATTGAATTCACAATCATCAATGCTCTATGTCTAACAACTCATCTTATTATATGACTTCGGTAAGTCTTTACATAATGCCTTATTTGTAATGACAATATGTTAGCATTGTTAATTCAACCATTAACAAGCCATTGGAGCATACATGCAACCGTATTGATTTTAGATGTACAAACAATCAAATAATCGCGGAGTCCATTCTTGACACACCTGATCGTAAATAGTACATATCTAATTTTTAACCAGTCTGCATAATTGAAAACTCAAGTTTTCATTGCAATTTTATAAGACTATCGAAGTTAATGGTATCTCTTAACATTAATTTGATGCTTAATTAAACAAGCAATTTTTGTTGCTGATCTCTATACAACTACGAAAGGTGTAATCAGAACACTATAAATTATTAGCAGAATTATCCTGGCATTCATTAGCACTCGGATTCCATTTACAATTAAAAGCGGTATCACAATTATAGTTTGAAATGTTGTTACATGTAAGATTGACTTTATTGATCATTTTTGTGCATTTTGACAGATTCCAATAGCATTCTATATAATTTTAATTTAGACATGATAATTTATCGAATCCAAAATTATCACATGAAACTATCACCAAATCAGCATTCTTTGTATAACAAGACTTGGTCTAACTATCCCAGAATTTCGAGTTTATTTAACAATATCCCTACGAATATAGTATACTGGGATCACTCTGGCTGCTAAACTCTACGCATTAATTATTCAACCATATGCATTATTTTAAGGTGTATAATAAGCAAACTTATTGGTTTAATTGGGTACATTATAAATCATCTTGTAATTAATAAGATTAACAAGCATTATTATACCAAATGCATTAAAATTGTGTTGTTAATTATTGACAGGCAATTTGATTGATATTTGAACAACCTTCAATTGGTCCTTCATCTGTCAAAACATCACATTTATAAGTTTTTAAATTATACATATACTTATTATCCATTAATTGGATACAAGAATTTAGATTATGATTCAAATTATAGGTGTTGGAGGATATGCTTTGACAGGATTGAAAAGCACCTGCATTATATTGCACTAAACAGTTCTTCTAATAAGCATATACACAATCATATAAATTAACTGCAGCTTCGCATTCGATTACCTTTCTGTCAATCTTTTTGCATAAACTATTTTGAAAATCATAGAAGCAATTCGGTTGTAATTATTAACAGACTTTGTAATTCACTTAGACATTTTCAATCTGATCGCAGTCAGTAAAGGCAGCACTTTGGCATTTATTACTCTCATATTTGCAATTGATTCCAAGGTCGCTGAGACACAGGGATTTTAATAAGATATTGTCACAACTCAATTGATTTTAATAGCAAAATCCTTAGCCTACCTTGTTGGAATACCAAAAACAGTTGGGTAGTGATAAACAAGTTTAAGGAGAATGAAATACATCCTCCTATTGGACACAGGATGTCAATTAACTTGTTATACACTTGGATTGAGTAAAGGTGCATTTTGAGGATCGTTAATGGATGCAAGTGATCATGCTCGAAGTTAGACTGCATTGCATATTAAAGGTATTATTGATATCGTATTATTGATGCTGCATATCTCCTAACAACTAGATGCATTACTAGGAATTGTAATAAACATTCATTTGCATGTTATAACAATATTAATAGGACTCAACATCATAATAATCAGATAATTATTTTAAGGTGCTGTCCTCTAAGCATTAAGAATTATAGAAGACACAACTGAGATGTTGAATTGAGATGCACTCTTATTAGGTTTACAATTAGTAACAATATTTTATGTGAGCAGGATAAGAGGTGCACTTATTGTTTACCCATAGACATATGTGATTCTAGTTGACACACAATTGTTGACTTAAGGCGATGTTGCAAGGTAAAGTTTTATTTAATTATTATAAGACACATCCGTTGAGTCCATTGAAACAAAATCCCCTTCCATTTTAACATACTTTGTAACTTTGGATATATGTAGCAGGGCAATAATTGTTTGAATCTTAACATATTTTATTGGTTGAGTCCCAAACACAATTCTTTCCGCTGGTTTCACAACTATATATATTTCTGAATTGACAATCGACGTTATTATATGAGTTATTATACTATTTGCATTTATTCTAAATGAAGATGCACTAAAACTTAGTCTGGTTCAAACACAGGGACTTACTAATGATGTCATCGCATTTATAAAGAACATTCGTATCAGTTTAAGTTACACATTTATTAGTTCCAGAATCATAATAACAATTATCTGTTGCTAAACTGCAAATACTAGGACTTCCGTTTAAATTAGTGTTGATGTCTGCACATAAGAAGGATGAGGAATATTTTTAATTTTAAGAAACATCTATACAAGTGCTAAAAGTGCCTCGATTTAGAACAATGCATATTTGATCTGGAGTGTTGATTTTATTACAGATGTTAATGTTTGCCTATGAACATTTCAGGGTACTCAATTATAATTTTTTAAAGGTAGTGTCAGTAGAGAGGGGCAGACATTAATGATTATAGAAATAGCATTCTGATTGAGTGAAGGAGACACACCTATGTAGATTGATTTTTAAGTTTGATCCACAGTCAGTTATGGGAGTAAGGTTTTGTAAACACTTCATTTAAGTTAAATTGTATTCGCAGAAATGCTGGGTGTTTAATTTACCATTCTGTATTTTTTGTTGGCAAGCCTTTTGATTTACGATGTCATCACAAACATCAAAATAATTTAATTTATAAAATTGGCATTCATTGTCTTTCCAGACACAAGGTTATTTTTGATTCTTAACACAAACAGATTATGTAAGTCCTTTGCAATTCAATGTTGAATACAAAGAGGGATTGTCAATTGGTTTGCAGTCCATCAAATCATAATAGCATTCACTCTACTGTTTTTAACATTAGACTTTATTCATGAATTATTAACAGGAATTGTTGTTGCTGATGTTGGAAATGCAATATCCATTATTATAGGAACATGGTTCTATGTCGATCATTGAACATGAATATGGTGATACATTGGCCAGTTGAACACATTCATCGAATATTTTAATATTTTGACAAGAGTTATTGATCCATACACAAAATTCATTTAGATTTGAGATACAAAGTGCTTTGGTTAAACCAACGGTATTGCAGGATATTTGACCGGTTAATTGAGTGCAACTCTATTTGATTTCATCATAGATGCAATTCTAAACATATGAACACAATTTAGGATTGATATTCAACCTGTTATCACATTGTAGAAGGGGTTAAACTATTTAGCACTTCTATTATTCGTAATCCCATTGTGAGTTCAATTGTAAAGACAAACAGAAGTGCCTGTTGATGTTTGATAGATCTTGAGTGTCCAAGATGTAATCTCTCTAGCATTACTTGGTATTTTCAATAAATCTATACAACGCTTTGTCTTGCATGAGACATTAATTTCTATTTCTGATTAGAGTCTGTGGCAACTAAGCATAATTCTTGAAAATCAAATGAGTGATAGTATTAATACACATGTTGTTATACCAAATGCATTGTTGATCTTACCTTTGCACATTAGTACAACTATATTTTGTGTTGGCTTCAGAACAAGTCAATATTCTCAAATCACCATATTTGCATTGGTTATCTATCCAAACACAAGGAAGAGCCAGATTCAAGCAATAGACTCTGCTCAATCCCAGTTAAGAACACCCTTGCAATGGACTGCACTTTACAAGGAAATCCAATTTCTCATCAATCCAATAACAGTTTGACTTCTTAAAACAATCATTCTTCGTTATTAAGTTGTAACACCCTTCATCGCAATAGCCTTCTTTGCCATTAAAGTAGAGGAAACAATATTGTGAACTTTGACTGCATTGTTAATGAGTAGCAATCCCATTCAATGGTTTGCAATCCAGATTTGCTGATTGAGTCTTCACTTGAATACAGGATTTCTCAAAATAATTTATAGGTTCCACCACTTGACAATTCAGATCCTTAGGACTCATCTAACAAGCATATCTCCCCAAGTTCTCACATTGCAGATCTGTTCGTAATTAGGCTTCTTCAGGAACAATGATTTCACACTAATTATTAACAAAAACACTCATTATATCACTGTATGGATTGATGTTGATGTATTAGCAAAATATCTAGTTGACACCCTTGATCACTTTTTAATCATTAATATTGAAGAGTGTTCTAAACATGGAATCATCAGAAATGTCTAAACCTATGCATCCCACTCTGCTCTAGTCATTGATTAATAAATTCAATAGATTGAACTGAGATTATTTCTGAGGAACGTACCAAATGAATTGTCCTTATGAATTTAAGTAATTATTTTGCAAATCCCCTTCGTCGTAACTTTTTGACGCATCCAACAAATCATCCTATTATATCAATAAGCCATAATCTGTAGTATCACTAGACATCAGACTATCCAGGACATTTTTGTGAGCTACCAAGTATCCTGTAATCAGAGGACACACAGACATACTCAAAATTAAATTAGGGAAGTTTCTATTCAAATTCCCAATTTCCTCAGCAGATAAATACTTGCACTGTCTATCCTCCCATTTACAAAGTTAATGTGGATCTGTTATGCCCATACATCCATATTTGTTTAAATTCTGATTGCATTTCGCCTTCGAAATGTCATTGATTTCGTGACATATTGAATCGAAAATGCATAAAGCCTACGTAGCCACATGGGTGCTTATCTACCTTGTACACAATTTAACGCTGAGATTTTAATCGCAACCCTACATTAGATCATTTGATATCCTGCAATATCGCTAATGCGGAAACCATCTACCTAAATGAACTAAATCTAATTATTATACAATATTCAGTTTTAGACGCTATGCAAGTTTCATAAGTGTTAAGTTACCTACAAATATCCAAGGAGTAAACTTAAGTTAAGATCAAAAATGTAAATAACATAATTTTTAAATTATTTTTTGTTTATTGCACAGATCACTCCATTACAAATTGTATGGCCATCTCCCCAAAATCAATGCATCTGTAAATGAGTTTTCTTTAAAATCGAGCAGAGATTAATAAATATATATATATGTTAATACACAAATTTACAATTCGATCATTCAAAATAGTAATAACACTATCCCCTTGATGATACCCCAAATTACATCAGATGTCAAATTATCAACTGCTATTTTATAATCGTTTTCAATTTCATTTTAATTGAGTTTCTCTTATATCTACTTCAACTAATCCGTGTTTTGGACTATCTTCATCCGCTTTTCTTTGGAATTGTGATTTGCATCTCTCAATTTCACGATGTAATCATTCTCCTCATTTATTTGGGAGGTCTCTATCGTAACTTGAGATTCAGATATATGTGTTATATCTATCATCCTCTCTGTACCCACTTCCATTATCTCCTTCACATAGCATTCCGACTGAATGAGAATGACTTCCTTTGGCGATTCAAACTTCTGGATTTTCAAATCGCACCCCAAGGCTAAACTAAATAGTATTGAAATTAGCAATATGTATTTCATTAATTTATATTATTCATGAATCAATTAAGTTATTCATGAAGGCATATGAATTTAAGAAATAATAAATAATTTAAAAATATGGAGAAAACAGAAGCAGAAACATTCAAACAACCTTTGATTAATGAAACCGGCCAATAGTTTAGTGTCAGATCTAAACAAACAAGAAAAAACTCTTAATTATCAATTTTGACTGAGCATTCAAAAATGGACACTCATTTATACGAGATACCAGATTTAACTTAGATAACTTAGAAGGTACTTTGTCGCTTGATCGTTGTTTCAGTTGTTTGTATAATATTCCTGGTGGCTGAAGTAAGATTATTTTAATCCTATTAAAGGTCATCGGAGGTTTGTGGGCTTAGTCATTGGCAATCCTATCAGATGCAGCTCATATGTTTTCAGATATGAGTGGCTTTTTCATATCCATATTCTCCATCTGGCTAGGATAGAGACCAGCCTCATAAAAGATGTCTTTCGGATACCACAGAGCAGAAGTAATCGGAGCGTTGGGTAGTATCATATTGATATGGGGGCTAACAATCCTATTATTCTACGAGGCCACGGTTCGAGTGATTGAGGAGGCCATAGTCACTGACCCATTAATTATGTTGATTACAGCAGGATTTGGATTATTTTGTAATTTGGTTATGGCAAAAGTGTTGCACTCTTCTCCCACGGGAGGACATGATCACGGAAACATCATGCATCAATGTAGTGGACATAATCATGGCCATGGTCATGATCATGATCATAGTCACGGATCTGATGATGGTCACTCTCATGACAAATAGAAATAACAGAAAAAGAAGAAAAAGATTAGTATCAAATAAAAGAGACAACAAGTTAGTGAGAATGGAATCAGTATGTTGGTTGTGGAGTAAAGCATTGAATCAGAATCAAGTGAATAGAATTTAACTATCAAAGAGGAAAGCGAAAGTTCTTCCAGTTGTACAAGCAATCAATAATAAGATCTTGGATAAAAGTAAAAATAATAATCTCGTGAACACAATCATTCAGAAAATTGTGGTCATGATCATCAATAAATTACTATTACACCTGAAATTGATGATTAGAAGCTTCAGAAATCGTAAAAGAAGAAGGTTACAAAGGAAGGTGATCATAACAGTTGTCATGGAAAAGAGCATAATCATGAGCATGAACATGAACACAAACATGACCATAAACATGACCATAATCATGACCATAATCATAAATCTAAAAAAAATAAATTAAAAAGTAAAAACCTAACTGAAATTAATGAACATGATAACTATAACCTTAAGGCTGCTATGATACATGTTATAGGAGATATTTTATAATCAATTGGGGTATTGATTGCTGCCTTCTTGATATACTTTTTTGGATAAAAGAGAGATGAAAATAATCAAATAGTTTTTACTTATTGGCAATATGCTGATCCCTTATGCACATATCTTTTTAGCATTCTTGTCCTCTTCACAACCTTTGGAGTAGCCAGAGAATGCTTAAGAGTTCTAATGGAAGGTACCCCATAAAGTAAATTATTTAATAAATATTAGATCTAATAATTGATGAATTTAGCGATTAATTAAAAGCCATTCATAGAGTTAAAGAAGTACATGATTTACATATTTGGTCACTTTCAGTAGGGAAGCCAGCTATGTCTGCACACATAGTATGTATCGAAAATCCAGAGTATGTCCTCAGAAAAGCCACTAAATTATGCAGATAATTCGGAATCTATCATTCTACTATATAGATTGAGCTATATGACCGATAAGGTGCAAACGATTACATTCGGTGTAATCACAATATCCATAAATGAAATGATTTAAACAATCTGTATATTAGTTATTGTTATAAATTATGGTTATTTAATTATTAGATATATTAAAATAATCAATTATTTATCTTACTTTCATATAGTTTTCCATCCTAGAAATTATGAAAATAGAATAATTACGAGCTAATTTTTATTAATCAGAATCACCTTGATAACCTTAAGATCAACAATTATAATATATATTAGGAATTTTTAAATATAATAAATTAACAATTTTTTATTGATTTCATTATATTTTATTAATATATTCCAAAATTGTAATATTTTAAAATTTCATTATTGTATCCTTTCTAGAGGTATCTTAAAGGTTACTTGAGAAAATAATAGAATTATTTCAGATTTTTCTAATTAAAATATTAATTAATTAAATTATTAATATCATTAAATTTTGATACTCATGTTTTTGTAAGTTTTTCTAAAAAAAGAGTATGTTGGAAGAACGAGATGTATTTCAAAAATTACTACAATTACTTATAGAATAGAAACATTTAGAATAAAAGTTGATAAATAAGATTTTTCAGGAATTTTGGCTTTTCTTATGTTAAGATACTTTTAGAGTTGTTTTTAGTTTCTTGCTTCTAAAGAATTTATTGAACGTCTAAAAGTGTTGATCCTCCTGGATATCATAAGGCTATGAGTAATCGATTTGATCATCAAATTGAACAAATTTAGAGGGGAAATATTTTTTGAATAATTTTTTACTTGACGATGCATAAGAAATGGCAGTTTTTATTACCTCTTCATTTTGAATAGACTGTTTTTAACCTGGGAATCCCCTTAAATAAACATATAAGATACCCATATCGAGCTTTATACAACTGTAGGAACTGGCTGATAGAAGATTGTTTATCATCTAATACTATTTTTTTGACTCTTAGATCCTAATTATCATCCCATATCTCAAACTCTTCATCTGAGTTTATTTGACTGTCTGTTGCTGATGCTATGGACTGCCTGCAATAGATGTTAGTATATTTTTGTACAACATGTGTTGGCTAGATTTAGCTAAATCTCTTTTAGATTTTTTCTTATTATATTTTACTCCTACTTGTTAAAGATTAACACTTCAGACTCACCTGTAGTGATTTGTATTGATTGTTATGATTAATACTAGTTTTTATTGATTTAATACGGAATGTCTATGAGGGTTTCATTTATTAATAAATTAAAATTAAATATATCTCTATTACTTGAATTGGGTCTTCTGGCAGATCATCTTGTATTTATAATATTCTCAGTATTTGAGCACGTAAATAAGAGGCAAGGCGTCTAAAACCAATTAACTTCCAAAGTTCTATCCAAATTTGATTGATTAAACCTTTGCAATAAAAAATATATATTTTACAAGTAAGTTTAAGTTTTTATATAATTTATAAGTATTATTAATCTATGGGCAAATTCACAAAAGACAAAAGAGTATAAAGAAATTCATCATATTCTAAATAAGTATTTTATAATATACCTACGACCTATATATTTATCACTATAACAGCACTTTTCACCATATTTAGGATATTTATTATAGGAAAGCAAAGGAAGATTAATTTAGAGCCAGATCTGCCTATAAGCTATTACAGATAGATGATTCCTTTTAAATATTTAGATAAGTGGAGAGAGCTATTGATCTATGTGCTGCACCAGGTAGTTGGTCATAAGTTTTGGTTAAAAAGTTGACCGAAAAGAATTACCTTCCATCAGAGAGTTGTAGAATAGTATCAGTGGATTTGTAAGAGATGGCTCCATTGGATCATGTTACCTAAATTCAAGGAGATATAACGAAAAAAACAACTGTGGATGAGATATTGAAAAAATTCAATTATTAAAGAGCAGATATTATTGTTTGTGATGGGGCACCTGATGTCACAGGGTTTCATGACATTGATTACTACATTTAATCATAATTGATAGTCGCTGCTTTAAACATCTGTTTGATGACATTAAGAGACAATGGAATTTTTGTAGCTAAAATATTTAAAGGGTCAGATATCAAATTGCTGTATTCGTAGTTTAAGTTGTTCTTCAATTAAGTGTATTTTATGAAACCCAAATCAAGCAGAGCTTCAAGTGTTGAGTACTTTATCATGTAATATGTTGTTAATAAATTTAGATGTCTTTAATACACTCCAAAAGTATAAACTCAGAATTTCCACCTCTATACATTTTTAAAAGAGATTGAAGAAGCAGAAAAATAGAAATAGGAAGAAATTATCGATAAAGAAACAGAAAAAGAATAGTCCAAATATTACAAATTTATTACGTGTGGGGATTTATCTGGATTTGATGAAAATTGAGTATAAAATATAATTTCAGATTCATTACTCCGCTTTAAAATATTTATTCATAATGTCTTTTAGAAGTTTAGGTTCTAATTTTGTTGGGATCTAAGCTTAAGGAGTTGAAGGAGTGAGAGTTTCAATATTCGATTCAGAGTTAGTTTTCTAAATGGATTCTTTTTTGGTAGTTAACCATCTTTAGTAATATTCATTTTTTTTCTTGCCTTCTTTGGCTTCTGAATTTTATATTTAATCAACAGATGAAAATCTCTTTCTGTTCTGTATAGCTTTCATATGAAACCTATTATTCAATATTCCTAAGTCATTATTCATTAGATGTTAATATTATTATTTAAAAATTTTTCCTGTCATCAAATCAAATGTTTATAAAAACAATTGATAAATTTATATAGATCTAGAAAATCTATATTTATTTTTTGTTATAAAAATATAATTATAATATTGGTTAGAAGTTATGAATTAAATGATAAATAGAAATACGAGATAATATTCATGAGATTATTTCTTCTTTTTTGTGTATATAACTATTTGAAGATCATAAAATCCATCAATTCACATTGCTTTATAATATACTTGATTGAATTCTTCAAAATTTCATTAATATAAGAAATGCAGGAGAAGCTGGTTGGCACTAAAATAATAATGGTAATTATGTTAATTTTATATTATATGATATCATATCATTAGTATTACTTGAAATCATAATATGATCAGGCTTTTAATTAATTGATGAATCTTACTAAATATGAAATTATTTATATATAAATACTTTATACTGTTAAAATTAAATAATGAGTAATAATAAATTTAAATTATTAATATTTATTGCAAAATAGCGATTTAATGTTATATATGCGATTAAAAAAAGGAAATTGTGTAAACAAAAACGAAAAATGCATATGCCTCATTATTTTGATTCAAATTTGGTGAAGGCATATTTGAATTTTATCTCTTTAGTTTTTACTTTAGCCTAATCATCCTCAGTCTAATTTGCAGTGTACAAATTATCGAAAGGGAGAGGATTATGTACTGAAGCATTATATATATTCTGTAGTTAAGCGAGAAAAGCTTATCCCTTTTATAACTTTTTTTAATAGACTAAGTTAAATTGATTAGGTTACCTGAATTGTATATCTAAGTTGCGATTGGATAATAAGATTATAAAGCGTAAACGTTTTTGGACATGCTTGTAAGTGCATAGTATTTATCACTGACTTTTAGAGCCTTAAATTCATCGGTTGAGAATATTTAATTGTTTGACCATAAAGACAATACTTTACTTTGACCATCCAAATAATTTTGCCATTCTAGTTGTAATTGAGACAAGTTCTCTTGATCTAACTGTTAAATGTATTCAATAAAGTATTGCCTGCATTTTTCAGCCTAACTGTTTTTGAGTTTGAATTTCTTTAATCCATTCAGAATTGATGAATTAGATTAAATGATCATTCTCTCCTTAGGTGTGAGATGTGTGCAAAAAATAAACCATGCTCTGGACAGAGTGTCCTCATCTGTCTTATATGATTGAGTGAGATATCTTAAGAACACAGATAATTTTCTGATAAGTAAGAGATGCTTACTGTGATTTTCTAGGTAGTTTGAGATGATGAAAAATGAGTGATCTACGCAATTACAACCTGTCCATCTGACACGGAATGGGAATTTCTTGACTCCTATTCCAATGTCATCTCCAAAGGTCCAAGCTGGTTTGAGTGTCTTTCTCTTTTCCTTCTGCTTATTTTGTATGTCGTATTCGATCTCAGTCCTCATTTCACCATGATAACATTATTCCATGATGATATTAATTTTTGCTTTCATGCGATACTTTTGTCTATCGTTCATTTGTTTAGCTCCAAACTTTTAGTAAAGCTTCAATCCTTATTCATCTGCTGATTCACCAATTTGCAAGTATTTCTACTTGAAAATTTCAATTTCTTCATTGTATTGCATGATTCGAATATAAGCAATTTTTGTGAAGGACAAGTTAAATTTCAACAACAGCATATTGTGTTTGAACACCTGATTCTTCTCTTTTAAGTTAGATCCGAGATGGTTGATCTTATCTTATAGAAATTTGAGCTATTCAATTATTATTGGGATACAAGCAGTAATATCAATAATTGCTTTAAAATAGTCATTTAAAACTTCCCCAAACCATTGCAATTTTAAATCACCGTTTAGACCCAAATTGTAACTTAGACTGCGACCTAAATCTCATTTTCGAATCAAATACCATCTTCTACTAGTTTGTAAAATACTCCATTGGCCTTTCCTTGACCCTAATTGCATATCGATACAAATCTTGTCCAAAATCCAAATGCATCAATCAAACTTTAATTTGCTGTTAGAGAAACCTAAACTAGATGAGTTTGTAACCTTTGTGATGCGGAATAGGATGATTCTATCGCTTTCAACTTACTTATATAATAGGTGAACTTCTCTTATCAAATTGTTCACCACAAATATCAATTAAGTGAGTTCAATTGATAAAGTTCCTGTTTTCAAAAATTGGTATTCATCAAATGCCAAAGCCTTAGTCTCTTCAGAGGAAACGCACCCCATATTTTATTATTATTTATGCTATATCTCACATCAATAAATAAAATTTCACTATGGATTTATTAAATTGTAATTCAAATCTTCTGTTATTAAGACATGTGTGAAAAGAACATTAAAATTAATACAACTCATTTCTTAAATCATTATTATACTAACTGTCCAATTTAACATTATTACTTAACATAATAATAATATAAAACAGCACGTTTAATCAGTTAAGAAATAAATAAAGATCACGATTTGAAATTGTCTATCCACCCTCAAGAATTTGCGATACATAAGTCAAACACCAGGTTGTCGAAATTATGCACCATCCAATACTAATTATATTAATTATTTTTTAGTAAAATGCTTATAATTATATAACCATATAATTATAAGCATTTTTAATTATATAATTGTGTACTAAATAATTCCTTTAATTAACCATTACTCATCTGATTAATTGCTAGATTATTTTATAATTAATATTAATAATTATACACATATCATTTCATTACTATTTTTTACCCTCTTCTCTCTATTTAACAATCTCCATGGTTTCCTTTCCAAAATACGGAAAAATGACATTAGTCTTACTAATATTTTACATATAGAGTCTTGCAAGATTGCTCTCTTTTGAGTCCTTCTGAACAAATCTCTCAAAGTCCTTGTTTAGGTTGTAATGGAAAATCATTAGACAAGAGATTATGCTACCAAATCTAACCTTAAACATTAGAGGTAATCAATACTGCATTTTTCAACACACTTTATCTGAAGATATAGTACACATTCACTAGAGAAGGCACAAAGACCAAAGCTAATGTTGAATAGAGAGAATTTCTAAAATCCTTTTCCAGAGAGTTTCTAGTATAGACTTTCCATAATTAAGTATAATTTTCTAATTCTCTCTTATAATCTTCTTACATTATTAAATAATAATAAATAAATATTTAATTATATATCATAATAACAATTAGACCTCAAATGGACATCTAGTCTCATATATATATTTTGACCATCTTATTTATTATATTATGCTTAATTTTTGAGCACGGATTATCATGCCTAATTTTTGACTGTGAGTACGATTTGTAATACGCATTTCATTAGGGGTAAGATTTGTATGGTTACATCAATATTGGAAATCCGATGTAGTAATTAATTAATTAAAGAAAGTAATATAACATTAATTTATTAACGATGAAACAAATTTCGATAAATTTCTCTGATCTCAATGATGAAGCCAAGAAAAAGTACATTAAATTTTTTGCAGAAAATCATATAAGTGTAGAAAACCAACCATTAAAGAAATCGTCATTGCCACAATAACATCGTGCTAGATAATTTAGTACATTGAGTGATATTGCAAATAGCAAGGCTTTCACTCCTGCAAGTAATTGCTTTTATTTATTTTGAAAGAGTCATAGAAATAGGTTTCTCAGCACATTAAGACGGATCATTCAGTTGGAGCCAAATTCAATGATTTGGAAGAGACTTACCCAAAAATAATGAGCAAAATAACAAATAAGGATCTATTATCAAGGCCTTTGAAATTAAGCTTCAATGAGCTCAGTCTCCTGATAGAAGAAATATATTAAAAGAAGTTCATTGAAGATTCTAATCAAATTGCCAAGAATTAGAAAGTTTAAGAATTAGCTTTTGTTGATTATGTCTACGAATTCCTATAAAATAAATTTAAGCATTCTAAAAATTAAGTAAGATTAGACTTATTTTAGTAAATAATCAATTTCTTGGCATCTGTTGATTTGCATGCCTTAAAAAGGAAGGATGTGAATATTTTCTAGTAATTTTTGAAATTCAATAAACAAGAAGTATTGACATTTTACTTGTTTACGAGGGCAGTTATTTAGAAGGAATTGAAATTATCATTCTATCATCGTAAGTTATTTTTGTTATATAATTATTAAAGCACTTAGAAAGCAAGGAATAGATAGCAATCAATTGCAATTAAATTAAAAATAAGTTCAATAAATTTCGTCACTTTTATATGGGTCATCGGATAAATATTAAGAATTCAAGAAATACTTTCCTGTCATTGGTAGTATATCCGTAAGTGAATTTTCGTTTGCAGCAATCTTGATTTACGAGGCCCAACAACAAACAATCAAGCAAAGACCATTTCAACAATAACCAAGATCATTATCGCCTCTTCAATTTGCCAGTTATACTGATACTTTCGAATAGAGACAACCTGACTCTCCTTTGTTTATGCAATCAGAGACCACTTTGGAGAATAATAGACAGCAAAATGAGACATTTTTCTCTTCTGTTGTTTAGAGTGTTAATAATCAATAGAAACAACGATGGAAAGTGCAAATAAAGTTCCATCGAATGCCAAGTGCTGTTAACAATGTGTAAAAATTAATTAATGAGAAATTGGAAACTAAATTATCTGATTTTATAGAAGAAATGTTATCAGAAATGGAAGAATTGACTGATGATTAAAAAAAAAAATGTGTAAGTGGTATAGAGGAGAGGATCGTTGACACAGTGGCCATTCTCTTGGAGGCGATCTATAAATTCGATAAGTTGTTGTGGTATAATTGATAAATTTATAAAGGTTCAAGAAATTGAACAAATAGCCAGATGAAGTTGGATTGGAGTATATAGAGAATTTGTAGAAGCTCTATCGATCTTTAGTTAAGGCAAAGTAGCCCTTGGATGATCAATTGGAACAGCTTTGTCAACAAATGATGCAAGTAATTATTCAATTAATAATTTAAAGACTCCAGATTTGGCGAAATAAATAGGAAATGAATTATTACAATACTTCTATAATTGTGAATGATACTTAATAATTAAATATAAAATGTCATTAATGAATTGGGGTAATCCATACAACTGGGATGCTGCAGAATGGTAATAGGCTACTTGGGGTGAGAGATTCATGTTCATTGATCCCTACTTCTGGAGGTAATGAATTGATTCATTCCTCAATTTTAGTTATTTCGGTGTAGGTTTGGCCTTGGCTACATCAATCATTGGAGCATCATGGGGTATATTTGTCACTGGTGTTTCATTGTTGGGCTCCACAGTCAAAGCACCACGTATTAGATCTAAGAATTTGATTTCTGTCATCTTTTGTGAAGCTGTCGCTATTTATGGTGTAATTATGGCCATCATTATGATTGGAAAAATTCAAACCATTGAATCATACCCAAATGGTTAATAAGATGAATGCTACACAACTGCTCTTTTTAATGGTTATTCCTTGTTTTGGACAGGGATTTCTGTTGGATTGTCAAACCTAATTTGTGGGTAAAACTTGATAACGATATCTCCTATAGTATTGCAGTTGGTGTTACTGGATCAGGATGCGCTATTGCTGATGCTTAAACTCCAGAAACTTTTGTTAAAATTTTAGTCGTTGAAATCTTCGGATCTGCTCTAGGATTATTTGGAGTCATTGTAGGAATCATCCAGTGTTCAGGAGCAACTTTTCTTAAGAATTGTACCTCTTGATATTGCATATTAAAATAACATATATAATATATATATAATTATTCTATGTTTTAACTTCGATTATTTTAATTTTAATTAAATAATTCGATTTAACATTAATATGAATAACTAAAATAATAATATTGAAAATAATAATGAAAAAATCACAGATAGTATTTTCAATTACTATCAAGACTCCTTTTTCAATCAAACCATCAACATCATAAGAAAAAACAAAAAAGTTGAGAAAAAAGTCACAATCTCCATATGTGGCACTCCTTTATTTAATTGATATTTATATATAAATGTTTAACTCATTTATCTAAGTTTAGATAACACTTTAATCATCAACAAATATAATTAAGTTAAATATCTTTTGTTGTAAAACAAATTCGTTTAACACTAGTATTATGAACAACAATTTTAGATTTATTTTAATGAATCTATCATATTGGATATATTACAAAAATTTATTAAATAACTTGAAGTAATGTTTGTTAACAGGTAAAATCAAAAAATGGGGTTATGAGATTTGAACGACAATTTGTTACTTATATAAGAAAATCGGAATTTATTTTTCATATTTTAAATTAATTTTTACTTAGATTGTTGTTACTAATTAAATAGGTGTAATCTAATTTGAAATAATGCTTTCAATGTATAAAATGTTATGAGCGAGAATTTAATTAATAAAATAGTACTCATTAATTTGATGAAAGAAACTGACTAAATTTATTTTCCTTATTTTCATTTAAATGAAATCATAAATAATGCACAATAATGAATTAGAATCATGTGTTTCCTAATTGAATTTCAATGATAAAACCGTCTAAATTTTTTCAGATAGGGTAAATTCTTGGCCTTATTTGACTTTCAGTTTGATTTATGAAACGTAATCCAATCAATATTTATGTGAAACAATTGAACTCAATATAGTTTTCATATATGATAGTATCAACGAAGCAATTTTTCATAGGTAATGATAACGGTTTGAACTAATTTTTTGGAATTGAAAGAAACAGAAAATTTATATTATTAAACAAAATTATTTTATGTTCATATGGCAAACCTGTTTGATTTAGATCATAAACAAAGATAATATATAATATTTTGGTTCTTTATTTCATATTTATGTCACTTTTATTTTCCCACTCTAACTCATTGAATAATGTTGCAAAATTTTTGTTTAGTTTTGTTTGAAGTAAAATGAGAGAATATTTTTCATTGTCCACATATTAATATAATTGGGACTTTAATAACGATAGTCCACATCGAAAATGGAAAGAAATGAAAGAAGTATACAAGGATAATAATAACGAGTATGAATTATATAAATTTAAAATGTAAATTTTCTTATAATTTCTGTGGAAAGCATGTTAGATATTAATAATCAATCGGTTTGCGATTTAGATTTGATGATATTAATTATTATTGTATAGTATATTTTTATGGGATTTAAAGTTGATTGAGTGTAATGAATTCTGATTTAATAAAAATATTAAATAAATCATCACACATGGCATTCCAATAAGACTATGACTACTTGTTCAAGATCCTCCTGATCGGTAATTCAGCCGTCGGCAAGGTAAGACCTAAAATGTAATTGATTAGAGCTCACTATTGTTGCGATTTTCGGATTAGATTTTTAGTGAGTCTTTCCTTCCTACAATTGGTGTAGATTTCAAAATTCGTACTTTTGACATGCAAGGAAAATCAGTAAAGATGTAAATTTGGGACACTGCAGGTCAAGAGAGATTCAAAACTATTACAGCATCCTATTATAAGGGAGCTCATGGAATCATCCTGACTTACGATATCACAGACAAATAAAGTTTTAAGGACATCGAGAATTGGTTGGCAGGTAAACTGTATATTTAAAATAACAGAGGTTGAAAAACATGCTTCTGAGAATGTGGTTAGATTATTGGTTGGAAACAAGGCTGATTTGGAGAGCAAGAGACAAGTTACCTATGAAGAGGGCAAAGAGTTGGCTGATAGTTTGGGCATCAAGTTTATCGAGGCTTCAGCCAAAGCAAACACCAATGTCGACCAAGCCTTTATGACTTTGGCCAATAACATTAAGGCCAAGATTGGCAAGTCCGAAGACAAACCAACTCCAGGAGGAAAGACCCCAACTGGCGGTTTGAAGAGTACATCACCTGCAAAAAAGGAAGGAGGCTGCTGTTGAAATTAAGATAAATTATTAAATAATGGGATTTAAGGAAGCATTCACGAGACAAGGCGATGGAGAGAATCTGCTCTTCGATGATGATGCATTCATCTATTTCGCCATTTCCATTCTTACCCTAGTTATTCTTCCTCTGATTTACTCCGTTATCAAGCCACTGTTCACAACATACGTGTTTGGGGAAAACAGAAGAAAATTCGCACGTGTTCCCAAAAGCTCCAATGATCAACAAAATCTGTAACTGGCTAAATAGGAATTGAGACTTAAATGGCTTACAACAGGGTATGTGGTTAAGGTAATATGTTGATTCTTATCCAAGATCATAATACTTGTGGCTCTTTTGTTATTGCTCAATGCATCCATTTAATCGTTGCCAAAGGCTGACAAAATCAAGGGGTTTGATCCCTATGAGATTTTGGAAATCGATCCAAGTGCAACGGAATAAGAAATTCGTAAAGCTTATAGAAAGATTTCATTAAAATTGCATCCAGACAAAAATCCAGATGATCCTTAAGCTAATCAAAAATTTATTCTTCTGACAAAAGCATATGAGTGTTTGACTGACGAAGACAAAAAATCATTATGTATGAAATATGGAAATCCAGATGGACAATAAAGTTTATCTGTGGGAATAGCAATGCCATCATTTCTTCTAAAAAAAGAAAATAGGGCTGCCTTCTTAGCAGTCATCTTTCTGTTGCTTTTGGTTGTAGTGCCCATTATTGTTTTGTATGAATTGAGATCAATAGGAAAATATGATCAAAATGGAGTCATGCTTAGTAATCAGGAGAAATTCGAACGAGGCTTAGAAGAAAACCTATTAATCAAGAAAGGAGTAGAACTATCGAGTTGCAGTGATGAATTATGCAGATTGAGATTGAAAACTGAAAAATAAGGCATAGATTTGGAAAAGTTAGTTAATGAATTAAAAGAAGAAGCAGAATTAAGAAAAATATAAAAATTTGAGATTACAGAAGCACTCGAACAATCCAAAAAATAAAAGAATAAAAAAAGAAGAGTCACCATTTCTGTTGCCATGATCTTAATATACGCACATCTCTTTGGTAAGCCAATTCCTGACAGCGTTAAATCTTTGTATAGATCTACTATTAAGATAATTCCAAAGTTGGTAAACTCTATGGTAAGGTTGGCTTTTGAATTCTCAATGAAATACAAAGTAATCTAATGGAGATAAAGAGGAAGATTCTAAACTAAATTTATGGGTGCAAGATGTATAAACAACATTTTATAGTTCTCTCAATGCATTGTCTAAGGAATATATGAAACAGATAACCCAATAAATTAAATTGAATTCTTTGCTAACAAAGCCAAAGATTATATTAAAAAAGGAAAGATGCCAGTGTTCCAAGAATTAGTCCAAAAATCAGTTGATTAAAGAGTGGTAATAAGTGTAATTCAATAAATTAGTTACCAAATTGGGTGCCTGAAGAATTCAAAGACCAAATTATGAATGAAATAAACATGTTCCCTCAATTGGATATCAAACATGAAGTCACTGTAGATGACGAATCAATTGTTGAATAATGCAATGAAGACATCTTTAGTGTATGCACTATTTATTATGTAGATCAAAATCACTTTAACAAGATTGAACACTCCTGAAGGAGAAGACATTCCCTTTGCTCATTCAAACAGATATACATATGTGAAGGAGGAGGGATGGCATATTTTGATTACCTATCAAAATGAGGTCTTTTATTATGCCTAATTGAATGGATCGAATAGAGTGTAATCAACCGAATTCAAATTTTAACCTAAAATGTATTTTGGAGATGTAGTCGAATTTGAATTCGTTCTATTCGTCATTTCTGATTGTTACAGAGGATTGGATGCTGAAATACCCATCAAGTTCAAAGCCAAGAAAGCCACTCAAATCAGCAGGGTATATTTGTAGTGTAATAATTGAAGGCTGTTGAGTATCATAAGGAAGACCAAGAATTAGACAAGTCACTTCCATTTATTCAGTCTATGTTGTTCCCCATGTAAAATAAGGTTGAGGATAGTGATTCGGAAGATGAAGACCAATCAAAGAAGGAGGATGAATGAAATTGAGAAGTAGAATATTATACACATATTGTTATCTTTTGTTATTATTGTTAATTGTAATTCCAAATAATTGTAGTAAATATAAGTAAAAAATTTAAATGACTTCTTTATTAGTTTAATATTAAAAATGAGCGCATACAAGAGCTGTCCTTCTTGGTAAGATTTTAACTTATAATTCAGTTTGGAATAAGTGTTGTCAACTAATTTCTTGCTCCATTCGCTTTATTGCGAAAGAAACATAGTCCAATGTGAATTATGCGATCAACGCATAGATCTAAACGAGAAAGAGGACCACATGTATTTACATCAAAAAGTATGTATATTAACTCTTATCGCCTAGAAAGCATGTCCATACTGCCAAGAAAACTACGAATAGCAGATATTGGAAAAACATTAGATCAGTTGTCCCAACAAGCCATTATTGTGCTGCTACTGTGATTTGATGATAAACCAATTAGAAATGGTGTAACATCAAGTCAAATGTGGTGCTAGAACTGAATAATGTCCTCTTTGTAAAAAGCACATTCAAAAGAAAGGTATAAATAAATAGAGGCTTTTAGAATTTGATATACATGTATCTATTTGTTAATTACCATCTCCATCTTCTCCCAAAAGAGCAAGACTACAACAAGTTCTTTGTGATAGCTCAGATGATCATTCAGTTCAAGAAGTCAAATAAAATCCGTAAAACAGGCGTCCACTCAAGAAGGAGCCCAAAAGTTATGCTCTAAAGTAAAAAAAAGAACAGAAGGATTAAAAGTAGCCATTCTAGAAACCTTTCTTAGATGACGATGAAGATGAAGAGCTTCAAAAGGCATTATAGTAAAGTTTGAATTAAAAATGAATTAATAAAGTTTGTGCGTAAGATTTAAAGCATTGCATCAGCAAAGGCATCTCTCTCATCCAATCTATCACACACCCAAACCGCAATTACAACGCAGTTTCAGTTTGCCTAAATTCTTTGTCTTTAATCCAAGGAAGCAATTCCATGGCATCCCTCAAAAAATGAGAAGAAAAAGTTGTGATTGCAAAGAATGCGGGCAAATGACCAACTTTCAATATAGAAATATGAATGTCCCATTTATTCTTAAACCCTTTAGAATCAGAAGACAACCATCTCTAAAAACTAATCGATTATTGACTGCATAAAATACAAGTATACACCTGCACTCCTTATATTATTAGAAAAACTCTTTCGCAAATTCTCTGCCTCAAAACAAGATACTCTGATTTGTACATCTTCTTCTCAATTAATCCTCACATCTCTCCGTAGAGCTTCAGCAAGAACCACTGAAAAACTTATTGAAGATACTCAAGTTCGAATATTTGAACCTCCTAAATCTTGCAAAAGCCATTTATTATAAAATACTAACAAACCAGAGTTAACAAAGATAACTTTGCAAATCCCAAAATCATAAAGAATTATCAAAACTCAACCTTCAGAGCACTCAAAAATTAAACTACCTCAAAACCTCAGAAGCTTGAAACAAATTTACAACAGAAACTTTCTTTGTACATACTTAACTAAATATAAGAAATCTAAAACCTAAATCAATTTATCAAAGTATTGAATCTTAATAAAATAATTGTTCAATCAAAATTAAATACAATCAATACAATTCTAGAGTCCTATCAATATATATTATGCTTTAACTAAATTGCAATTCATTCTCCATATCCTTGATCGAATTCTTTATTTTATAAATAATAACTGATATAATATTTTTTATAACTAGAAATCTTATATTTGTAAAAGAATTCACGGTTGACCTCAAGATATATAAAATCTATTGTGATGACTATGCTTCTTCCCTTTATTAATCATAGATATATCATTAGATCCCAGGAGAGCAGATATTTATTAATTTAAAATATTAAATGTCCAAAAACGAATTAAAATAAGAAAATTATTTAATCTATCTAAAGAATTGCTTAAATCTAAAAACAACAATCAAATATTTTTCATTCAGTTTTCGCTTAAATGTATTCAAATATGCTTTGTTATTTTTGATTGTGATGAGATTATGGCTTACAAAAGAAGCAAAATTTGTAATGTTAAATTTCTGATTTAAAAATTTCCAAACATTTGTAAAGGCTTGGCTTGTAAATGAGGCTAAGAAAATGTTGAGGGGAGGAATGACAACAAATTGATGATATATTAATTAAATGAACTATTAAAATTTACTTATGATGTGAGAATGACAGAATAAATATTTTTAATAAAAACTTAAAAACTTCAAAAACGCATAGTTTTATGTAATTTTAAGCCAAAGCAGGGTGATCAAGAAAACATTAATAATATTAATGAAAGCTTTATTGATCTTAGGATTAGTGATCTTCACACAAGCCGTCTTCGTCAAGCATGCTTCTGAACCACATGCTGCCGTCTTCGCTTAACTCGAAGCCCTTGAAGACCATCCATTGGGAAAGAAAATTTTGGACACAATCGCCTTGTAAATGAAGAACAAGTCACCACTCTCTGACATTGCCAAGATGCTCTAAGACTTGAGAGAAAACTTAGTCCTCTAATAACAAGATGCTGAATTAGTCCACGTCGCTTAAGAAGCTGACTGTGAAGCTGAAATCTATGGATATAACAGAAGAATCGACTTCGCTTCCAACGAAATCACCGAAGCCACCATCGATATCAACAAGTACACTGCTGATATTGAACTCTTGGAAACAGATATTGCCAACAAGGAATAATAATTATAAATCTTAGCCAACTAAGAGGAATAACTCAGATAAAAGAGAGCTGAAGACCACGCTTCATTCGAAGAAAGATAAATCACAACCCCAAAGGTCGTTGAAGCCCTCGACGTCATCGCCGCCAAATTGAGCGCTATCCAACCAGAAGCTGATGCTGAAGCAGTCCTTGCTGAATTAGAAAGAGTCGGTGGAAACAATCCCATCCTCGCCCTCGTCCAATTGGCCTCCACATTCTCAGCTGAGAAATTATAAAACGTCTAAGACAAGATCGCTGAATTGAGAGCCTCATTGGAATAATCCATCATTGACGACTAAGAAGAAGAAGTCTAAGCTTAACTTAACTTCGAAGCTTAAATCGTTGAAATCAATGAATAAAGAGCTGCCCTCTAATCCGAAAAGGCTGACTCCGAAACCAAATTAGGATAAGCTTAAGTCTAATTAGCTGCCGCCAAGAAGAGAAAGTATGATGCTGGAAGAGAACTCGACTCAGCCACCAGAGGAAAGGTTGCCAAGGAAGCTGAATGTGAAGCTTGGAGAACTTAATATGCCAGAGACACCGAATAAAGAACCGTCGAAATCGGTATCATCAGATAAGTCGAATAAATCCTCGCCACCAAGTTGGAAGGTGCCTCCTCATACATCAAAGGAAGAATCAACTGAACTTGATGATTATAAAACCATTATTCAAATTCTTCAATTTTATTCATTTTTCCCAATAAGAACCACTCCTCAAGGCATTGCTCTAAATTTAAAAGCATCCTCTCTTCTTGAAGCATTTAAACCTCTTGAACTGCTAACCAGGCAAAAAAGAATTTAAAATATGTTAACTTTTTCACTTGAATTAATTTAAATTCAGACAAATCTACAATTACAATTTCCTTGACTTCAATATCATTACATTATTATCATGAATGAATAAGATAAAAATTACAATCATAATCTTATTTACTGGAAATATGAGCTACCTTACTAATTGATTTCACTATTTCAATTAACTCCTTTTCCACTAATTAAATTAACTGAATTTTGTTTAAACTCATTTGAATGAACATAAATGATACTTATTAAACATTCTATATGTGCTAGTTACTAATAAATATGTCAAATGTAATAAAAAAAAAAAATATTGTATCACAACTTGATTATATCATTCCCTGAATTGCACCTTTTTTTAATGTTTTTCTTTAAAATTTATAGAACTACATGATGACTCAGGGTATTGGTCATAAGTTCTTGCACTTAGTATTCCTTTCATGCCTTCTTACTAAAATTTAATTTCTTCTTCCGGGACAATTTTTGGTTCTAAGTATATAATGACATGTTATTAGCGAGGTGAAATTGGACGGGAAGATAATAAAATGTCTCCATCCTGGTAGGTGTATAATTGGCAATGATCTTATATCAATTCTTTAAAGTTAGCTATTTGCAATGAGTCTCCCAATGATTTCGTGATGCTCTCTTATTAATTTGAAGAGACTATCTCTTCCACAGCTTATGTGGCTGGAATAGAAGTAGAACAGCAATTATTACCCATAATATATAATAATAATAATGTTATATGAAAACTCCTCCTAATCTATCTTTAAAATTAATTAAGAAACAAAAAGGATTTAAGCCAGAGACAACATATAATATTAATAATCAAATCTATAAACATAGCTATTATCAAATATACTTCAATTTATTTATCTTTTATATGGTAATTAATTTAAAATATTTATATTCAGCTTTAAATGTATTAAAGTAAGACAAAGTCTTAGTTGCACCTCATTTAGCAACTTTGTAATATACAATATCTAATTCCTTTAATGATATACCCGGTTGGATTAAAAAAAAATTCAAATCAATATTGGCAGTTATTGAATTATTCTTCAGTCAAACTTAATTATATTGGGAAGATGATCAAAATTTTTATGACTTAATATCTGAGATAATTAAATTGCTATTTAATATATATTATTTCAACTTAATCATCGATAATTATTATTAAGAATTTCTATTTATTTCCATAAATAAATGGTAAAAGATTAATTGATAAATCCCTTTTTGTCTTATAATTTTATTTTTATTCATATTCGTACTCCTTATATATTTGTCACAAAGTTAGGTAAGATTAGGACAATAATGATGTAGAATTCTTAAAATATAAAAGTAATTGTGTGTCTAAACTCCAGTTAACAATTATTCTCTTTTTTGATTCATTTTTATCAATCGATGATACATATTAAGAGTTCTGATTGGGAGGAATGGTCTACATTTTTTATTTACTCTAAAATTCCTAAAATGAAATTCTTATAAAATTGTTTTGGAGTTTGCACTATTTTCAAAGAAAAGAACACTTTGATTTTTTATCATATCATCATTTGATATTTTCACCATCTTCGTTTAGAATGCATTGAGCTTATACTCTAATATAGAACCTATAAAATAATTCTAAGAGTTTAAACTAAAATATATTAAAGGAGAGTTTCCTCTTAATTTTAGAATTACTTGATTAAGCTATAATTATATCTTCTTATGATATTTATTGACAATACAGAATATTAGTATTTCTGCTTTCATAAACTTCAAAATGCAATCATTTTTTATAAAATCTCATTAATTTTTCTATAGATATTTATATTTTGTTAGTATCTAAAATAATTATTCAATAAATAAAAATTTTAAGACAGATTGAATAACAAAAGAATTTATACTTTGTTTCATTATATTTTGTGCGTTTTTTAGATTTTTATAATCGTATTAGGTATTTCAAATTTTCATAAAATAGATTTGCTTGATGTATTTGAAAGATGTTAATAGGATTAATTTGAAGATAAAATATTATTTAAGAGACTTTCTGTCTTATTGGATTTTAATAACCATAAATTTAATTGAAAAGCAATCTTTCAATATGTTAATGAAATATTTTTTATTGAACTTTTTATTTGATCTTTATTTTATATCTTTCATTTTATTTAAGAACTCCATTGTATTAAAATAGGATAATTTTACATAACATTTACTTTAAAAATTATTTATTTTATAATTCAGTCAAACTATCGATAAATCATGATATAAGATTGAATTTTTTGAAGTTTGTATTAACAGGAATAAAATATATGGCTTAGCATACGTAATTTTTAAATAATTAGTGAATGATTTAAATAATAGTTATTTAATAATAATTTAGTATCTGTATGGATTAGAAAATCAAAGAACTATCAATTTAAGAATAAAATATGATCAAAAATTAATATCCTCTAAAATCAATATCTTATCTTATTCAATAAAAAATATTAAATCTTATTGATTTTACACAAAATGGAAGATCCTAAATAGACGATAAACCATATATATTAATTGATCAATATAAAATAAGTATTTAAATAAATTCATAAACTATTAAATTAAATCATATATTCTTAGACTTAAAGGAAATAGAATAATTAAGAGAATTCGATCTAAGAATTAAAAATTTAATTTGTAATTTGTAATATTTAATTCTTATTTAAATTCTAGAAATTTTTGCCAAATACACGTAATAATTAAAATTATGAAATCGCTTCTCTTGCTCTCTTTACTTGCTTTTGCTGTTGTTGCTGATTATGAATATGATGGAGATGTTATGGTACTAACCGAAGAAACATTTGATTAAGCCTTCAATGAATTCGATTATTTGATGTTTGAATTCTATGCTCCTTGGTGTGGTCATTGCAAAGAACTCGCCCCTAAATATGCTGAGGCTGCTACTGCTCTTAGGTCTGAAGGAATAGTTTTGGCCAAGATCGATGCCACAGTCCAAAAGAAATTGGCTGAAAAGTATGGTGTCAAAGGATATCCAACTATCAAATTCAGCGTTAAATAGGCTGTAAAGGATTTTGAAGGTGGAAGAAATGCTGATGGCATTAAGAATTGGATTTACAGCAATCTTAATCCAGAGAGTGAATTACTTGAGACTCTTGAATAAGTCAATGAGGCTATTGCTCAAAATAATGTTCAATTTGTCTATTTTGCAGAGGAATAAAGCGAAAGGGATAGAGAATTGAGAAAATACAAAGAATTCTCTTTCACCATGAAATAGCATTTTGCCCATACAACAAGTAAAACAATCAGAGAAGCTCTAAACGTTCCAAAAGGAACCTACTTTGTTGGATTTAGAAATCAAAAGCCTTATTACTATTAAGGAAAACTTTCATTCCCAATCATGAAAACCTTTGTTGAGAATGTTGCAAATGAAAGAATTCAAGAGTACTCTGACAAAAAGGAATAACTAGATGAAAGAATAACTAAAAGCAAACCATTTGTTGTTGTCTTTTCTGATGAACCTGAAGTGTAAGTTGCTGCATAAGCTTGGTCTTATTAGGACGAGTTACTTTTCATCAAGAATGTTGATGAGGAATTCACTAGAAAGATTCAAGTCAGATCTCAAGATCAAAAAGGAGTTTTCATCATCAAGGGAGATTAAAGATACAATAGGGTTTAAGGTCAAAGCGTTAGTGAATTCTTGGAGGCATTCTAATCAGGAAAAGCACATAAGTACCTTAAATCATAAGCTGCTCCACAATAACAAGGATTGGTCAGAATCCTCATTGGAGATACTTATGAAGCTGCAAGATCTGTTAATGATTCTGTAATCTTATACTTTGATTCTCAAAATGAAGAACAGTAATATCTTATAATTAATTATTTAGCAATGCAGTTTAAGAACAATTCTTGAAGGTGGCTGAAAGACTCTAACAAAACAAGCATTTGACTTTCCATAAAATCGATTTGTCATAAAATGAAGTTAGCGATTTGGCTGAATCTATTGAAATCGTTAAAATCAGATTATACAAAAATAACTAACCAATTAAGTTCGTAATCAGGGCAAACAAAATTCAAGAAGAAAGATTTGTTAAATGGATTGTAGATAACGCAGCTAGTTAAGTTGTGGACCCCAAAGCTGAATTATGATTTTGTGTAAAATAAAATAATATTTTAAATTCCATATAGAAACTTCTAATTGTACAATACTTAGTTTATATCCAAATTTAATTCGTCATTGAGAAATAAATAAAATGGCAGATCAACTTGTTTTAGGATATTGGGGAATCAGAGGATTGGCTCAACCATGTAAGAATTCATATCATCCCTCTAGTGAGATATTTGATAGAGTACTTGGGATTACCATATGAAGAGAAAAGATACCTCAAGCCTGAAGAATGGTTCGGTGGACTTGGTGAAGCTCCATTCAACACCCACGTTCTTGTCAACCTCCCATACATCAAGGATGGCGACAAGTACGTTTACGAGAGTGCTGCCCTTTATGTCTATTTGGCTCATAAGGCTAATAGAGCTGATCTCTTGGGATCCACACCTGATGAACAAGTGGCTGTGGCTTAAGTGAGAGGTGTTATCTAAGATGCCTTGAAAGGTTTCTTCCACCTTATCACCCTCCCTGAAGATCAATATGCTGCAAAGAAAGATGAAGTCTTTGCAAATGAAGTTGCTTGGTTGATAGAAAGATTAGATAAATTCATTGGTGAAAACAAATGGGCTGCTGGAGCCAACCTTACATATATTGACTTTGGTCTCTTCGAATTAGAAGAAACATTGAAATCTTTCAATGCTGAGGCTTGGGCCAAGTTTGCCAACCTCCAAAAACACCATTAGGAATTTTCAAACCTTCCTTAAATCAAGGAATACATGGCTTCTGGAAGATTCCTAGCTGGTCCCTTCTATCCACCAGGAAGATTTAGATGGGGATTCTGATTATTAAATTCATAATTTAATACAAATATTATTGGAATTAACAACCAAGAAACCTTCCAAAAAATAGAATTCTTTAAGTCTTATTCATAATAGTGTATCCACATATATATTCTTTTTATTTTACTATTCTTATAAAAATTATTTAATTTAATTTAAAAGTCATTAATAAATAATTATTTATTTTAATAAACTGATAAATTTAATAATAACAGTATTATCAAATACCATTAATAAATTTGCATAGCTATTTTTATAATAATAGGAGGAATGTACAATATTTCTAATGAAAATTAGAATGATTTCATCAAAATTCCAAGGACCCACTTCAATATTGTCATTTTCTATCAAAATGTCTATTCAATATTATTTAACAACAACTATTTTTATTACTTTTGAGATAGGAATCCTCTAAAATAAGAGCATCAAAGTATCATATTAAGTCATTTTTTGAGACTATAAAATAAAGCCAGCATTTTTATTCAATAAAAGGATAAGCGATGATAGAGTTAATAAATAAAGTTGTTTTCTGTTTAAGTTACTTAAAATGATTCAATAAATCTCACTAGTTTTCAAAGTATTAAATATTAATATTTCATCAATGAGCTTAGTGCTAATTACTAAATATGAGGATAAATTGTTAGACTTTATAAAATAATAATAATTAAGCACAATTTTGATTTAATATCTAGAATAGTATAATATCAGTTTGACGTATATTGTGCTACTAAAGCATACTGAATGCTCAAACGGGTTATTTTAACTGTCAAAATCAAGAGATTAGAAGCTGCCTCTTTGATTTCCATGTCAAATGTCTACCAATAAAACTTAAAAGTAGACCCTCTTATTTAATCAAAATTTCGATTTATGGCCATCTTAAGAATTACAATAACATGTCTAGTATCAAATACGAGTGGTATTGGTAGTATCAAGCGTGACGAATTCTCAATAAAGCTATGCCTACTTATTTTTATAATTTAATATGTATAAAAACTCAATTATAAATGATATGATTTGGCATTTCTAGAATTAGTACCCCTAAAAATAGAGATATTAGAACTGTAATTATAAAGTTTTATTGACTTAACAATTCTTAAAAAAAAATAAATTAAACAAATGGTTTTTATGGCAATGGCAAGCTCAACACATTCAATAGAAAACTCTCCAACATCAACCATGTCTTAGGCTCCTAAAATTAAAGAGGAATCTATTACTATTGGCTTGAGTTGGAAAGCAATACTTAGAAAAAAAAATTAGACTAAACGCCCGAATTAAAAACTAACTCCAAGGTTATCAGAATCGATAAAATCAAAGAACATACCCAAGAATGTAGCCAAAGCCATCATACAATAAATCCTTAATAACAATGTATAGGAGCAGATAGAAGAAAAAGAGGAGTTCTTGAAATTCATCATTAAAAATAGAAAAATTTAGAATCTAGCTTACCTGATGAAAATAACAAGACCTCATAAATTAGAAAGGCTAAACAAATTACATAAATAGTTTAGATAGATTTGGTATGCAATAAATGTAATCATATTTTTAGTTGGAATTTTCTGAAAAAGTAGTATGTACCATATATATTCAATTCCAGAATTAAAAATCCAGAAGGCCATTTGCAATACAGGAATCAATTAATGAAAGTGTTTGCTCAAAAATAATGATTTAATATTTGTATGACTTAAATAACAATCGATTCATCATATGATTCAGACCCTAATTTGTGACCTAAAAGAGCAATAGTCATAAAATCTCTTAATTTCATGCCTTTTGGTGTAAATTTTTGTTGTAAATAACGAAGAAAGTATTTAAATCGATAATAATTAATTAGTATAGCATTTTTTTCATAAATAAAATAATCAAATTTAGACCAACATGTTTTTCAAACTTGTAGTGAAGGTTGGAATTCAAAGTGTGAAACATCAAATAAGACCCGCTATTGCAGCATATAGAACTCTTGCAAATAATCACTTAAACTTGCATAATTTGAATACTTTTTATCTGAATTAGCTAACACGTTTTGCAGAAGAAGAAGAAAATGATCTTAACGAATTAAATATAATCAACTGTTTGTCGGAGGTGAAATCTTTAAATGAAAATTGAGTATATGAAATTTATAATTACATTATTTACATTCGTTAAATAAATAACAGAAAGCTAAAACTTTAAAATGAAAATTTTTTGTTAATCAAAATATAAGATCAACATCTTCTGCCCATTGATTTCTTACGGTTCATATCCTTTTTATCTTTAACATCTTTATCATTCATTTTCTTTGATTCCCCTTTACCTTCATCTTTAGTATTTTTGGTTCCTTTTTTACTAATTTTATAATTATAAAATAGCTACTTATCTTTGTCATCCTTCTTTTTATCTTCCTTCTTCATTTAATCTTCCTTCTCATGTTTCTATTATGCAGTTTCTTCGTCATCCTTCATTTTTCTGGGACCCCTCTTATAAGGAGGCAATTCCTAATACTACAAATCTTGTCTTGTAGCCGATCGTTTGAACTTCTCCTCTATCAACTGGTCGAACTGCTCTCTCTTTTCTGAATGCTTTCTAATTAATTCTATATTTATTTGTATTACTTTGACCATTCATCCATTTGTTTATGGTAATGTTCTAGCTTCTTTTCGAAATCATCATCGTACTTCTTTCTATCCTTATTTGAAAGTTTATTATATTGATCCACCAATGCCTTTGTTACCTAACCAGAGGATAAATCAGGATTCTCTTCAGAATATGCTCTTCTATTCTCCGCTATATATACTAAACAACCTGATACTGGTTTCTTTGGTTTCTCAGGAACTTCCAGTAAGGCTTTGTACTTTTTCAAATCTTATGCATTCCCGCCATAATATAAAAGTAAGTCTTCCTTGTACTTTGCCTCCATTTTTTCAAATTCATCATCATATTTCTCTTTCTCGTCTTCATCTATTTATCTCCACATTTCCGCGATTTTGCTTTGGATTTCCTTACCTTTCATCATCCCATCTTTTTTCATTTAGGCAGCTTTTTCAGCATAGAATACCTGATATGAAGACATGCAAATTCTAGCAGGGGGTTTCTTTAATGTTCCACTTCTTAACTACATCATCTGATAGTAATTTTCAAATTTGAAATGTAAATATATAAAATGTTGTATAGAATTAAGATAAAATTGAACTTAAATGATTGATTTGATTATATTTATTCAAAGCAATAAGTGCTATTCATTAAATGCCAAATTTTAAATGTAAATCAATCAACTTAATAGTAATGTAAAATATCAACAATAATATTAAGGTATCATGATCAATCAATTATAAATACCTTTTTAAGTGAATAACCTTGTTATTCTATCTAAATAAGACCTTAAAATGTTTTCAGTTTATCTGAATCAAACTTCAACTAGTTTTAAATAAATTACTCAAAGAATTGAATTGAGAATTTTAATACTTTTATAACATTAATAAATTATTCTAATTTATAATCTTATCTTTAATTTCACCTCTTTCTTTTATAAAATTACTTCTAAGACTCTACATCCTAAAAGTATATATTGTAATATTCGACACTCTCCCAATCATCTTTGCCTTCAACATAATAAAATATTTAGAAATTTGGTAGAGAGAAATATTTAAGTAAACAATAACATGGTCGAAAAATATCAAGAGTTCATTAATCAATCAAGTTACAAAGTCAAAAATGTGGTTTTGTATTGGCAGTCGAGTCAAGAATAAAAAATTTCTTTTTTTCAACAATTTAAGTTAAAATAAGTATGCATAAATGTATAAGATCATTTAACTTTTTAGATGGCCACCAATGATGGAAATATGAATTTAGTTGGAGTGAAAATTGGAATTGATAGATGAGGCGAAGTTGAGGTGTTTAGGTCATCAAAATCTTCTTCCCTGATGTATTTAATGAAAGTGGATTTGAGGATATCTTATTTTTGGATTTCTTCTCCTTAGCCTTCTTCACAAATCTATTCTTATCAATATTAAAGGTATTCATGTTGATTTATAATAATTAAAAAATAGAAATTGATTTTACATCGCTTAAATAGCACATCTATGGAGTACTAAGTTATTTAGCCTTAAGGAAATAAATCCTGAGATGATAATAGCTGATTTACACTATAGATGAATAGGATAATTAGACTAAAAGGACATGCTCGTAATATATATATAAAGATTTTGATTTTCTTAGAAACTTTAAATTTTATATACATTTAATTAATTTTTAGACAACTTATGGTGCGATATATTTATAAAATTTGATAATAACTCAATTTTCTTTCTTCTTGATTGTGAAACAACTAATATTAAGGTATGTGGTTATTTAATTTATTACATTCTTAATAAATAAGAGAGTTAGAACAATTGTGGAAATAAATTAAATCCAGAACAATATTTTCAAATGTTCTAAACTGAATGGAATGAAAAAGGTTAATAAACTAATGATGATGAAGGGCAACATTTCCAAGTGGAATAAGGGGGTTTAATCCTGGGATATAAATTGCATAATTTACTTTAGTTGTTGAACAAACAATTGTTTTGCAGACAATTGAAGATAGAATAATTCCAAAATTAATCAAGAGTGGTCCAGCAAGTTGGCTATAGATTGGGGATGANTAAGGTATCATGATCAATCAATTATAAATACCTTTTTAAGTGAATAACCTTGTTATTCTATCTAAATAAGACCTTAAAATGTTTTCAGTTTATCTGAATCAAACTTCAACTAGTTTTAAATAAATTACTCAAAGAATTGAATTGAGAATTTTAATACTTTTATAACATTAATAAATTATTCTAATTTATAATCTTATCTTTAATTTCACCTCTTTCTTTTATAAAATTACTTCTAAGACTCTACATCCTAAAAGTATATATTGTAATATTCGACACTCTCCCAATCATCTTTGCCTTCAACATAATAAAATATTTAGAAATTTGGTAGAGAGAAATATTTAAGTAAACAATAACATGGTCGAAAAATATCAAGAGTTCATTAATCAATCAAGTTACAAAGTCAAAAATGTGGTTTTGTATTGGCAGTCGAGTCAAGAATAAAAAATTTCTTTTTTTCAACAATTTAAGTTAAAATAAGTATGCATAAATGTATAAGATCATTTAACTTTTTAGATGGCCACCAATGATGGAAATATGAATTTAGTTGGAGTGAAAATTGGAATTGATAGATGAGGCGAAGTTGAGGTGTTTAGGTCATCAAAATCTTCTTCCCTGATGTATTTAATGAAAGTGGATTTGAGGATATCTTATTTTTGGATTTCTTCTCCTTAGCCTTCTTCACAAATCTATTCTTATCAATATTAAAGGTATTCATGTTGATTTATAATAATTAAAAAATAGAAATTGATTTTACATCGCTTAAATAGCACATCTATGGAGTACTAAGTTATTTAGCCTTAAGGAAATAAATCCTGAGATGATAATAGCTGATTTACACTATAGATGAATAGGATAATTAGACTAAAAGGACATGCTCGTAATATATATATAAAGATTTTGATTTTCTTAGAAACTTTAAATTTTATATACATTTAATTAATTTTTAGACAACTTATGGTGCGATATATTTATAAAATTTGATAATAACTCAATTTTCTTTCTTCTTGATTGTGAAACAACTAATATTAAGGTATGTGGTTATTTAATTTATTACATTCTTAATAAATAAGAGAGTTAGAACAATTGTGGAAATAAATTAAATCCAGAACAATATTTTCAAATGTTCTAAACTGAATGGAATGAAAAAGGTTAATAAACTAATGATGATGAAGGGCAACATTTCCAAGTGGAATAAGGGGGTTTAATCCTGGGATATAAATTGCATAATTTACTTTAGTTGTTGAACAAACAATTGTTTTGCAGACAATTGAAGATAGAATAATTCCAAAATTAATCAAGAGTGGTCCAGCAAGTTGGCTATAGATTGGGGATGAGAACCAGACAAACTCTAAGGGGATAAGACTAATTCTTACATAAGGTCCAAAACAAAAACAACGGTATCCATTCGCTGAACACTCTAAGTGGTTTTTAAGATTTGAAGATATTGGAGAAGAACAAAAAAATGTCTGAAATGATTGCTGCTCCCAAAATAGTAGTTGTGACTATTTTATATAGATTGAATCCAAATATTTTATTGTGCCAAGCGCTTTATCCAAAGATTGCTGAAAACTAGGTATATATAAGGTGATGATACCAATTAGACTGAAATAGCTACTAATTCCAATTCAGTTACACCGAAATTAGCCAAATGAGTATGCAAAACTCCAGTGTAATATTCTTTTTAGTTTATAGCCCAAAGTCCTATTTGACAAAAGAATTAAAAATAAAATAAGGTGTCTCTGTCCATCAAGGTTGCCTATGCTGCTCCAATAATGAAAAATTGCATAATGAATGAATCACAACCATGATCAAACAACTAGCCCAAAGGAGAAGATGATTATGTTCTTCTGGCTTGTTTTCCATCAGTCGCGTCAAGAGTTTGATATGCAAAAATAGCGAATGCCATAAAATAAAATGTCCAAGTTGGAATTTCTTAGGTTAATGTCATATCGGCGAAAACCTAGAATATGCAAGCCAAGATCATTGTTATGAATCCAATGAAGGTAATCAGATTTGGAGCAAGCCACTATGATAATTATTTACTCATATTTACAGTGGGGTAAAGTTCACTTACAAATATCCAGAATGGATTAATCTTATTGTCCAAATAAGAGTACCCTCCAGAGACGTATTTATATTTTTTTAGGTTTTCCAATCCAGTGTTGGAGATGAATGCCATAATAATTAATTATTGAAAATCAAAAAGAAATATCTAGAATAAAATGTAATCTTATTGAGAATAATTTTAGAAAAGGTAAGGAAAACCCCACACACAAAATATTTATAATTTAATTAAAAAAACATGATTAGAAATCCTCAAAATCCAATTGTGTTCTTCGATGTAGCTATAGCTGGTCAAAAGGTCGGTCGCATAAGAATGGAGTTGTATGCTGATGTAGTTCCAAAAACAGCAGAGAATTTCAGACAGTTGTGTACAGGAGAATATAAGAGATTTGATAAACCTGCTGGTTACAAGGGTTGCTAATTTCATAGAGTGATCAAGGATTTCATGATCTAGGGAGGTGATTTTGTGATGGTATCCATTCTTAATTACAATAGGGAGATGGCACTGGGTGTGTTTCAATTTATGGAGATAAATTCGAAGATGAGAATTTTTAATTGAGACATGATGAACCTGGATTATTGTCTATGGCCAATTCTGGGCCCAACAGTAACGGCTGTCAATTTTTTATAACTTGTACCAAATGCGATTGGTTAGATGGAAAACATGTAGTATTTGGTAAGGTAATTGATGCAGGGTCTATGCAAGTGATCAGAAGAATTGAAACCACTCCAGTTGGTCCACAAAATAAACCAAAATAAATCATCATTATAGAAGAGTGTGGAGAGTTGTGACTAAATTACATTAACATTCTCAAAGAGTTTATTAACATTATTATCAAATTTCATGTAAAGGGAAAATTTATATTAATGTTATTTTTATGCGTATTGAAAATTTCAAAATTTGCCTTAGTTTGATATCAAACTAAGAAGTTCATCACCACAGTGCTCATCGTATTTTTTCTCTATTTTAATTGCAGCTAAAGCTGAGGTAAGTTATGTAATCTATTATTCACTGAGATTCAGTTATTTAATTTGCTAATCTCCCATTTGCATCAACTTCGATTCAGATATTTTTAATCCTTGCAAAATCTTATATATACATTCTCCCTAAAAATGAATATTGTAATTAAATTTACTTCGTTTAATTTAAGAATTTCTTCATAAAGTTTTTTTGAGTAAGTAAGATGGGAATTACTTTAAACAGTTTATTAAACTTTCATAGTATAATTGTTGCCCATTATATGCAACTGCTTTTAATCTGGCGTAGTAGGTGCTGTTCGATGTTTCTTTTAAGATTAGAATTGTTATTGGGCATTATGCTTTTTCTTTTACATTTTGGATCCGTCTGAAAAATCAGAGCCTCTCCTTGAATTAGAGTCAGATGTCTTTGTATTTGTTATGGATTATTAACAAAACGGTTATCCAATTTCCAATTTCTCTTTGCTCATATAATCTTGAGGAATGTAATTGGGGATTATCGGACCTAGATAATTTGATGTGGGCTTGTATGGTTGTCTTTTTGCTTCAATGTGAACATTTGGTTCTTCTATGACCCAAGAGTTATCAGGCAATTACTTACGAACTCTAACAAAATTTAACTGAAAATTGTACCTTCTCTCTTGATCGGAATGGTAGAATGCACATTCACCTAACTTCTTAGTGCAATTAGACTAGGTGCATGGCTTAGTTTTATAAATTAGAGGATGATATTCAAATTCTTTCCATCCATGACAATATTTGCAGTCTTCTTAATCTGGACATCCTCCTTTATCATAATTTAAAATCTGATTGGTTTTATTCCAATGTGGACATTCCTTTGGCTATAACTTCCTTGGATCTCTTCGAAAGTCCTAAGCGTTATGAGCATAAACACAGGAAGCCCTGTCATGACTAAAAATGGTTTTTAAGATTAAGATGTTACTTGATTGTAAGAGGACACCAAACAGTTTTGTATTAAAACATCCAGAAGTTTTTGTCTTGAACCATTCCATCCAACTTAACTGGAATGATCAATTCTTGATCATTATGAGCAAATGAACAATATACTCCATAATCACATTCCTTTATGTGAGTGCAATATTTGGTCTTGTATCTGTTGGGATGGTACACTTGCTCCACTTTATTGTGAGCAAATTGACATTCATCGCCTTATGGACAATTGTCAGCTTGCGGGCATAATTGGCATCTGAAAATAAATATTCACATTTAAATTACTTATATGAACAATATTTGAGATCTCTTCTCCTATCAGTTTCGTCATGAAAAAATGGGCAATACTTTTTTTAGTTAATCTGATGTTGAATCTAACATTTTTGAGTTTTAAATAGATGATGGTCGATATGCTGTTGAATTCTAACTGGAGAATTGGGATTGTAAATATCTAAATTAGTAAGTGATGATTCGTGAGAACGAACTCTTCGACTTCCTAGCATTCGTTAATAAACTATTTTTTATAATAACTATTAAATCAACTCATCATCATCATAAAATTTATAAGAAAATGTTAGTTATACCAAAATTTGAATTCCAAGAAACACACCTATCCCAAGAAACAAGAACAATATTTAAATATTGATTAATTCATAACTTAATTGAGTTTATTGAATTCAAATTAATGCTACCCATTCCTTAAAATTATCTATTCTTTAGTTTCCCCTTCTCCTTCTTGAAGTTGTCTCCCCTTGTGAACTTCAACTTCTCATTTCCAAACTCACCGTATTCATCCCCCTCTCCAAACATCTTTTTGGCCTCAAAAGCGTTGACCCTCAAATGTTCAGGCAATTTGTCATATACTGATTCATCACACTTTTGGAAAAACCTCTTCTTTTCCTTCTGCTCCACAACTTCCTCATTGATTGGCACATCTTAAATTAAAATGCCCTATTACTATTTATTTGAGTGAATGTTCTTTTGTCTAATGATGGTTTTGTTGTTTCTTTTTTATTGCTCTTCTCCTCCTACTTCTATTATTCAGTTTCCTCCTCTTGCTCTTCTTATTCATCATTCTCAGCCTCAGCAACAAATTTTCTAGCAAGCTTACTAATCAATGTGCAATTAATAATTACGGATGTCCGTCAACATAATATTTGATAATCTTTGATAAATCCTTATTGGCCATTGGAGTTTCATCATGTTCATATAAAGAATCAATTTGCTTAGCGGATTTCTTCAATCCTATGGATTTCAAGTATTCCACTATCAAGGGTAACACATCCTATGGAGTCAAGTCTCTTTGCATCAAAATAATAAATGGAATTTATTTTAATCACACAAAAATCTCTATTAAATTTTATGCAATAATATCAAAACACAACTTAGCTACTGTAAATTAAGAATAAGAATAAGATGAAGAATAAGAACTTAACTAAATTCATAAAAATAAGAAATCTTAGTCATAAAACTACTACTATCTAATTCAATAATCTGTAAATACTCTAATAACAAAAATTTATTATATTATTTTTAAGATGAAAAATAATAATTCCACCAGATTAATAAACTAAATTGAATTCATTAGGTTGTCGTTTGAACTAAACCAAAATAAGGAAATGAGATATGAAAATAAAAACAATACCATCATCAATATATCTATAATTTTAACAAATTATAAATTTAATTTTATATCCATTATTATTCATTAATTTTTAGCTAATTACAGTAATGTATTTAATTTATTGAGTCTTACATCTATACTCTATAAATCTTCAGTCGCAGCATCGACTTTACTTGAAGGAGTAGTTATGATTGTATTCTCTTTATTCTTTTCTCTTAAATCTCTTAATCTCTTAATCAAACGCTATTCTTCTGGATCCTCGAACTTATTCGAATCTGATGGTTTAGCAATAACATTTTTATTTTTTATTTGTTTTGAATTCTGTTGTTTAGGCTAGAATGACTTTTTTTTAGATGAACTTGATCTTGCTGAGGGACTTTATTCAGTTCTTTTTGAATTGGATTTGCGTCTGTAAGAAGACTCTGTATCACTATCCAAACTATCCTTTCTCAGCTAATGATATTAATATAAGAATTACTCTAATTGGAGTTGTTTTCTCAATGCTTTTTCTTTTGGAAGGTAAATTACTAGTGTTGAGTTAACTTTTTTGTTTGTTGTTAGATTTTGAAACAGATGGAGATCGAGAAAGATTTGAATTATATTTGGACTTTGATTTATTGAGAGTTTGTTATAATTCAGATTCCAATGAGTTTATTCTTGATTTATTCTTTTTATCTTAGTTCTTCAGTACTACATTTTCATCTATCAATTATTATAAATAGTCTTCTAATTCGATCATTTTTTTTGATAATTCTGAATTTGTATTTTCACTTTATAGGTATTTTGATCGTAGGTCATTGTATTCTTATCTACTAATCATTGTGTTGGAATATTGATGATTCATATTTTTTAATTCTAAAATTTCACTTTCTTTTTGATCAATGATGTTTTTTAACATTTCTAATTCTTTTATTTATTCATTTAACAAAATGGAAGGGTTGGATTCATTTCGTTTTTAATCCTTGTAGAATTAGAGATTTTTATGCAATGATTCATTTTCTTTCCTCAATCTAATAATCGTATTCTTCATTTATTATAAATTTGGTTATTCATTAAAATTTAATGGTAAAGGATAATGCACCTTATCGAATTCTACTACATAACTAAGGATAAGATAGCGTTTATTATTAGGAGCTAGGTTTTGAGTTGGTTGTTTATTAGATCTCTTATTTTTAATTTGCTCCAAATCTTAATAGGTTAGGATGTCGATGTACACAGTCTCCGTTTAATTATTCAATGCTGACTAGAGCATTTTTATGAACGTGGCGTATTTCTTGTAATTTCCAGTTTTTGATGCAATTTCTTCAATATATTGGGCTTGAAAATTGGCAATCCAAGAGTCACCAGACTGTTTCGATTCAATATCAATATTTAGAGTCTCAACATTTGCATTAATGTTGATAATGTAATTGACATCATGAAATTAGCGTTCAACACAGATATCAAGGAGATCTTCCATTTTGAATTATAAATCAGTTAATTTATTAATCAGATTTCAAAATCAGGAATAATAACATGTACTTATCTATTGGACCAGTAGGGCAATTCTTCCGCAATCTGCTAAGCCTTGATTATGAGTTCTATATTAACAATATGATTGCTATTTACATTCTCCTTCGCCACTTCTATTGGGCATCTTCTTCAACATACTTCCAAGCAATTGCATACATAATACTTTGTTATATGAATCTGAATTCTCAAGCATTTACAACACTATTCTATACATGCTTTCTGCTCTATCAAACTGAAAATTCATCATAATTTTATACATATTTATTGGTACTGCACATCCAAGCTAAAAATAAGAGAGATCTATCCATATTTGTGGGATCTTGTTCCTCATAAAAATTGATTGTAGTTTTCAACCAAAATTGTAATTCAGCCCTTTTAGATGGTGCCTTATTCAAAACAAATTCACTTAGATTGAGTAATGGTTTTCCAACATGCAAACTCTTAAATTAGGTTTTGGTTAGATTGGTTCTATCTTATGGTAGAAGATCTTCATTCAATAGCCATTCCAATCCTGTTTTAATTTGATTGTTTGAATGCTCAATGTAATAAATTGACTTTTTAAATAGAGGTATCACATTCTCAAAATCAGCATCTATATTTTCTGCTGGAATATCACTTTGTTGAGATCCTGTCTCTTCTTCGTCATCACTTACAAATTCTCTAAGACTTGGGAACTTGTGCCACCATGAAGCCACAGCCAAACTATTGTAAGCCCATCCTTTCAATTGATTGGAGGGATCTGAAGCCAGACACTCTCTCAATCTCGATTTTGCATCAGTGTAGTTTTCCTTCAATAAATAGGCTGTCTTTTAATAGTGATTAAATTTGATACTCCCAAGAAATACAGGAATTGCTTCTAATACCCTAAGGGTACATTTTCTCGTTGCATTTCGCTTAATAAAGCCTTGCCCAAGAGGATTGCCTTGTTGAGGTTATACTTCAAACAATGAGTCAATAGATCACTGTATGCAGAATACACAAGGGCGTAATTAGCTTTTTATCTCAAAAATTGTCTGATTATTTCTTCTAATTGGGCTTCTGCATCCTCGTATCTTCTGAGTTACAAGTTGGAATAGACAATTCTATTGAAATGATGGACAAGATGTACCTCCTTGAAACATCAACCCATTCCTTATCTTTTAAGTTGTTGGTCTCCAAGAAATTCTTAAATCTTCCAAAAAATTGAAGGGCCACTCGATATTTACCATGTTGCATTTGTTCAAGGCCATATCAACCACAAATATAATTAAATTTGTACTTGTATTATTCTGTTGCCAATACTGTTGAATACATCTCATCTTATTAAGATTGTGTGGGCTCTATGGTTTAATTGAAATAAAATCTGGGAGTGGATTTCTGCATAGTGATCACAGCATTCCTCACAATTTTAAAAAGCATTGAGCAATAATAATAATATTATATGATTGCAAGGAAATGAATAAGATGATTTTTATAAATAAATCTTCCCGAAATGTGTATACACTAGTAGATTGCTGTGGCTTTGGTTTCTTGTTTATTGTATTGATTGGAGATATAATTAAAATAATTTTTATCAAAAAGCAATGAGTTAGGATGAGTTTTTTAATGGATACATATCTAAGAATCATCGGATTAGCGAGGGATATGCATATGCTATACAAGCAAGCTGGTATTATCGCGTGTGAATAATAGGTATAGATAATTTGAGAGATTCCTACAAAACCCGTCGGGTGTGGATGTTACGAGATTTAATAAAATCGAAAATGGTCAAATAGCAGAGGGGACTATCGATATGTCAGTCTCATTAAAATAATATTGTCTTCCTCCCTATTAGCAAATAAATTATTCGCATGTTTATGGATTGAAACCTGAAGCTAAATTCTAAACTGATTTCTACGTAGTTTCAATAGACGTGTGGCACTTCTTTAAACTCTATTATGGTTCAGGTATTTTTACTGATTGACATCGTTTTAGATTATGAAGTAATTGTTTTTGTTACACAGCATCATCCTCAAATGAACAACTATTTTCATTGCGATAACCTAGAGGACGGATTGTGTGTTTGCAGAGAAATCATAAACATCCTCTTTGTAATTGTATTCCCAAGAAACATTTCTGTATTACAAGCCATCTTAACACCAATAAGTCCTTGGATGGATTTGATCAAATTTCGTGTTTTTCTATTTGCCATGTACAATTTTGGAACCGATGCCATCAAATTTATAAATGAAGGCTGCATTTATTTTAACAACAAAAAAGTGCCCTTCAAAGGAAATCGAATACTCCAGGATATTGGCATAAACAAGGATATCTAAATTGTTATGTCATGTCAAAACTTATTAATGTAAGACATAGAGGAGGAGATTGAAACTGATGGTGAAGAACAATAATTGGAATAAAGTAATTATTATCTCTCTATTATTTTGAGATTTACATAACAAACAAGAATTCTTAGAAATATTAGAAAAAACTCTAAATGAACAGTCCATCATTTAATAGAATATAAAATCAATTGAAGAAATTCAATAATCTTTAGAGCAAAATGACTTCTTTTAAGTTTGAATTTATTATTATTCTATAAATATTTATATCTATATTTTGGATTGAAATACGAAAAAATAACTAAAAGAAAATAACGATCATATTACATCGATTAAAACTATGTACTTTAAGATAAAATTTTTTTTAGTTTCTCAAGTAATAAATTTGGAACCAAAAGAATTCTTAAACAGTCCAAGATGGCTAATTCAATAATTCAAAAACTATCCTAGAACTCAGTTATTATTGTCATACTTTCCAGCTCTTAGCAAATTAAAGGTTTTCTGTAAGGAAAAATTTAAACATTAAGCTGTGCATTCAATTATTATCAGTTGATTACGAATTACTTATAAACTTAATATATATATATAAAATTCCATTAAATAATAGAGTCGAAGATAATCAATAGAAGAGTTTTAATATTAGATCTACTGAATGACTTATTTTGGAGGCATTTAATTTATTGTCTAACTCCTTTAAATATGTTATAAAATCCATATTCTAGCTGTATACTCTGAAAAGACAAGTCTTAATTAAATTAATGCTAAATAGTTCAACTGATTATTGTTATACAATAGAAATGTACTTTCATTCATTATAACTTGACCTTTTATTAAATATTTCAAATATATATACATTATTTTTTAATATTTGATATGTTAATATTCATGTTTTCGCACTAGATTATAATTTCTTAGTATTCTATTGTATTTTTGATATTAATAATGTTTATTTAGATAAAAAAAAAATACCTTCCAAGGGATTCGAACCCTTGATATGCGGCTTAAAAGGCCGACGCTTTAACCAACTTAGCTAGGAAGGCAACTTGATAAATAAATGGCAAATTTTGTAAACTTTTAAAAATTATTATTTTGTTTAATTTTTAAATAATTTTATCATTTAATAGGCTTGTTGATTTCAAAAATTTTAATGTTTAATTCATTTGATATCTGTCTTGCTATATTGTATAGAAAATGGATGTGGATCAAAATGCTTGATAAGGCAATGACTTAAATTAATAATCCTTCATTTAGTATTGGCTGTCCTAATAGTTATCCCGAAATTGTATTTATTAAGAGAAGAATAAAGAAATAAATAGAATTCAAATATGCTGGCAAGGGGGCATTACATACATGATTCAAAGCTACAATACCCACTGATTTCGACATTGTGAAACCAATTGTGTACATATAAGCTCTTACATGCTGCTCAATAACATTAGTTTTAGAGAAATATATATTATACAGTATAATAGCATTGCAAAATAGGAAGTATCGAAGTTATTTAAATAAGGATGATGTTGTGGTGAATTTGCGTATTTTGAATATACTAAAATGATAATAGGAGAAGCTGTTACACTGAAGGCATAGTGATTAAGACAGATGAAGCAAAAGCAACTAGAACAAAGTGATTGACTTATAGGTCATAAAAAGTAGGTAATTTAAGCAGCCACCAATCACATCCTATTAATTTATGGATAATCACAAATTACCAAAATAAGCAGTGATAGCAAAGAAAATGGCCACACTAATGGTGCCTTCTGCTGCAGCATTAATGATTGGAAGATTCATTTCATGTGTATAATATTCTTCATGAGCAATTAAATAAAATGGTATGGATGGAATGATATAAAGAACAACTGAGAAAATATTATTTCCCACTTACATGGCAGTAGTTAGATTTGTACCTAAATAGTGATTTACTTATTACCTTATAATAAAATAATCATAGAATCAAAATTATGGTCTAAGATCATCCCTAGTGGTGAAGAATTTCCTGAAAATTTTTATATTCAATCATACTTGTTCTTCTAGCTTACTTTCCATCTAAATTATCAAAATTCTGGGATACTGATTATTATTACCATATAAAGCATATGGAGAGTGGCTGTAAACCACAACAACCAATTTGGGATGAATCCATTGAAGGTGTCACCCATAACAAAATAGAAAACAATGTGTGGAATTATCACGCATATCAATCCCAGTAATGTGAGCACATTGGGCCTAAATGTATGATTTGCTTAAAATAGTACGCAACATTCAAAGGCACGAATTTTAAACAATATTCAGCAATCGGCGAAAGTATGTAATTATATAGCAATGATAGATCTGTTCCTTTATAACGATAAGTATGAAGGTATCTTAAATGATCAGAGGAGATGAAGTCATAATTTAGGTATTTCATTAATATTTTTTATTTTTTTAACTGTTCCTTAAAAGTATAATTCTAATTCTTAAAGAATATTCTTAAATCAAAAGATTTGATTTTTCAAGAAATCTCTGAGATACATTGGACAAAACTAATAAAAGCAAAGAGAATTAGAAAATATACAATCATAAAGAATCTGTAAGTGTAATCTATTGATTAATCTAATAATTATTATATACATATATTTCAGTAAAGCAATATGTTCTGATTCCTAAAGTCTTCTGACTTCACATTCAAATTCTTCATAATCAACTCCTGTCATTTGTTAGTGTCCTTATACAATAATTCATTTTGACAGGTATTCTCTATTTGATAAATTTAAAATCTCAATAGTCTCCTTACAGTCCACTTTTATTAAGTCTCAAAAATATCAACTAATCCTTCTAAATTTTATTCAATTATTCATGAATCTCCAATAATTATAAAAATGAATGCTGAATCTTTGCATTAATTATACCAAGAAATGATGAACATCATAATTTAATGATATAGATTTATTTCATTTAGTATGCATGTTTTTGGACTTTCTTTAATTGCATTATACGTACTATTAAATTATTAACAATAAAATTAGCTCTTTCAATTAATAATTTCAGGATTTAATGAATTCATGGAAATTCATTAGAAATACAATTGGACTTTTTGGTTCTGCTGTCCATGAAGGATAAACAAAGACTGGAACTGAATTAGCACCTAGAGCACTTCGAGAAGGAGGACTGATATCGGCTCTCTATAATTTGGGATGGGAAATTAATGACATGGGAGATATACAAGGGAAGAATTTTAGGACAAATAATGTTAAGAGTAAGTTTTTTAGGAACAGCCAGCAATTAGGGAGTATTAATGGAGAAATAAGCAAGAGAGCTTATGAAATAGCTTCTAAGCAGAAATTCATGCTAAATATAGGAGGAGATCATAGTGTGGCTTGTGGATCTATACACGGATTGCTAGAACATTACAGTGATGAATTAAGGGTCATTTGGGTGGATGCTCATGCAGATTGCAATTATTAACTCGATTCAAATAGGAATTATCATGGGATGCCTTTAGGACATCTTTATGGTGCTATCACTGAGCAGATTAAAGGGTTTGAGTGGTTGAAACAACGATTGGATACTAAGAATATCATATATGTTGGAATTCGAGATATTGATCCTATGGAGAGAGAATTCATCAAAGATCAGAAGATTGTATATTATGGAATGGATGAGATTATTGAGTTGGGTATAGGGTAAGTAATGACTCGGATTCTCAAATAATTTGAAGGAAAACCCATTCATGTAAGTTTTGATGTAGATTCAATTGATCCAGAGTTTGCTCATGGGACTGGAACCTTGGTAGACGGAGGGATCACATCAAGGGAAGTTCATTATTTATTAAGAAAATTGGCTGCATCTCGATAGTTGGTAGGCATGGATTTAGCAGAAATCAATCCTTAATTAGAAAAGACTCCTGAACTAAGAGAGGAATTTTTTGGGGATTTTTAATAAGTATGACGTATTGTTCATATTAAGATCGGCAGGATTCAAGGTACTTAGACGGTTGCCTTGGGTATAGAATTGATAGCTTCAGCTTTAGGTAGAACTTTGGTGTTATGAATTATAATGTGTATTTAATTTTATATCAAAACCATCCAAGAAATATAATAAATCTTAGACTTTTATAAAAGAAAATTTTGATGAATTTTTCAATTGAGAAAAGAAATCGATTATTAATATAATTTCAAGATGATACAAAAAGAACAACAAGATAAATTTAAGGAATTCCTTGAGAAAAGAAATAAGGGAAAACTCTACTCCAGATATAAATAGATAGAAACTGAAGCCAAGATATGTGATCTAGCATTTGATGACTAAAATTTAATTGCAGCACATGATGTAGACATTGCGATTTATCATATTGATTAAAAAAATCAACTTTAATCAGAATTAATTGAAAATTTACATTCCTATTTGTTGTACTCTATATGTTTCAGCAAATCAAACAACATGTTTTTTACAGCAGGGTATGAAAAGGAGATAAAATTATGGTAAAAATAAGATAATCAATGGAAATGCATATAGGTACTAAATGGTCATAAAGACTCTGTCATAATTTTGCTGTTGAACAAAGATGAAAATTAGTTATTCTCTAGAAGCAGAGATAAAACGATTAAAATATGGCAGAAACAAGATGTGATCTGGAATTGTGTTTAAACTATACAAGCCCCATCTGGAATTGTCGATTCCTTATGCATAAGTCCATCAGGAAATACACTATCTTTCGGATGTAAAAATAATTTATTTATATGGTACTAAACCAATTTGAATAAATGGAGGAAGTATTAAGCAATTATTTCTGCTCATACCTAATTAATAGAATCTGTTTGTTTCATTTAGGATGATGCATAGATAGCTTCAGGGGCAAATGATATAAAATTATGGAAGAAATGTGCAGTAAATCAATAGTATAGATTGACTCAAATTATTTCCACTTTGGGTAATGTCTCAATTATGGAGTATAACAACTTTAACTCACTCTTGATAGCTGTAACCAATAAAAAGTTTGTTTAAATCTGGAAGGCAGAGGATGATTCTAACTTTTCACATAAATAAACAATTCAAGTGGAGAAATCAGATATTTTTTATGAGGAAACTCAATTTTATGAGGTTGTTACTATGTCTCAAAATGGATAATTCTTAGCTTTAAAAGATAATTACAACGACTATGTTGATATTTGGAAATTGAATTGATATTAATTTAATATAATATTCGATGGTTGTTTAATATTTATATACTTAATTAATAATAATAGTGTAATAATCATACTGATGGTTTCTGATAAGATAATCCATCTCTTTCCTTTGACTCTTGTTTTCATTGGTTGATTCTGAGTCAGAATGAATAAGTCATTCGAACTTTGGATAAGATTTCTTGAGCTTTAAAAAAATACGATGCTTCAAACAAATATTCTTAGTCAACCAATCATAATACAGAATTAATATTTTAATAAACTTAAAACCCCCTCGATATAAATTCAAAAATTAAATTAAACAATAAAATAAAATGGCTAGAACTAAGTAAACTGCAAGAAAGAGCACTGCTGGTAATAAAAAACCAACTAAACATTTGGCTACCAAGGCTGCAAGAAAGACTGCACCAGCTGTTGGAGCTACTGGAGGTTTGAAGAAGCCCCACAAATTCAGACCAGGAACTGTCGCCCTCAGAGAAATCAGAAAATACTAAAAGTCAACCGAATTGTTGATCAGAAAGCTCCCATTCTAAAGATTGGTCAGAGAAATCGCACATGAATTCTAAAAGGAACTCAGATTCTAAAGTTCAGCTGTCTTGGCACTTTAAGAAGCTGCTGAAGCCTACCTCGTTGGATTATTTGAAGACACCAACTTGTGTGCTATTCATGCAAGAAGAGTCACAATTATGTCAAGAGACATCTAATTGGCCAGAAGAATCAGAGGAGAAAGATTCTGATCAATTAATATTAAATTCAATTAAATGTGTTTCATCTCTAAAAAGCAACATATTTTCTTTATTTTTTTTTAGAAATCTAGAAATTTTTTATTATTATCATTCTGAATTAGAATTTTTAATATATGAGAGAGTATATTTTAAATAGAGTGTGATTAGGATTTGAAATTATTTAATTTATTCCCTAAATCTATCACGATGCCATTTGTGCCTTGTATTTTACAATATAAACTATAATTTTAATACTTTATGAAAAAGTTTGATTAAATTATTAAAGGTTTAAACAAAACTGAAGGAAGGGATAGAGTTTGTAAAACGCTTTAATATGGGGCGAGGTTTTTATCATGGTACTTCGAAAAATATAGCCAGCTAGATAAAGCAACATAATTTAATAATTTATTTAGTATGAATGAATATCAAATAATAAGTGGCGATAAGAGAAGCTAGAAAAATATTTAGGTTAGCTAAATCTTTAAATGAAATTTAATTTATCTTAGAAATAATCAAAGAAAATTCAGAAAATCTTAATCAGATAACAAGAATACTAAAAACATTTGCAAGAATCTGGTATTCACTATTTTGGTATCATATCTCAATCTACTAGGCTTTTCGATAATCTAAGCATCCTGGCAAAACTTTAGATAATTAATTCTAATCAAAAGGTCTTGAATAAAATTGCAATGACTTTTTGGACCATCGGAATACTTACGAATCTCTTTGAAATATTGAGAGATTTAATTGGAAATTTTTCGTCATTGAAGAAATATTCGAAATCCGCTGAATACAAGGAAATGCATAGGAGAATCAATGCGAATTGCTTAAATCTAATAAGAAATTTCTGTGATTTAATTCCAGCAGGGACAGGCAGTGAATTTTTCTAAAAGATTTTTGCCTCTCATCCAAATCATGGAGTCGTTGGAATTGCAGGATTTTTAGCAGGAGCAATATCAACATATCAAACCTTTTGAAATAAAGTTAATTAATTATCTTATATTAATGAATAATTATCCATAAAATGGAAATTTTTAGGTTTTTCCTATCCCAGAGAACATTAGAATCTTACAAAATTTTAAGAGGTGGAGGAGAACTGGTGAAAATTTGAATGGAGCCCTCATGATTGGTATACTGGAACATTTTCAAATAAACAATCAATCCGAAAAAATATAACAAATGATTAATAATTTATAAAGCGCTTCAGATGAACAGATCATAAAAATGAGAAATATATTATCAAACTCATTGTAGTTTTCGAAAGGACAATAGCAATAAGATTATTTAATTGATCAACTAAAATAATCGGATCCTTTTAATATTTTCCCAAGTAAATTCATTTTGGAATACCTTAAAAGAGTAAAAGGACATGTTTCTGATGAAGCAGTCATACCAGCTTTAAAGACTCAGTTTTAGGTTAACATACTAGTAATCAGCGAAGATTATGAAAAAAAGGCTTATTCAATATTAGATCCGAAGGACAGAGATTAAATAATTTTATGCAATTTTGATAAATGTTATTATGTGATATAAAAAGAGCCTGGTCCCTAGTTATAAAAGTGTCAATTTTGTTAAAAGCAAATCTCTGAAGACTATTATAAAATGAAATGCAATCAAATAATTTGCTATCAATGCTTAAAGAAATTTTTTGAAAAAGGGAATAATACTGTGCTTTGCAAGGAGAAAGGCTGCTCTTCCTCAATAACATAGAAGGAGTTTCAAAACATTATGAACAAACAGAAAGAAATGGAGAAATCTTAAATCAATTAATCAAACTTATAAAAAACTGAGGAAAGTTAATAATTTTACAAAACATTTTGTACTAAATGCAAAAATAGAATGAGTTCGGATAGCTTACTTTTACCTTTGGGTTGCTCTCATAGCTTTTGCAAAAGTTGCCTGTAGTAATGTTTCAGTTTGCTTCCAAGTGGAATCGCTACATGCATTTCACAAGGCTGCAAAGGAAAATTCATTTAAAAGGATTTAGATTCATTTATCAAAGGTTAGAGTATTAAACAATCATAACCACCATCATAAATCCAAAAAAATGAATCATAAAACCTGGGTTAATATATAACTCCATCAGGTAATTAAGAACCGGTTTATTAATGCGAGGGCTGCTTTAATTATTATTAGTAATCATCTATTTATACATCTGAATGCTTACACAAGTTTTGTAAAATATGTTGCGATAAGGAGATCTCCAAAAACGTTAGTTGCTTTTAATGTTACAAAGTAAATTGTGGATATAAGTTGAAAATTGATGACATTTAAAAATATTTTTATAAAAAAATTAAAGGAAAAACTTTTGGCGAATGCGCTAATTGTAAATAGGAATGCAAGATTTTTGAGTCCTTTCAAAATAGCTGTTATCATTTAATTTGTTATAGTTGTGTCAAATAAATTTACACAGAAGGCCTTAACCCGCAATGTAGGTAATGTAAGGCTTCGATCAATTCAAATGAATTAGATGAATACTATCTACCACAAGCTTCATAAGAAATTCAATAATTTGAGACTATTGAAACGAATATCAAACCAGCTTCTTCTTGTACATTTTGTAATTCTCCTTTTACGGATTACAATTTATAACAAGACATACCTTGTTCACTTCATACTCTAGGATCTTGTTGTGTGATATTTCCATCAAACTGTCCATAGTGTCAAATTGGTTCTTTGATTATTGAGAAATGTAATTTGCATATTAATTTTTAGAAAAACTAAAATTTTATTTATTGCAAAATAGTATGGATAGATTTTATTTTGCCTCTGAGAGCTCGATTAAATGAAGAATTCTTTGTTATTATCATCATTTATTTTTATTAATATATTTCATCATATAGTCAGCATAGAAATTTATTGATGTTCTAGCCTCCAATTGAATTGAGTATTAGATGGAATAATAACCTAATTTTGAGAATTTAAGACTGGAGATCGAAATTGTAATTTAGATTAGAAATCCATTTATTATATTAATTAATAAATTTATAATATAACTAAAACTATATTTACATAAATACAATCTTACATAGAGTATTATCTCACATTCCTTTCATTTCTAAAGCAAATATGTAGAGTCAGGCATCGATTTAATTCACTTTCATGTATACGCAGCAAGTATATTAGAAAACTTATAAATGATTTTAAATGATAAATTATTAAAGAAATTATATTTTGTAAAAATGCACAAAATAAAAGATGAGTAATTGATTTGATGCAAAAATACATTATCTACACTTAATAATTATTATTATCAAATAATAAAAAGGGATTGGAAAGAGTCGAACTTTCTTATTCTTTATGAGGACTAATGAATGCCACCTTGGCACAATCCCTTTGTTCTGATCTAAATTCTCTTTCAAGAGTTTAAATACATTTTTGTAAACAATTCTCTCACAATTATCCACTCCAGCAAAACTAAACATCGACAATTATGCCTGCCTTTGAATTACTAAAACTTTATTCCCTATTTTATTCACTAAATGTTGTTTGATGCATTTAAAGTATGCATCAAACAACTATTTTATTGATCATGTTATAAATTGATAATCTGTATATTATATTGATTTTAAGCTATCAACCTAAAGTAATTGTGTTATTGAGAGTTTTTCAGTTGATGCGGAGGAGAAAACTGTTGACACAAGCTGATATAAAAAAATTGGAAATAATTTATTTTTCTGGTTTCTTCTGATCAGGGAAAATTTATTAATAAATATCAAATGAATGGCCTAAAAGGAGAAAATCAAGGCTGAATAGAGTAACTATGAAAGGAAAGAACAATCACATTGCATTGTTTATGGTTCTATCATTTTTTAGAGTAGTCAGATAAATTCGATAATGCTTACATCTTAATAATTGAAAGGTTATAAATTATAGTATACTATCATGCTATAAGTATAAGTGTTATTCTAGGAGCAATTAAAAGATGGTGGGAGAATGATTTATAAAAATATGTTTTGTTTTGAGTTAAAAATCAATTTATTCGTGAATTCTCAAATATCCTGGATATCTAATTAAGATATAAAGGATTATTGAGGCTAATTAATCATTTGGAGAAAAATAAAAAGGGGTCGGAAAGAGTTGAACTTTCTTTTTTATTCTTTGGACTAATAAATGCCACCGCTGGCACAACCCCTCAATATCCTGGTAAAGAAGTAAGAAATGAGTATAAATAGTTTTGTTGTTATGTTGCAAAAGAGGAGTGAAAAAGGAGAAGTCATAAGGTAAGGATGAGAGGGGGGGATATGACAGAAGAAGTATTGGAAGGTGTAAATTATAATAATAATATTTTGATGATAAAAGATGATAATTATGAAAGGGAATTCGAGTTAAAAGAGTTGGAAATGGAGACAAAGAACGCAGTTCAAGTAGATTTATAAGATTTAGCTAGTTTCAAGACCTGCTAAACGGTTGTGTAGCTCATAATCTAACGAAAAGAAAAGAGCTGTTTGAGTCATTTGAGGTAGAGGTGGAGGAGAAGGTTCCGGTTTTATAAGACCTGGATTCGGTTAGAGTGATGACGGAGTAGATGCAGACGATGCAAAAGAACCTATAGAGTAAGTACACTTTGATAAAGAGAACGAAATTGCTGTTTGAAAAGAGGGTAAATTAGTTAAGGGAAACTTTGATGAATATTCGAGTGAAGGATTTCGAAGTGAATGATGATTCGGTAATAAAGGAATTGCATTAAGCGAATAAGAGAATGTTGGAGTTTTAGTAATTGTCGGAGAAATTCAGGAAAAACTAACAGAAGCGTTAGGAGATGTAATAGAAGGAGTTGGAGCATGAATAGGAGTAGCTTCGAAAATAATAGCAACATATCTTGGAATTGAGGATGGAGAATCAGAAGTTACTAGATAAAATATAGCAATTGGATTTGGAGGAGTAAGAAAAAAGAAGAAGATTGCACGAATGTTTTTAGACAAGTGAGTACATTGAGTTTTTTACTGAAGTGCAAATGTTATAATAAGACAAGGAGGTTTCGACGAATTCGAATGATCAATCTAGATAATTGGGTAGAGATAAATAATCGACGAGACATGAGATAGTGACGATGATGGATGAGTTTTATAATAACTAAAACATTCATCAATTGAGTGAAGAGATAAAGGAGTTTTATAGATCCATGGTGGAATAATTGAAGGTTCAAACCCAAACATACAATGCTTTGATTGAAGAGAAAGCCTTGAGGAAGTTACAGTTAGAAGAGGTGGTTGAGGAGATCAACAGATTGAAAGAATACAATTGTAATACATCTCAGCAAGATATAAGTGTGATCAATTAGGATGGGTCGATAACTGCAATCAACATGGAAGTGCCTTAAGTTATCCACGATAATAATCAATTAAGCAACTATGTAAAGCAGAACCAAATGTGTTTATTAACCATCCATATGAAGGCTATTGATATGATTTCAAGACTTTGTATTGGACTGATCTGGTTGAGTGAGACATCTAAAATGGTTCCAAAAACTCTGGACAGTCTATGCTCCAATTATCTGAAGGGACACTCTAAAGCAGAAATTAAATTATTTATACCAAAGAAATACATGGGAAATCCCAAACCTTAGAAATATGGCTCGTTTATATCGATTATCAATAGAAACAAGAATGATAACAGTCCAAAAGGTAGCAGCACCAATATTATGACAACACCCATGTACAATTAAGATAAATCCTTTGAGAATGAACAGTTGATTTAGAGTTTGGCTCGATTTAGGCAATTGAAGAATGGATACGAACAGATCTAGCTCACTTGGATGGCACTGGTTAAGAATGATTTATTAACCTATAAATTTGTTAAGGATTTCAACTTTGACTAGATTGAGATCAATCAACCTGTTCAAGACATCATATTATAATTGCATATTGTTTATGCAGAATTGATTTCCAAGATCAATTACTTCCAACATTATGAATATTAATTTGCATATTTCAGAGACATCGTGAAGATGATGAATCAATCCAAATAGAAGATCAAAACCAATATCGTAAATAGCAGTCATAAACTATGTGATTCTACCCATTTGAGTAGCAGTTACACTCCGAATAAATACATTGAAACAACTTACAAGGGACAATTGAAAAGATTGACCCATCCTCAATTAGAGGAAGATGAACCAATATATACTCAAGACAACGTGAAGAAGATCTAAAAAACTAGTGATGAAACCAAATTCCACCAATTCTTTATCTAACAATCTAGCATTATCTAACGTAAATCTCCATTATTGCATGAAAAACTCATATCTTAAACCTTATAAACCATTGATTAGATGCGCAAAAAAGAATTAGATGACAATTATCAAACCTCAGATCAGGCTGCATCAGATAACGATTATCTCAATTAAGAACGTAGAAATCTTAAAGGCATGCTGAGTAAGAAAATTCAATAATAATAATAATATATATCAAAATCAGAAGAAAAGGATCTCATCTCATCAAGATCAATAATGAAATAGGTTAGTCTGTTATCCAAAATTTCACATTGTAATTTATTTTAAATATTATAGTATCTAGAGTGAATTCCAATTAGAACTATACCCAAGTCAATAAATCCATTCAGAGATTGAATCAAACCGTTCAAAAGAAAATGTCTGAATACTTTACTTAAGATTAAAATACCTAGGAGAATAGGATAAGATATCCACCTATTGAGAAGAAGGTATCATCTCGCTCTCCAGAATAAACAAAAAAATCAATAATCGACACTTTTCATAAGGATCTTTCTTCAATGATCATGAACTCAACCTCAAATGGTCGATCATTCCTGGCCTGATGAAAAAATAGTTAAATAATATAGCTAAATCCAAAATATTAATTTCATATTATAAATCTATCAAATAATATTAAGTTTATTAAATTAACCAAAGTAAAAGAATTAGAATGATATAAATTTGATATTTTGGATAAAATTAATTTATTATTATTATTATTTTCAACTTTCTTCTTGTACAATCTTTATTTGTTATTTGTTCTTCTTCTTCTCCAAATTCTCAATAAACTTTGCAATTCTCTATTTTAATTCAGGTTATTCTATAACCATCTCAATTGTTAAAGGAGTTCTATCGAATGGGTCTACCTATTGATTTAATAACTATTTCTTTATTGTTAACCTATCAAGGACTACCTAAAGTTGAATTAATTAAGTTAACAATTACATTTGAATGAGGCAATTTAACGGGATCAGTCATTAAGGAATAACAAAGAGGATCCAAGAACTCATCAGGGACATCGTCAGGCAATTAATTGATGATCTTCTATTTCTCCTCTTATTCTTAGAGCTTAAAGATCAAGTCTCTAAACTATTAAATTCGTTCATATGGTATTATTTGATGTTTGTCTAATAAATTGATGGTCACTTGGAACAATTCAATAGAAAAGCACCTATGTTTAAAATAAATTCTAAACCTATCATCCTTAACGACTTGCATCAAAAATTTCTCATTTTAACTGAAATTGATATACAATTCTATGACGTTTCCCATAATTAATTTTGGATCAAAATTGACGGATTCCAAAGATTGAATTTTATATTGAACAGCCTATTTACCATTCAATTACTCCAAGGTGTAATTTAGATTGTTAGCTAGTTTGTCTCTAATTTCATCTGTCAAAAATGCCTCAGGCTGAACTTCACTGAAAACTTAAATGTTTTTGTAGTATTCCTATAAGAAAATAGTGAAGGTTTTCAATTCTGATTAGATTTTTAAGTATTCTTATTTATTATCAATAAATTCTTGTTAATTTGATTCAATATTTTTCATTCTCTTCATTCTTGATAGACACTCATCCAATAAGAATATCATATCATTTAAATAGTAATTAGCAAAAGCCAAAAACATTTCCTTCTCTTTTTCAACAGTTTAAGTTAACAATGAATTGTACCTATCCCTGTGTTTCTCGAGTAGGAATCGAATCAATTTACAAAATTGGTATCTGAAATTAAACTTCTCATAGAACTAATTACCTTCACCTGTTCTTTCGCAATCAATGAATACTTTTAATAGTCCACCAATCATGTGTTTTTCTATGATCTCATTGTATCTAAAAATAAAATCATAAGATTGAGGTTGCACTATTCCTCTTCTGTTCATTCTGCCTTGGTCGAAGATGTGGAACAATTCAATGCCTTTTATTCTTAGATGGGGATTGGTCATATTCCTAGTATTCATAGCAAAAATGGCAAATTCGCAACATTTCTCTAATTCATTTGAATGCTTAAGGATTTCATCATTATAATTGTACACTACAAAGAATGAGTGAGTATCATAAACAAAACTAGACGGCAATAAACCATAAGGATATTTTGGCTTATCATTTTCATCCACCATGCTAAGAGCCAATTGGCTTGAAAAACTTAGGAATTGCATAGTATTTGTGATAGTCTTAGGATGTAAGATTTAAGCATCAAACGACATTTTTAATTTCAAGACATCTCTAAATTAAGGAGACTCTTGTCCATACTATTGGGCAATGTCTCTCAATTTGCTTAAGACTCTATTGTAATAGAATTAGTCGATATTGGTGGCAACAATGTGATTGATTCTTTAAGTGAGCAAAAACATAATAGTCATGGGATCCATTCTTGTTTCAAGTTCTTAAAGTTCTTGGAGTGGTGTCAAGTCAGGGGCAAGTAAATCAATGTTCTAGTAGAGGGTGGCAAATAGGGGATGCTCCTTTAGAACAATGATCATTTATGTTTAAATGTTTTTAATTCTCGAATTTATTTTTTCTTGGGTATCAATCCAAGGATTGAACATTTTAAGTAAAACATAATGTAAATTAAACACCATTCCAGGAGAACTACATTGTTATTGCAATGCCTAATTGAATTGCTTCTCTAGGTTGAGATTCAAAGTAATGATAGTTGAAATGAAATTGTAAAAATTCCTCTTAAGTACATCTGATTTGTGCTTCAATATTTTAGTGAATAGATCGCAAACTTCGTCATTCAATTTGAATATTCTTGTTCTGTATCTATCTCTCAATATTGTCATTGAACTGTAATCTCCTGTAAACTTATTGAGAGCAGTCGCAGAATCAGTGTAAAAGCAACTACCACTTAAGATTCTCCCAATAATACTGTAATTTTGGAATTGCTTACCAATTTACATTAACTTGAATTTTCCGAAGGCCCAACTGTTCATTAAAATGACTTCGATGATATTTGGATAATCTGCTATTTTTAATAGTAATTTCAAGGTCATTTATGGCTAGTCCAATAAATCCAGAGTCCAATTTGCATTAAGTTCTAGCTCTCTCTTAAACATCAGATCCATAAATTTTTGAACGTCATCAGCACTAACTTTTGAATTCAAATACTCTAGTAGATTGATCACAACCCTTTCACAAAACAATAATTGATTTGAATTGAAAATAAGATCATAAAAATTAGTTGCTCTCAAATTTCTTTTATCATCCACTCTATTTGGATCTTCATCAAACTTCTGCCATTCCAACCCTTCCGGATATAAAATGCAAGTTATTAATTGTCCTTACACATAATTGAGGATCTCGAAATACTTGGTTTTCTCCATATTTCCAGCCCCTATTATATTGACTATAGTGGCTTGATCTGAAATTGAAACATCTGTAATGTTGGTGAGAACTTCCATTAAATACTCGAACTTCTCTTACTCTTTAAATTAAGTGCATGTCAAAAATTAATAGCATAATTCATCGATCAGATATTGTACAGTTATACGTTTATCTTTAGGAATGAAGTCAACCATTTTGTCATTCATTACCTGATTATTTGAGTCAATTTTAAATATTTTCGAAAGCCAGACATGTTCTACTTCTTCAGGAGTTAATTGAATCATCTCATTTTAAGGCTCTTTCACCTGATTTTCAAAATACTATTCAATTTATTCGTCCTACACCTATTATTATATTATTTCTTATTTTATGAATTGCTAAGAACCACTTTAATCATGACTAACTAATTCCTCTTTCTCCTCTATTTAATTCACCTTCTAGTATTGGTGTTGCTATTGTTAGACTTATTATTAAGAGGATGCTTCCTTTTGATTCATTGATTCATCCTCATTTGCATCATTTTGTATATTTTTCTCAGCTTCCTACTACTTACTAGACCAATATTTTAACGCTCGATCTTCAGCGCTAAGTTATGATTAAGATGATTGTTCTCGCTACTATTATTGCTAGGAAGATTAAGATTACCCCATTAATTATTTATAAATATTATCGAGTTATTACTATACATATAAATACTATAGGAATATAGAAATTAAAATTCAATTTGCAAATAAGTTAATAATGTTGACAGATTTACATACGTATATTAATAATCAAAAATAAGATCATTTCAGACATTTATTTAATGAATAGAACTTTCTAATTCTTAAATATGTTAATATTGATAACAATATAACTATTCTTTGTCATCTTAATTAGTTATATCATACCGTTCTCATTAAATTTAAAGTCCCTATTATCCTCATATATCAATTAGTAGTTGAATCTAATTTTGGAATTATTTTAAGAATAATCTAAATAATTAGATTTATTCTGTCATTCTCCTATTATTTTAAATTGTAAAGTAGTTATTTATAAGATGGAGAATATAATTATTTATTTTATTTTTTGTTGCTTAATTTAGAGTATATTTTAGAACAATTATTAATATAGTAATTCGAATGAAATATGTATTTTTAGTGAATTTGTATAAATGTTAAACACACTTATTATTCATTGTAAAATTAATTAATTATGTTTAATTAATCTTTGATATACTCAATAAAATATTTTGCTTAGGAAAATAATTTTTATTGTTAAAATTAAACATTTATAAACATTTATTATGCAATTTCATTTAAGGCATTCCTCTTTCATAGAGAGCTTTCTAACTCAGTTTGGGCCAGAGAAGTAAAATTAAGTTATTGAATACTTAATCATCATGGGAATTGATTTAGCAAATAAAACTGGAACAAGAAACTCAAAGGAATTATACCAATTATTAAAACAACTTTCAAGTATTAATATTACATTATGAATCACAGAAAACATTCAAGAACAAACTTCAGGTGATATAAAAAACGAAATAAAAACAATTCAAAGACAATTGAGAGACTTAAATGATCTAATCTAAATCTCTTAAAGAGAAAATAGAAATGTTCAGGGAACTCATAAAAAATATAAATAAGCTAATGAAAACAACTCAAATCGATATGAATAATATGAGAATAATCACCTGCCTCCACCAGATTACTAAAACACTTATCACACATATAACACTCAGAGATCACAATCTAAATCTCCAGTCCACCATAATGATCGTACTCCTCATAAATTAAAGCATTCGAGATCTCATTCCCAAAGAAACCTGACTCCTAAGATTACTGAATCCCCTCCACCTCCACAAATTGTTTACATCAACAAAATGCATAACAAATTCGACATCAAACCCTAATTTGATGATCGACAAATGTAATTTTTCAATCATTTCCTAGCAAAAAATTGATGTATGGCGATCCCAAAAACTAAGACAGAGGTAGGTACTATGGTAAAAGTCCTTCCCCTTAATAATTAATTTATTCCTCCCAAACTAGTGGGGGTTTATCATATAGGCAGTATCCTGGGTAAGTCATTCATCATTAGGCTGACAAACAGAAATAGAATACTTCTCCTAAGAAATTGCCTGCCTATCTATAGAATGTGGAATCTAAAATCAAACCTTTGGTAGATTAGGATAAGCTCTAATATAGGGAGATTTAAAAAGATAGGGAAAATAATAATAATAATAATAATAATAATAATAAACAAGAAGGTACTGTAAAAAAATTAAATAATAATTCCCTACAATAATAGAATAGTGCTGAAACTGATACATTCTTCGATATTCAACAATATATTTAGGATTAGAAAAAATACTAGTTCTCTCCAGTCTAAGAGATGAATGATGATGGAAGAAACGAAGATGAAGAAGCAAGTGACACTTTCTCTAATTTCAGTCCACCAAATGAAGAGGTGAAGGAATTCTTTCAATAAGAATATCTTTAATAACGTAGATGATATAAGATTATTGAATTTCTAATTATTTTTTATTCATTAATTAGTTGCTCTAGATAATACATCGTAAAATTAATCCTTTGTCACGTACCCTTAACTAACAAAAATATTTCAAAGCTATCTACCTAGGGTTTTTGCTATTTGCTTCTTGAATCATTAACTTTAATTCATCATCTGACATGGTTTCTCCTAATTCAAGAGCTACTTTCTTTAAGTTTTCAAAAGTAATGAAATTGTCATTCCCCTGTGAAAACAAATGAAACGCCCTTTCTATTTCTTCTTGAGACTCCTTTGCATTCTAAAAGTTTAGAAGTAAACACTAATGTATACCATCTTCTCTGTCATTATCTGAAGAAACTCATTGAAATCAATGGTGTTTTTATTTTCCTTTGAATCATTGTTATTATTGAGGTTTTATTTGAGGTTTTAGATTTCTTCTTTGCCTGGTTCGAAGCCTAAGGCACGCAAGGCTACTTTTAATTCTTTCTCATCAATAGTGCCTATGAGGGATATAAATAATTATAACAACCTGATCCATCGACATCAAATAAGTCAAAAGCTTCCTTAATATCCTTCTTTTACTTTTCACTGAGCTCTTAACGGAATGAATGACCTGCCTTTGCTTTCCGTTATCCTTTTTTTGCTTTTCCTTACATTTAATTTATTATTAATATGGTGATTATCGAGCAATATTTGATAATTTCGACAACGAGTTTTTTTATTTTATAACAATTTATATACATGGTTATAATTAATATCTGCTTAAATAAATCTTTTTAGGAACCCAGAAATTTCCATTTCTTGTTTTATAACAATAACCGAACTCTTATCAATAATCAATAATTATTATGGCAGAATTACCAAAATCTTATTTAGGAGCACAAATTATTGAACCTGGAAAACCAATAAAAGTCAATGAAATTCAGGTTCCTGAATTGCACTAAGGCGAAGTATTGATAAGAGTGGAGGCAGCACCAATTGATTAGCTTGATATTGTGAGTGCTGGACCTGAAAATTACTTACATAAACAATATCCTTTTGTGCTTGGTGCAGAAGGTTCAGGAGTAATTGTGGCTAAACAGTATATACTATTATTCATATAAGTGAATCGGTATTGAATCTAGAGATAGGACAGAAAGTATCATTTCTAACGCTTTCATAATTCGGAGCATATGGATAATATTCAGTGGCTCACATCTCTTTAGTGTTGCCTCTTCCAGAGAACTTGAGTTTTGAATAAGGAGCCTCTGCCATTGGAAATCCAGTCACAGTGATGTTAATGTTGGAGGAAGCAAAAGAGTTGAAAGCCAAGGCTGTCATAAACACTGCTGCAGCCTCATCCTTAGGTAGATAATTTCTTAGGTACTTTTAAAATAATGGAATCGAAGTAATAAATATCATAAGAAGAAAAGAACAAGAAAATACTTTGAAATAAGATGGAGCCAAATATATTCTCAACTCATCAGATCCAAACTTTTCCAAAGATTTGGAATAATTGATAGCTTAGTTGAAGTATTCAATATAATATTAATTTTAGTGTATCTCTTTTTTTTGATGCCATTGGAGGAGAAATAACAGGCAAAATTTTTAAATTACTCCCAAGTGGGTCAGCTACATTTATTTATGGAATGCTTTCAGGCACTAATTTCGAAGTAGATGCAAAGGAAGTCCTTCTAAGAGGGAAGATCATCAAAAACTTTAGTTTATTAACAACCAAGCATGCTTTCAATCCTTTTTCACATAAAGAGGCTTTGTCAAAACTCTATGAACTATTAGAGACCCAACTACAGACTCATTACCATAAGTAATATACTTTAGATCAAATCAATGAAGCATTGGAAGATTAAAAGTAAAATGGATCAATAGGAAAAGTCTTAATACGTCCAAATAAATGAATGTTATTCTGATTTTGGAATTACATATCCTAAATTATTTATTCAATTAACATAATTAGAATTAACCTAATTAGGATCAATTTTCCCTAAGTTTTCATAAAATATTAATTACTAAAATTATAATTAATTTCTTAAGATAAGATTAGTGCATTTTAATTCAGACATTAATAATCACTATCATATGTGTTCTTACCTACTTACCAATCAAATACTTATTATATTATAGAATTATAAGAATAATATAAGAAAAATCATAATTCATTAAGTTGTAATATTTTTCTAGGTCTTACTTTTGGCACAGGTCTATCTATTACGCTAACTATTTCCTCTTCCTTTAGATCCTTAGTCTCTTAAACACCTAATATTTTTCTTTCAAGAGCTCTAAGAAATATTGAGCTTAATTTTCCTGGAACCTATCTTGCTTTTAAATTTTATTCAATATTGGACACATTTGATTAAGACACTGTGTCGAAATTACTTGAGAATGATATTGATTCAGATTCCAGTTTATTTTTGGTCAAAATTTAATCAATAAGTTCATTTTCAATCTATTTAGATGGAACAGCCGGCTATTGAATAACAACTTAAGATATTGGTGTATTATTATTCTCATTTATATTTTCTCTCTTCATCTCAACAACTTGATCTTCTTTTTACCTCTAATTCTCCTCTTGCTCAGGGATTGCACAATTATTTTCTGCACTTTTCTCTATTTCTATCACTTGTTAGTCATTAGTTGGCAGATTTTCTTCTTAATCCACAACTTGAAATATAGGATTTTTATTCGAATTATCTATTTATTCTTCCCTATTGTCTGTGCCTTTGTTTTTCAAACCATCATTAACATTTTCTATTATTTCCTCTTCATAAATATGACTTATTCTTTTTTTTACTTCTTATACGCTTTTTCTATAAGGAACTCCATCAACTAATGCTAGAGATGATTATTCATGCCTTCTTTAACTACAACAATCTTATCCCATTTTTTCTATTTTAATTAAATTTATTACAATTTATAAGATTTACCAATTGCCATAATATAAATGAGAACCTGAAAGAAATGGAACCGTAGGATTCTTAAATAACTCCATTCCGATGTAAATACATAGTTACTTAAGAAATAAAAATGATAACAATTAGATTCTAATCCATATGATGAAAATATTGGTTATAATTAAAATTCATGAATATTAGTTTTGAATTAATACAAATTTTAGGTTTCCTATACGTTAATCAAAAATTTATGAATTCACGTTAAAATGAATACTGAACATTTTCATTCTTGATTATTTGATTGATTAATAATGACTAAGTTAATTAGAATAAGTTTTCAAAATATATATTATTAATCCTTCAATTAAGATTCTTGAATTAAAAAGTCAAGTATTACTATATTTCGTTGAACATAATTTATTATAAATCTTACACTTTCAAAATGATGTCAACGCAAAGCCAAGAATAATTGGTCCGATCTAGAGTATAAATCCTATTGGTTAATTTAAACATTGCCTTAGGATCCTTAAATATTGGGTACGTTGTCACATACTTGACATTGTCAATTGATACCCTATTCGCAGTACTGTAAGACTTTATTCTATGTATTTAGAGACATTAAAGACGAAGAAAAAACAGAAAAGCTAAGTTTGCTTGCTGGAATACTTCCATTAGGTAACGTAGTTGGAGTGTTTGTTGGTTATTTACTAAAATAAAAGTTTACAAATAAACAATGTCTTCACATAGCCGATCTAATAGGAATAACTAGTTTATTGGCAGTTATCTCAAACTACTATCTTATTGTTATCATAAGATTTGTTCTCGGAGTCTCAAATGGAATATCAAGCTATTTGATGCCAGTTTACATAAAGTCAATCTGTCCATAATAATATTTTGGTTAGTTTAGTATGTTTGTTGGATATGGAATAAATACAGGATATGCCATAGGGCAATTAATGGGGATTGGTTACATAGAGTATTTAAACGAAAATATTCTGTTTTAGCTATTCAGGACCATCTTCGAATTGGTGGAGAGTAGTTTTTTTGTTCCCGACGGTTATATGCGTCATTCGTTCCTGCATTATGCACTTTGTTTACAATTATGACAGTCCCGAATAATTGATAAAGAGGGGAAACATAGAATAAGCAAAATATGTATTTTAGCATTAATATATGTAAGGTGATTTGTTAGATCTATAAAGATTAATATGTTGATGAATAATTTGAAAGGTACAAAACATTAGCTGCTTAATAATAATTATAAAATAATTAATCATTTTGTCACATTTTTTAAAGAAAGAAACTGATTACTTTATAAACTGGGATTATATCGGTATTTCCTAACTTAACAATTAGATGTTAGTTTAAATATGGTGTGGAGTATTTGCAGTATTCTATTACAGTGCTTAAATCTTTTCAGATATGACAAATGATGATATAGTATAGAAAACCATCTATACTTGTGGTTTGGGATTATCAGGATTTGTGTCTCAGTTTTTTACTATTTGCATGGTCAATAAATTGGGAAACAAATATATCCTAAGTACTAAATTATACTATTCAAAAGTGATTGGATCTTTTGTTATTGGATCGCTCAATTTAGCTGTTTCCATTATCTCAAAGCACGCTTCAGAAGGAAATGATATTACTCTTTTTGTTCTCTTATTACTCTTAATAATGACCTTTGGTTCGACATTAGGTCCTGCTGCTTGGGTAATTGATAATAATTTTACATATATTTAGAGCATTGTACCATAACTAAATGACTGTGATGGAACATTTGTTGCTACTGAATTTCGATGGGCATTTTAAGCCATTGTTGTATTTTGTTATCCTTTTATGGAAAAGAATCTTTAAGTATTTGGAGCTTTCTTATTGTTTGCTATTATCGACTACTTGTATTTCATCTATTGTCACTTCTTCTTGATAGATGGTAGAGGGAAAACCAACAATGAAATTATAGCAGCCTATCATAATAAATTTTCCTATGCAATTGTTCCAATACCAAATGAATAAGCAGAAAATCCATAATCAGATTTATCATAGAGGCAATAATAAGGCAACTTTACTAACCAAAGAGAACAATGATTAACTAATATAATATAATTCGATTTAATAATTTGTATTGTATTGGTACAAAACAATAAATATCCTATTCAATTACAATATTAAAGGGTGTATTTTCTTTATAATTATTTAATTGGATTCTAAAATTTAAAAAAAATTTATTCTCATTTCAAAGCGATCTATTCAAAGCCACAATTCTTTAATATATTTCAAGTTTATACTTAAATCTAATATAATTAATACAATTATGCTTTAGATAATTATTGTTTGATGGATTGTTTAAATAATAAGTCTTCCTATAAATTTGTGTTTTTTATTCTTTTCAAATAGATAATGACTAATCTAATATAATTATTAATACGATACAATTAAATATTCTATGAATAATATTTTGGATATTGGAAAAGGTTAACTCCTTAGTTATTCATCTAAAAAACCTCCCAGAACCTAAGAATAAGCCTGTGTCTCAACTGAAAGATAATGGAAGCTTGATGTTTCCGATATACCTGAATGTGCAATTTGTTGTGAATACATGACGAAGAATTTGGCCACCTTAGTTCCTTGTGGGCATATTTTTCACCAAAAATGTTTATAAAAATATAAAAAACTGGAATGCCCTGTATGTAGAAAACATAATATATAATCAATCCCTCTACATTTTTAAATAGAATTAAATCTTAGCTAAAGCAATGAAACTAAATAGAATAAATTAATTTAAAGTACAACACCTAATTAAAATAATAAACAAAATTAAGAGATTAATAAGCTTAAAGATTTAATTAATAAAGGAAAACAATCAATTGATCTCTGTATTTCTTAAAGCACCCGTACCTAATAAAATGATGCAATTTAAGATTAACGACTTAAATCTTGTGAGCTTCAACTCAAAGAAATCAGCAAAACTCTAATGGATATTAAAAGCCTAATGGATAATGGTGAGAATTCAGCGAGAAAAATGAGTAAAGATTAAACTCTACCCTAAGTTCCATAGAAATACACCAAAACTGATCAATAAGGATTCTATCCTAATAATAATGATCGTTATTCTAAAAACCACCCCTTCAATAAGTTGCATAATATAGGCTAATCAACAAGGAGCTTGTAGTTTCAAAATTCATATAGAAATAATAGCCATTTTTAAAGTGAACAAAATTAATACAAATGATATTATCAATAAATCAATATTATTATCATAATTATATTCTAAATGGAACAACATAAATAATATTGTAAAATTTCAAAGTAGGATAGAAGGTAAATTATACATGAGGTTCTTGTAAATAAGAGACTAATATTGGAAGTAATTCGTTAGAGTCATCATAGGTTGCAAGAGAATTCAAAGTCTTGCCTTCAACTTGCAAATCCATAATTAATACTTACATTAAAGAAGGGAGGATTGGCAAAAAGGAGAGAAGAATAAGAAAACTGAAAAAAGTAACTGCTATTTACACAATTACATTAAACCCATTAAATCCACTTTCATCAACCATATCTACTGAATGTGAAATTGCTGAAGTAGAGTAACCGTCTCTCCAAAGCAATGTCTAATAATAAGAGCTTCCTTAAAAAAAACCATTTGATTTTCTAAGTTAATGGACTGAAACCTACGTTCAAGATTACAAAATGTACAAGTTCGGTGCAAAATATCATTGAAACTTGATTATAATAATATAACACATATAGTAAATTCTAAAAAGTTCTCAATACTGTTATTTTTGAAGCAAGTTCATTTTTCTATCAAATTCCTCTTTCAACTAGTTCTTCCTCTTTTCGACCATTACCCTTGTTTCCCTTTCCTATTATTATAACAACTGCTTCTCCCTTCTAAAATACTATAATTTAATGATTCATACATCATTTAATCTAATTTATTCATTTTATATTCAGTCATGGATTTCTTCATATTCAAGTTCTATTCAAACCTTGCCTTTGCATAATCCGCATTTGATAGTCCATTCTCTAAGGATGCTTTTTGAGAAAATAATTTGTTGTTTAATTTCCTCTCATTTTCTAATTGTATTTGCTATGACAACGAATCTTTTTAATTCAATTTATTCAAAGTTTTATAAATTCTTTCATTTAAAATATCTTAGGCCTTTTTATAATTTGAATCATTCAATTCTTATTTCATTTAAAAATTCATTGATTTTTCAAGTTATTTTATATTCTTTTCGCTTTGTAATTAGGATAAAAATTGGTCTTTACGTGTTTATTAATAGTTAAAATAATCTACCTTATCTTAGTGAATTTAATTTGCCTTTGCAATAGCCTAATCAACTGAGTCTCTTAGATGAAGACTTCTTAAATTAGCTTACTCCTCCCTTTTTATTTTGGCTTCTTGCAACATCTATTGATGCTTTTACTCTTAATTCTACAATCTCTATTCAAGACTCTGAAAATTAATTTCTTATTTACTTTATTCTTCATGGTTAGAGATTCATCATATTTCTCCCTGATTGTTGACAATTCTAGTTACTTTAGTCTAGCTTAATATTCACGTGCCTATTTCATCTCTGACCTTTAACCAAGTATGATTGATTCTTTCTGTTTCATCCTAAATTCTTTCTCTTTGTTTTTCTCAGTTACATCATTTTGTAACTCTAGATATTTTATAAATTATGATAGTTCTTTGTCCTACTTGATTAATTGTCTTGAGTAATTTTATTCCTCTATTTTTAACATTCAATATATATATTAATAATAAATCATATTTTATTAAATAATTCTTTTAATGTGCCTTCTTTGTGCATTTCCATCATTATATCACATCCACCAACAAGCTCTTGTTTAACATACTATTAATTATATACTACACAAGTACCAATTATGGGAATGTGGGCCAATTTGAATATTTCTTGATTTCTTCTCTCATCAAAGGGTCAGAAAGGACATCAACCGAATGATAATTTTAGACTTTGTAAAATTGAAGAACCTAAACAGCATAATTCGAATATCCACACATTGGTTGGGTTGGAGTTCCCTTCATGAATAACACAACTTAGTTTGATTTTATGATCTTCAAAATACTTCAATCATTTTACATTATCTATTTCCTTATGTTTTAATTAGATCTATTCTTGTGTGTATTATGGCTAAGCCTTTTGTTATGGCTAAAAATCTGGATGAGAATGATTGTGATCGTGATCATGAGAATGATCATGATCATGATTATGATTATGATTATGATTATGATTATGATTATGATTATGGTTATGCTAAGAAAATTGAGCTACCATTCTTGTACTCATGTATAATTAAGGCATTCGCAATATCTGTTTTGATATTCTTTTAATCATTCTTAAATTAAATATTCTTAATATTTATTAATGCTTAAAGCTGCTTGGCTTGTGTAATTATTTTCAAATTTAAGAAATCATGGGAATAAGTTGGAATCAAATATAAAACTATATGAGAGGAAGAATAAAAGATAAAATTAAGTTTATAAAATATATTTATTAAGCTTTTGTCATTCAAACTAATTATTTATACTGTTCGATTCTAGATTTCTATAATTATATTTCAATGTATACCAGATATTGTATTGAAAGATCTTGCTATTTAAATAGGCTTTCTCCTTGGGATATTGCTTTTTGTTTCTATTTTTTTTCTTCGATTAATTAATTCATAACAGTTTAAATTTCTACTCTTAATATATGCATATATTAATTTACTCTAGATTCTTTTATTCCTTAATGTTTTAAGCATCAGCATCATCCAACAAAGAGTCAACTAGATTATTAATATTCTGCATCTTAGGACAAGGGACAGAACATGATCGAATATGAAAAAATTTATGAGTAGTTTTAGTTTTATGTTTCTCTTTAATCATTTCAGCAGCAGTAATACATTATTGAATAAGTTAATAAGTGGGATTATTACAAATGTGCAGAGATTAATGAGTGTTAATAAAACTTTGGGTATGTCTCCCTTACTTTCTGATCAATTTAATAGGAGATGGCTATATATCCTTAGTAACTATCATATGCTATGATTTGCAAACTGATTTGTACTAGCCATTTAGATTTTTGACTTATAATTCAGGGTTTACTGAATGTCTCTTTTTAATTTGCATAAGTTAATGTTATATTATTTTCTAATAAATTTATTTTCAAGATCTTTTGCCCCCAATTCCTTCCCAAAATGCTTGCATATTCAATTTCCATTCTCCACTGATGTCAAACTCCCTCATCAAATAATATTGCTCCTGCAATGTTAAATTGAACCCTAACTCTTACAACCCAGCAGCAAGCTCTTCAAATTCGATCTGGCCTTTCAATTGCTTGTCGAGTTTCCTAATAGAATATGAATCAGAGCAAAAGTTACTTCATTAGATCCAATAAGAAGGAGTCAAAATTAGGATAATTGTCTGCAAACAACCTCAACTTTGCTATTATTTGTTTAATATCTGCTTCTTTGAAGACATCAGGCTTCTGCTTCATGTAATTTACAGTGAACTCATCAGCTCTCATCAACTAAAACTTATAAACATTAAATTGCACAATAGCTCCCAATTGGAAATCCTTTATTAATCTCAATAAAACATTACTTTTTCAGTGTAATAATCATTAGTTAATGGATTTTTCTATCTAGATCTTTCTTAGAATTTTCCTCCCTTTAAATTATATCACATAATCAAATTACCCAAATTCCACTATTCCTCTCTGAAGTTTGATAAACTTAAACTGTGTCATCTCCACAATAAAAGGATATGATAAATCTTCTTGAATTCTCCTCTCTGACCTCACTAATTAATCTTGATTCAAATCTTAAAATGAATTAATCTTAAGTAAAATTCTTCCTCACATCCTTCTTTGGAGGTTTAGGTTATAGGGAATAAACAGAACCCAAGGAATCTTCCTCATATCCATATCCATTATAAGGAGGCACTGGCTGATAAAACTTCTTACCTCTCTCTTATTTCAATGTGGCTGGTCTAATTATTGTACTTTAGATATTACTTTTATTAGATTCCTAAGACTTTTAGGTAGTATTCTTTTGTGAAATCATCACATCCATAGATAAAGCAATCTCTTCCATAAATTCTAACTTAGTTTCCGCAAATCAAATCTTATGGACTATAAAACTCTTCCTTCTTTAATGTCATTCCTGGATAATGGGTTAGAATTGGTTATTTAGGTATCTTTTATCTTCTCAACATAAGTGGGTAGGGATCTTTTCCTGAATTCTGCTTTCTAACTTCCTTGACTTCACAAGTATCATCTGCTAAATAATAATTGAGAGTGTAATAATTTAATTAGCCTTCAATTGAGGCATCATCCCAAATGATATCAAAAGATAGCACTTTTCTATCATTACTAAGGTATTTATTTAATCCGCCATTTGGATGTCCTCCGCCCAATTTAACTTCAAAGTATTCCTTATACTCTTTGGTATCAGGAGGATTGATTTTCAAGTCTTTTGTCTCTTTTTGAGCCTGAAAATTATCTCTTGGCAATTACTCAGGCAAGGACAAGGGTTTACCCATATATTCATAAAATTCTCTTGTGTATGTATCACAATCACAAATACGATACACCTAATTTAATTCGAAATCATACTCTATCATAGAAATTGATGTTGGAACATAATTGGAGATCCTCCCATGTATAAAAATCTTATTTCCCAAGCTTCTTTGGTATCTTCTATCTTTTTATAAAGAGTCCTTAAGGAATGCCTGAATTTTATACTCGAGGCTACAGTTATTTAAATTATTACTTCGGTAACATGGATTGTTCCATCAGAAAGGTAATAATAGATGATAACTTATCGAATTCTATAGTTTTCATTGGGATTTTCAACTACTGATTCTTGGAAGTATGAATAAAATCGTAAAACAGCTCGATCATATTTTAACCAAGGTGGTTGAATTCGTGGGATATAGTCATTTTCAGGTGGTTATCTACTACCATAAGTGAGATTTGGAGGCGTTCCCATTTTCATTGAGTCTAATAAATTTGGATCGAATTCTTCGTGAATGAAGTTTGTTTTTTCCTGCACAGTTCCATTGATATTCGAAAATTGTTGGGTTTTGTGATGACTTTCTTTGTACGGGTCTGAAAATACATGTCCAGGAAGAAATGGTACTTGCTTTGGAAACTATGCATTCAAAGACATTTTTTATTTATATTAATGTATGAATATATAACTGGTTGGATTAAGCAATTAAAAATTAACTTTTATTGCTAAAAAATTTAAGTCTATATTAACTACTCATTCCCCATTATCCGTATATTTATTGAAATATTGAAAATTCATGTAATAAAAAATTGTGTTTGATACCACCAGTCTATCTCAGATGTAAAAGTTGATCCTTATTGAGATGTCCAGAAGAATAGAGGGAAAGCTACAAATTACTGGGATAGAAGCTTTAGGAAGCAAAGGACTTTGAAGATAAATTACACCATATGAATGATGAAGATCATGAATGGGAAAAATTGCAAATAGAACTAGATTGCACACCCCATAACATTAAGAATAGCAATCATATTATTGGTACGTATTTGAGGAATCAATTTAGTTAGACATGCTTTAGCTTGGCATAATTATTTTAAGAGAGCCACGGAATTCAAGGATCGAAATATTTACAGCTATGATTTAATGGATCCTCCTCTCCATTATTTGGGCAGAAAGTAATGCGAAAAAATGAGACCGGAAATCAATTTGATGGAATTTGATAAGGTGTATATTTCACCTCTATTAAGGTATTTAATTTTATAATTACTTTACATTAGAACTATATAAACAGCCTAATTATTATTCTAGGATCACCCGCAGAAAGATAAAATACAGTTTATCCTGTGTCCTCACATAAGTGAAAAAATCAGCAGCTAGTATTCTATCTATAAATGGGGAAATTTGACCAATCTTCTTAAAGATGTATAATTGTAAATTCAATTTAAATAGAATAATAATCCGATTAAGTTTGACATAAGCGAATTACCATAGGAATTGGAATTATGGTAATTTATCCAAATTGGAAAATAAGATAAAGTTCAAAACTTAAAACCATGCAAAGAGGATTAAGAACAATATTTGGTTAATAAATTTGTCAAAAAGGGAAAAAACATTAGATTAGAAAAATCTAAACATGCTGAGAAGAGAGTAAAAATATTTTTAGAGAAACTAAAATCAAATTAGAATAATGGAAAAAAAACAGGAATTGTCTCTCATTCATAAATCATCAAAATAATATTAGCTTAGACAAATAAAGGAGTTGACACAAAAATCAAAAATGGTACAGTTTTAGGAATTAATATTTGATAAATCAAAAATTTTTGAAACATTATGTTATATTGATATGCTCAACTTTCAAATATATTTATGTTTTGAAATTATATCACATATATATTCTGACATTGGAATTGAACATGTCCATCCAGGAGATGCTACATTCAAAAGGTGAAAAGAATTCTTGTCATGCTCAAAAATAAAATCTTATTCCATTTTTCGTTATTCAGTATCAAACAACTATGATCTGATTCCTGGTTTACCTCTGTCAAAGTATTCGTGCAATTGGTTTTCTGGAATTTGATCTAGTTGAGTTGTGAGCTTTTTGGCTTCTTTAATCATATAAGCTAAAAGTAATAATAGTATTGATACTTTTGTTGATCTTCTTTAATTCATTTAAGAGACTCTAAGCATAGAATTTCATATCTTTGGATAATACATTTTAAACATTCAGACTCAAAATTTATGAAAACTCTGAAAGAACAAAATTATCCTTCCAATTATATTATTCTCTCCATAATGCAGGAAAGATAGAAGGGCCAATTTTTAAATGACCATCTGTTGTTAATGTTGTATGAATTCCTAAAAAGTAGTTCCCAGCTAAGGGTGGAACGGGATAAATAATAGCATTTGCCTCTGGAATAGGCCTATTGTTTATAAGATAGCTCCCTTTAAATGGCCAGATAACGTATTTTTTACAAAAATTAAATTGTTTAGCGATTACATCTGCGTATAATCCACCTGCATTTATAAAGTATTTGGCTGAAACTAATTATTTTTCATTCGGCATTTTTAACACATTAAATAATGTTTATTAGTCTTTATTTTCAATTAAATCAGTATATTTATGATTTGTAAATACTTGGACGTTCTTACACTATTTAAGATCTTCATGAATACTCTTCATTAACCCTTTATTATCAGCTACACTTGTAGTTGGTGAATATAGGAATTAAAAGTTTTTATCATTAACTTTAAGATACTTTTCTATCTTTAATGCCCTATCTACTTCCATGAGTTCCAATTCCACACCATTAATATCACCTTGCTTCTTAATTTAAGCTAACCTCTCATTCTCAACAGAATTCCTTGCTACCAAGAATTTGCCTGTCTTTCTGAGATTCACTTTATGATCTAAGCAATATTAAGTTAAGGTCTTGTTTCCTTCTTTACATAATGATGCTTTAACAGTGTTTGATGCATAATAGAATCCAGCATGCAAAACAGCACTATTTCTGGTTGATGTATGCAATCCTAAACCTGATTCCTTTTCAAAGAGTCCAATTTTATGATTAGGATATCTTGCTGATAACGTTCTTGTTAACATTCCTCCTACTACACCTCCTCCTATAACAGCAATATCAAATGATATCATATTTTTTAGGTAGAGTCTAAACTTTATTTAATATATAAATATTCAACTCACAACTATTTCTAAAAATATCATTTATCTTAGACCTCTATATGTATTAAGATTTATGATTCATTACTAAACATAGAAGTCTGTAATTCACTTCAGGACTAATAATAATTTATTTGTTATTATGAAAAATTAGAAATAATTATCATCATTTTGATATATCGATAATAGTATCTTAAGAGCTAGCTCTACATCTGATAAGTGGAAGAGAAAATTTAACTTTTTATTCTTCACAAACACTTTTTTTTCTAATTTCATAATCATATTTCTTCTTTCCGTTTCTTAAATATGGATTTTCTTATTTCTTAAGCAAGCGACGAAATTGTAAGAATCCATTCCCTCCTATCCACTTATGAGCCAAAATCTCTTACATGGATATCCTTTAATTGTGTTTAGGTACAAATATTCTATTAATCAAATCCTTAGCATCATCAGAGACATTTAGTTCATGCTAGAAATTACATTGAAGAATGTTATTCACTTTTTCATCATTTGTTCTTCCTTTAAAAGGTAATTTACCATATAACAGACTGTACATAATTACTCCCAATCCCCACACATCCACACAAGGACATAAAAACTTGAGTTTTCCATTCAGAACCTCTGGAGACATGTATGGTAGAGTGCCAACATTCATCGTTTCGGTTTCTCTCTAAGTTCCAGCCATTCCTGCCAATCCAAAATCTATTAATTTAACCTTAATTAAAAATTAATAATACCCATGTATTTCCTTAAGTAACTAACATGATATTTTCTAATTTTAAATCTCTGTGAACATATGTTTTTGAATGACAAAAGAGTAATGCCTCAACAATCTGTTTGATATATATCTTCACCTCTTATTCAGGTAGTGTTCCTTTATCTATTAAGATAAAGAGGATACTTACTTCGAATTAACTAGAGCAGAGAACCACCATCTAAATATTCCATAATTATGATAGACTCCTTGGTCTTGGAGAAATAGAGAGTTTAAAAGACCTTAACAATATTTCGATGCAGTAATTCTTTTAAGATTTTAGACTCCCTTTTTATAATGGAGTCCTCCTCCTCCATATCCCTTGTTATTTTTATTGCTACAGAGGATCCAATGAACTTATGTTTCGCCAATAAGACAGTTCCTTGACCTCCCTTACCAATTTCTGAGACAATCTCATACTCCTAAAATATGATACTTGCATCCAAGTCCTAACCGAAGAGAGTGATATATAATTTATTTCCATCTAGAACTTATTGTAAATCTTGCTCTATCAATTCATGCCCATTTTAATTAAAGATTCTGACTCGCTTAGGGATGACACTCCATCCTTAAATAATTTGGTTGCGAACATCATTAAAAGTAGTTTTAAAAGTTAATGTCAATTTAAAAGGAGGGAGATTTGGAGAGTAGACATTGACGATTCTGCTTTTATCAAATTAAGTCTTCATTTTAATTTATCAATTTCTGTTGATTGGTCATTAATCTTTAAAATACTTAATGAGAATTAACAAAATCTAAGAATAATAAGGATTATTCATTTTATATTGATCAAATAATAAATTCAAACCAACAGAATGGAATACATTCTTTATTTCTTGGCTTTAATCTGGAGGCATCGATCTTACTATTGTGACTAAAGTGTTCTATCTTCTCAACAAATACTTAATCGTTTCATAAAGTAGTACTTATAATTCTCATACTCTCAATATGTTTAAGGTGTTACTTCTTTGAAATTCTAAACTTGATAATTGCAAGGACTTTTAATAAAATAGTTATTATAATTGAGTTTGCTATTCATTCATTTTCTCTATCGTTTATTTGTGACTCCTAATTCTTCTTCTAACATATAATAACAATTAAGTGATTCAAACCATTTATCGCATTGTTAAAATATAATACTGGTAATTTATTAGTTGATTAAATGTTATTTGGTCCTTTTGCTCTTTAGGTATCCATCCAAAATTTCTTCATATGAAGCCCACTTCTACTTGATACATATATCTGCTTATTAAATAACATCCTCATTTTATGACACTCATTTATAAATAGATTCAAATAGGACTGCCACAAAGAATTGCAAAATCTAGTGCTTTCTTTACTATTTTTTGTATAATTTGTTTTTGATTTTCTTTACAATAAGACAACAACTAAATGTAAGTTAATTTCATTTCTGAACATATTGTGCCATCAAATAATTTAGTTAAACCTTCCTATTAAATATCCACTCCTCATCTTAATTTTTTCATCTGAATAAATTTTTACTACTTATTGATAATGATTGTTTCTCATCTCCTCGTATTACCTATAACACTCTCGATTGAAAACTCCAAAAATAAGTTGTTATTAATTTTTATCTGTATTAACATAATCGCAAAAATCCAGCATTAGATTCAGAGCATTATACTTATTATTTTTAATCTGACAATCACTTTTTGTATTCCACCTAGCTTATAATGTTTTTTAGACATATTAAAATTTTTCATAAACTCTGATATTATTTGCTTATTTTTTGTATAGATTATTTGGGTAATTCATCAAACAACTTTTAATTGATTCTTATTCATTTTCAGCAAATGGCATTCCTCAATAGAAGCATCACATATTATTGTAATTTCGTTTAGGTTAATCCACTTTATTGAATAGTGTGATTTGGGTCTAACCTAGAGTACAAATTTTATGCGCTAGTATTTGTTTAAGCAATAATAGAATAAACAACTACTTCCTTGGTTATTTTGTTTAAATCAGTAATTATCAATTTATGGGATTACAATAGTTGAACCAAAACATAGAGAATTCATCATAACAAACCTTCCTTATTCTTGGTCGTTCTGAATCATGATCAACCTCCATATAAATAATAATAATTTTTTAATTGAGGGTCCATTATAATTATTATTATAATTTAAATAATTTAAATAATTTGAATAATAAAACTAAATAAGGTTTTCAATCTTCATCTTTGTTTAATATACGACATTCCTCATATTATTGATAGAATTTATCAAAATCTTCCTCACTTTCTAATTTAACACAAAATGATTCCAACTTGGTTTCCCCATCACTTTGATCCTACCCAATCCATTCGTATCCATATTGATGAAACAAACTTTTAACAATAGCCTCAGAAATTATATGATTAGCTCTTATGAAATAGGTAGCATCCTATCTCATAAGTAATCTACACTTCTTGGTTTCTTTGTGTTGTAAGAATTTCAAGATACCTTAACCCCTTTACTTTAAGTTATATGAATAAAAACTTACTTTCCATTCCTCGTTTCTAAATCGATAAAGCTTACACTTAAAGGCCATTAGTTATTCGAAATCCTCTTCTCCTGTTTTTGTTGCAACTGGCAATAGTTTAGGTGGACCAACATAGGGAATAATTTCCTCTTCTGGGTCTTCAGGAATAGGTGGTTCTGCTGGATCAAGACTCATTTATTTTAAGCAAATTTAAATTGTTTAAAAATTGTAATAAATTACAGAATTTATATTATAAAACACAATAGAATTTATTAGTTTAAACAAATATTCATTTATTATATATACATCAAAAATATGGAATTTATATATATATACTTTTATCAAATTTGTTAACCAAAATGACAAAGTACCTTAATTAAACTTATTTTTTGAATATAATTTTATTTTTAATGAAAATATGAATTATTAATCAAGTATGTCTACCATTAACCCATTCTCCTTCTAAACTTTCTCTACCTTAATTTGATAAAACACATCCTTTTCCATGGAATACTCCCTTCCTAAAAGTCCCGTAAAATACAAAATACGAATCATAACAATCTATAAATTGCATTTAACCAATTCCTTCTATTTCTCCATTTATAAAATTGCCACTATACGTTTCTCGATTTTTTGCTACATTTGAAAAGTTCATAAAGTTTTTTAGTTACAATTTCTATGACTTAGATTCTCTAAACATTAGTTTACCCTTTCCCCAAAAAACATCATCTTTCCATTAACCAGTGTATATAATCTTTCCATCTTTATCAAACAAAGTTCCAATTCCTTATTTTCTACCTCTTTCATCTGTCTATCCCTCGTATAAGGCTTCTTCGCCCATATAGATGATCTTTTTGGTAATAGTTGTTTTTTTATTAATATCATAAGTAGTTTATTTATTATTAGTTTGAGATTGGAAGCTTTAATCTCGTTTATTTGATGATTACGTATTTTTGCTTGCTTTAGTATTTCTCTCATGTTCTTCTAAAATCTTTTTACTAATTCGAATTCTCTCTTAAGAATTGTCGTATTTGTTCAAGAAATAACTTTTGTAATTTCCATTTCGTTATGGTGTCACTGGATAATTAAATTCATCTTGCGAAGTATTGGTATGCTATTTCTTTGTATTATTTCCATCTTGATTCTACTTTGGTGGCAATGACTTCTAAATCTAACATATTCTGCTATCAATGATTTCAATTTTTTTGTTAATTGTTTCAATCAAAACATCTGTGACTCTTGATTTATCTGGACTTGCTATTTGGGCTGGGATTTGCGATCTAATTTGAGGTTAAACTGATGTAGGTGGCTATTTCAAAAGCAAATCTTACTCTAATGAAAGGTAGGCTTTAATAAACAGGGACTGTTTGTTAGACCAAATAAACTTGGGGTTATGGGTACACAATAAACATAATAAAATATAATAAAATTTTATTTTATTTGAATATTCTCATTCATATCATTAAGCTGGTAATTGTGATAATAAATCCAAAGCACTCTATACGATGCTAATTTCTTCGGAAATATGTGATCTTTTGCTTGTGTAACTTGTATTTTCATTGTCTTCAGCAATTCTAGTTTAATCAAGCAACTCTTATGAGGTTGCAATAAGTTCCTACAATTCTTATTGTCTTCTCTTAGCTGATGCCTATTAAATAATTTCCAATTAATTTTACTAGGTCATTATCCTTAGCAGTTGCTTATCTTTGATTGAATTATTTGTCCTTATCTAAATTGCTGTAAGTGGTTTCAAATTGGCTTCTTAAGGTTTGATATTATTGCTCTGAATTGGTGGAGGAAGTATTAATGGCATCTAATCTTTCTTGAACATTTCTTGCAATTCCTTCCAATTTAGTTATAACTCTTCTAATAGTGTTATCATCATATTCGGATGTCAATTAAATCATTATGGATATTGGGTGTTTTTCTCCCAAAGTTTGTTTCGCGGCTTCAATGGCTCTTTCTCTTTCAATTAAACTAGTATTTCCCAAAAGAGTGTCGCCTAAAAATCTTAACACTTCCTAAACTGCTGCCAAATATCTAGAGTTATTATTGAATTTCTCTTCTGCTGCTCTCACTTCTTCTTAATGATTATCACTCAATTATGTAATTTAATTGGATAACAATAATAGCTATTGCCCTTGGAAGCTCAGGGATTGAGTAAGAGAGGATAGATCAGAACTCAAATCGTTGATTTGTTGATTTACTGAACTCAGCTCACTTTCAGTAGTTTCTAAGGTATTTTCCAATTTAGAAATTTATTATTCATAATTTGCTTGTTGCTATATAATTAGAAATAGTATTACAGCAGAATGTTCAGCTTCATTAGCCCCTGATGCAGCGATGAGTTTGTCTAACATTGATTAAACGATTGTAACGACTTCGCCCAATTTACTTGATTAATGCAATTCAAGCATCCCGTAAAAATAATCGCTAAAAGGGGTGATTCTTGTTTTCTGGAATATAGTATATATTTATTACTTCTCTTAATTGCTTTATTGCCGTGAGATGAGTTTCTGTAGTAGCTGATATTACAATCAATACTAATAAAATTGCTATTCTCATTTATTATATTAATTAAAAAACGACTTCATTTCTTTTTTGTTACTTAATTTTATATACATAAAAATCATCATTATGCAGAACCCAGATACTATGATACACTATCATTAAGATTATACCTTTGAATAAAATAAATAAGGTTACCTGACTTAATGGTATTTTAACTCGTCAGAAAAGATTAAGAATTTTATACTTAGCTGTAAATATTTTCAATCAAATAATAATAATAATATTTACAATACGAATATCTTTAAAATCTCACAGGAGCAATTTTAACAAGTTCTTTTATATGGTATCAAAATTTTATGTGTTCAAATTCTAAACTATTAATTTGATTATTAACAAAATTCTTTGATTGCTTAGTTTTTATTCTATGGCAATCAAATATAATTCTTTATACTTCAATTCAGCTTTATTGAGGAGTCAAAANCAATTAATTTTACTAGGTCATTATCCTTAGCAGTTGCTTATCTTTGATTGAATTATTTGTCCTTATCTAAATTGCTGTAAGTGGTTTCAAATTGGCTTCTTAAGGTTTGATATTATTGCTCTGAATTGGTGGAGGAAGTATTAATGGCATCTAATCTTTCTTGAACATTTCTTGCAATTCCTTCCAATTTAGTTATAACTCTTCTAATAGTGTTATCATCATATTCGGATGTCAATTAAATCATTATGGATATTGGGTGTTTTTCTCCCAAAGTTTGTTTCGCGGCTTCAATGGCTCTTTCTCTTTCAATTAAACTAGTATTTCCCAAAAGAGTGTCGCCTAAAAATCTTAACACTTCCTAAACTGCTGCCAAATATCTAGAGTTATTATTGAATTTCTCTTCTGCTGCTCTCACTTCTTCTTAATGATTATCACTCAATTATGTAATTTAATTGGATAACAATAATAGCTATTGCCCTTGGAAGCTCAGGGATTGAGTAAGAGAGGATAGATCAGAACTCAAATCGTTGATTTGTTGATTTACTGAACTCAGCTCACTTTCAGTAGTTTCTAAGGTATTTTCCAATTTAGAAATTTATTATTCATAATTTGCTTGTTGCTATATAATTAGAAATAGTATTACAGCAGAATGTTCAGCTTCATTAGCCCCTGATGCAGCGATGAGTTTGTCTAACATTGATTAAACGATTGTAACGACTTCGCCCAATTTACTTGATTAATGCAATTCAAGCATCCCGTAAAAATAATCGCTAAAAGGGGTGATTCTTGTTTTCTGGAATATAGTATATATTTATTACTTCTCTTAATTGCTTTATTGCCGTGAGATGAGTTTCTGTAGTAGCTGATATTACAATCAATACTAATAAAATTGCTATTCTCATTTATTATATTAATTAAAAAACGACTTCATTTCTTTTTTGTTACTTAATTTTATATACATAAAAATCATCATTATGCAGAACCCAGATACTATGATACACTATCATTAAGATTATACCTTTGAATAAAATAAATAAGGTTACCTGACTTAATGGTATTTTAACTCGTCAGAAAAGATTAAGAATTTTATACTTAGCTGTAAATATTTTCAATCAAATAATAATAATAATATTTACAATACGAATATCTTTAAAATCTCACAGGAGCAATTTTAACAAGTTCTTTTATATGGTATCAAAATTTTATGTGTTCAAATTCTAAACTATTAATTTGATTATTAACAAAATTCTTTGATTGCTTAGTTTTTATTCTATGGCAATCAAATATAATTCTTTATACTTCAATTCAGCTTTATTGAGGAGTCAAAAGAGTATTGATTTATTGACAATATTCAATATAGCATTGACGATGAAAACTTAAGAATTCGAGAGAATTTCTTTGTCATTTTTCATAGAAATGCACTATTAGGATAATTTTGCAAACCTCCAAATAAAAATATATATATTTAGATTGAAAATACGAAAACTCCTTTCGAATCAATATTATTTGTATGTACTTAACCAATAGGATTCTAATGCTTATATTTTTCTGATGGAGTTAAATCATTATCGAATTTCTTTATACAATTTTATTAAATCATAATTGACCAAAATTATTTCTGGCATTTCTACTTGCTCTTGGGATGTTTACAGAAAAATAGTAACAATTTAAGTAAGTCAAAAGAAAAAACACATATGCTAATCTTAACTTTGTCAAGCCGTAATATTTCCTTATGGATGAGGTTAATTAATTATGAAATTTATTTTAACATAACCAATTTTATATTATAATCAATCACCCATCTCGTACTTTTTATTAAATTGAATGGGATGAGTTCGTGAATCTAAGAAAGTCTATCAAGTCAAATCAGAGAATTGAGTGTAATAATATCACATTTTTAAATAGTTTACAGAGTTAATAAACCATATCAATCTACTTGGATGCATTTATAAACATACTGATACATCCAATGAAATCAAGTGTTGGGTAGGTAAATAATAAGATTAAAAAGAAGGAATCATTAGGAGAACATCTGGTTCCTTAGTTAAAATTTACTTCATAGAGAATTTAACATCTATTTATATTAATATTTTCAGTATTTAATTTAGAAAACAGAAGTGATTTTAATTAATTTAATGTAGTTGTAATAACACAACTCGTTTATCTAATTTGCAAGATAATTGTTAGAACAACAATCTTCATCGAGTCCAGACATGGATGAACACAAAGACTCTTCTTTAGACATGAGTTAGCTAATTAAGTTGCAACACACTATTCCTGACAATATTTTAATCTCTCCTGAACCTTCAAAAAAGAAGGGTTCCATTCCTCTGCCCTCTGATGATCCTTGCAATTGTAGCAGATCTGGGTGTAGAAAAATGTATTGTGAGTGTCTAGCCAAGGGAAGACTTTGCTCTTCATTTTGTAGTTATAATATTTCTATTTAATAGGCAGATGCCAAAATTGCCATAACAAGACTCCAAACAAGCTTGTTTAAAATGTCATCGAAGAACTAGATCAAAACAGGAACAGAAAACGATTTCGATCAAGAAGGTTTAAGGATGTAATTCATTCATCTATTCTAGGGATGTACATGCTAAAAGTCAATGTGTTTGAAGAAATATTGTGAGTGCTTCAACTCTGGAAAAAGTTGTGGCTCTGGTTGCAAATGTGTGAATTGTGAAAATTATGTTCTTGACGAAGTCGAAAAAATTATTTGCTCGCCAAATTAAAAGAAAACATCAAAATTTTCATCTAAATTCGAAAGTGCTAATACTAATACTAGATCGGATTATTATGGGTTAGTCTTAGAGAAACTCGATTTAGAAGAGTTCGAAGAATCTGAGGAGTGTAATTTTATTTCTAATTATATAGAATTGGACAAGATGAATACCACTGTTATAATGATATTAGGTTAGTTAATCATTTGATTTATTTGTTGACTTCAAATATAATTATTAATTATTATTTATGGGGCAAGTCTGCTATAGGGAGCATGATGAAACACAATTGCTCAATTCTTCAGATATCAAAAAACCTGAATCCATTTAAGGATCAATGAACAAATCTAAACGTAATTCCACATTCAAATAAGAGCTAGCGGAGATTGTATACAAACGCAAAATGTTTTAGATATGTCGGATGATCCTGAGTTTTAAATGGAAAATGATGAATTTCTCAGACTTTCAACTGTATTCCATATTTTATATAAAACAGAAAAATACACAAGAAATGGATGTTGGAGGTAAAATAACTGAAAAAGACCTGAATCCTGCTCCCTCAACGAAAGTCAACATTGATAGTTTTAGATTGCTGAAGGTTTTGGGTAAAGGTTCTTTCGGTAAAGTTATGCTTGTTTAATACAAATCTAATGGTATCTACCAAATAATCTTTAGGGAAGTATTACGCAATGAAAGTTCTTTAAAAAAAAAATATATCAAATGAAAAATAAAAGAGACATACTGAAACCGAGAGAATCATTTTAGCCACATGTTCTAGTCCCTTCATCGTAAAATTGAGATATGCATTTTAATCACCCTACAAATTGTATTTGGTTGTTGATTATTTACCAGGAGGGGAACTCTTCTTCCATCTAAGAAAAGTTGTTAGATTTGATGAAATAATTGCTAAATTTTATGCTGCCGAAATTCTCTTAGGCTTATAATATTTACATGAAATTAATGTCATTTATAGAGATCTAAAGCCAGAAAACATATTACTAGATGATAAAGGTCATATTAGATTGACTGATTTTGGTTTATCTAAGATCATGCTAGATGAAGATAAAACAGCATTTAGTCTATGTGGAACTCCTGAATATTTAGCCCCTGAGATATTAACTGCAAGTAATTATACTCAATGATTAGAAACTGGATATGATAAGACATGTGATTGGTGGAGTTTTGGTGCCTTACTTTATGAAATGCTAGTAGGAGCACCTCCTCATTATAGGGATAATAAGAAGGAAATGATAAGAAAAATATTGACTCAACCTATTCCATACCCACCATTTTTATCTGAATCTGCCAAATCGTTATTGCAATAATTGCTGGTTGTTGACGTATCATAAAAATAAAATAATTTTAGCCTAAAAAGAGATTAGGATTTTATTAGGATGGATATGAAATCATGTAGCATGCCTTCTTTGAAACTATCAATTTCTAAGAGATGGCTCTTTAAAAGGTATATTCATGTTATGGAGTAGGCAAAACCTCCCTACGAATTTGATAAAAAGGAATTGAAGTATTTTGACGAAGGACTAACGAAATAAATAGCAAAAGACACACCTGTAAATGGAACTTTGATACCTAATTAAAATTTTTCAAATTTCACTTATCAACCAAGTGTTGCAAAATGAAAATCATGAATTTTTTAAACATTAAAACAAGTAGGTTTATTTTATTATATAATTATATTATTTCAAATGAAATTTAACATAAGCAATATACCTAGACCCTTATTCAAGGAAATAAAAGATGCATTCTAATTTATTATTTTTAAGCTGCACATTGAAAATAACCAGAAAGAATAAAATCAGTTTGACAAAATTTACAAATTTATACAGATGATTATCCTAAGAAATTTGAAATAACACAAGCAATGATAAAAAACAATTATTTTTAGCTTGATTTCGAAGATTCGCAAAATTCTTCATTTATTAATTGGTGTTCCACCAAAATTTTCTTTTGGATTCTCTTAATCCTGAGAATATGTGATAATCCAGGTTGCCCTTTTTTGGACCCACTATTTCATTTAGAGCCTTAAGATTTTTTAAGAATTAAAAGGAGACTTAAAGGTTAAATTAAGGTTCCAACATTTGATGGTTAATATTTCAAAAATAACAAAATTGAATTCGGTGATAAATCTCTGTTTTCTATTCTTAATTTTCAAAAAAATCTCTAATTGTTCAAGATTTAAATAACATAATATTGCAGATATTGAATTACTAATTCTATTTGATTCTAATAAATAATTCACATCTTCAAATGTCTTCATCTTTGACATTATAAAAGTCGCTGAACAATTAATAAATACTCTATGGAGTATATTAACCCTAATTAGTGATATATAAGCTTATATATTCAGGAGGTACATAGTCAAATGTTATCTAAATTTCCATAAAAAAATACTCCAATGCTCATCTAGTCTACAGTTGAATTTGGATTAATTTTCAAGGGTGATACAAGTTAATTAAAGGTTGTCTGATCAAAGGCATATTTTGGAGTCAATTTATGTGCTCCAGATAGTACAATTACTGGAACAGCAAATTGTTTAGCTAATACACAAATGGCGTAGGTTCCTGGATGCATCAAGAGACCTCCATTTTTAAGAATCGCATCTACTCCCAACAAGATTTTATTTACTCTTTGCATTATAGCGTAAGCATTAGTAAAAGGTGTTAAAGTGACGTTTAATTAATGCTTGCCCAAATCAGTAGCAAATTATTTTCCTAAGTTTTCTGTTTCACTCTCTAAAACTATAATCTCAAAGTTTCTAGTCTTTTTGGCGGACAGCAAGAAATTTAACACTGTTGTAGAATATTCATAAACCAATAGCACTTCATTTGTGAAAAAATGTGTTGATGCCTATTCATAAATAAATATTATACAAATGTGTTTATATCATCTGAATGAGCCTCTAACTCTTCCAAGACTTATTCGATCGCAGGTAGAATTATATATTATTAGTTTGCATTTGAACCTGTTTCAAAGCCAGTTTCAACTGTTGTTTTAGATCTACTTGACTGTCTTTATATAGTAAGACCTAATGCTTTAAAATTCTTTTCTTTATCTTTATTAGGAAGGAATCCATCTTCAGAACTCATCAACCTTATCACTTAAATTACACGTCGAAAAACATTAGGAATCCAAAAATCCAATGGACCTTATTTTAGTCGATTAGATAATTTTTTGATATATGTAATATAGTCCTCTATTGTGGGATTTTTTGGTAATTTTGCTTGTTTGGCTGATAAATGAGCTTTGAGTGCTAAAATTGATTCTTTACTAGAATATAATCGAGCTAAAATAATCAATAACTTCTACGCTAAGCTTTTTAAGTGTTCATAACTCAAAAGAATGAATTCTTTAATAAATTTATTTATTTATTTAACCCTCTGAACCAGACTTAAGACTAAAAGAACAAATAAAGATTAAGTGAAATATTTATTATAAAAAATTTAGATACATATTTTTTGGGAACTAACATCTCTACAATTGATATTAATTCAGAATTAAAAAATTTGCTCATTAAATAATATAAAGAAAAAGCTATATATCGAACGGTAATTATTGAAATGGTTAAATTTACATGAGAATCAATTTAAACAATAAAGGACTCTTATAGTCTTCTTTTTTAAAATGATTGTATATAAAATGATTATAAATAAAATCAAATTTTTAACTGAATAAAAAGATTTCCATTAATGTTATAACGTCAATTCAAAAGTTAATAAGAATACTCCTTGATGATTGTGATTTCTTAAATTAAAGTAATTATCATATTATGATTACGTAAACGGAAATAGCATAAAATTATTTTAAATAACATAAATCAAAATGAAAAATGCTTCATTAAAATGAATTGGAGAAGAATTATAACATATTGGCAATATTTACAACATTTACTAAAGAATAATCTAACATCAGAATTATGACCAGTAAAGATTCAATTAAACATAAGAACAAAGTATTTTATATTTGCAAAAGGGATTATTTTGTTAGGTAGTATTTTCATGGATAGAATACCTCTAAAAAAAATCAAAACCCTACTTAGAGAGTTGGAGAATTAGCTTTGAGCTATTTTAATAGTTAGTTAGAAAATTAAATGATGGATCAAATGGGTTTAATCTGTGCTGTTATAGGACAAGAGTTATTCTCCTCAGTTTTTAGAAAAGCACCCAATTATCATAGGGTAACAACTCAGATATAAGTAAACTTAAGATAAATTTTTTCGGATATTACCTGTTTGGTTGGCGCTTGGCTTCTGTATCAACTTAATATCCTAATCTTTAATATATTAAATGTAAAATCTTGGATCACAATCTTTATTTATTCTCCTTCCGCCTCATACTTCTTCTAAAAAAATTCATCCAATAATGACTATTCTTATTATTTTCTACAAAAAACAATGTAATTTTGTCTTGAACATATCTCATAAAATTAAGCATCTCATTATGTTAACTCTAATTCTTGTTCCATGTTTCTTGTTTTTCGGTGGAATTCTATACACAATAATTTAGAGTGCTGATAGGTAAATTTACAATAGAAGCACTTACTAAAATGAAGGATAATTGTGAGACTTTTAAGGAGTGGCTGCAAAGTATATCAAGGAGGCAACTTAATCTCATTCAAATATACTTACCAGGTAGAGTTACCCTCATTTATCCAAAACATGTGTAAGTAGGATACCTATATTTTTTCACTACAAAATAAGATCCCATCTGAAAATTACATTATAATGTTTCCCAATTTAATATAAACGACTGGTAACTTGCATGAGGAAAATCAAAGGATTTCAAAGTCTCTTTGAGGGATTTTGGTTAAAAGTTGACATAAAGAATAACAGCATTTTGTTATTAGCAACCAAAATGAGATACAAGAGGAAACATTGATCAAAGTTGGAAGATTGTTTATAGGACGTAGTAATAATAATTATCATTAATCTCAAATACACTAATACACTATGTTAGATCACAGATTTATCTGACTTAATTGTTTGGAAATGATTTGAAATTGGTTTGGATGGTAAAATGAAGACGTAATGTCTTTATCGACATCCATAAGTCTACTCAATATATCAGTGTATTTTTATAAAATATTGTCTAACAGATGTGGTGATTTTGTATAGTTAATTCTATTTTGATAATTTGTCCAGAGTATCTAACATCTCCATGATTTCTAGGGGAATATGCAGATTTCTTATTTTTTAACTTTAAGCAAAACTGTCTTGTTACAATGGAATCAGAAAACAATCAGTCTTTTACAGCAAGAAAAGGAATCATAATCGTTTAATAATAAAATCTTCTTTTTAATCATCTTCTACAATCAATTCGTGTGATGTGATGGATTTTAAGAACTGCTGATATGTCACTCAATATTAATTATTGACAAATTTTTCAAGATACTTCAGGTATTAGAGCTTCCTTGATTCACATTAGGATAACGAATTAACTGACTTGCGAAAGATGATGGTCATAACATTGTAGCTTTATATAGGAAGAGTGCAATTTTGTGATGTTAATTTGCATAATTGCACCATTTTTTCATGTTATAATCTTATGCTATGATGGAGATCACTGTGTATAGCATTATTGCTATATGGAGAGTTTAAATATTTAAATTTGGTTTTCTAATGACTCCTGTAAATTTAAATCGATTCTGAAAGAGTATTTTCAGTGTGACATCTCATGCTGTATCAAAATTTATTTTAATTTGAAATTAGAATTAAAATAGTTGAAGTAATGTACATAACAACAAAAGTTAATTAGTTGATATCATCTGAATCAACGTCGGCATTAAATATTAAAGGTATTTTTGGAGCTTTAGAATTTTTTTGACTCAATACAACTCAATAATTTTAAGCTTTTGTCCTCGATTATATGTCGTTATTAACAAATGTGGATACCCTTTAAAAATTTAATGAGAACCTCTCATCCTGTTGACTTCTTAAGAGTCATTAGTAACTTCACCCCATGTAGGATTATAGTAGCTGGTTTCTACTTCAGTGTAAATTTATACATGTTGAGCTTGCCTTTGTAGAAGCCAAAGTTTTTAATTTGGTTGCTCTAATTATACAAGCCTTGTGGACAATTAATCCTGATCAAAGAACAATGTGTATATTATTTGCAGAATCCAGTAAATTAATAGTTTACATACCTCTCTGCAATCGTTAAGTGTAGAGATTCCATATTGGAACTAAACGATCGCCAATCTTATACAATCCTATATAATAAATAGTTTCAGGAACTATGACACTATGTGTATCTGCAGATAAACAAGGTACGAATTGGATGAAAAACATTCCACTCAACCACTCATGATTTTATAATTGAAGCTTACTACAATTTTTTCCTTTGTCAATTAATTTAAACTGTTAGACTGATAAATTATTGCACATGGTTACACTCGAAACATAGTAATCATTAAAAAATGATCATAATTCGTAAATGGCTAAAGCCATTTTATCTAGGTATGAACTTGTGAACATTAAGAAGAGTTATCACTTATTGTATATCTGGATTTATTTATGAGACTTCTCTAAATCATAAAACAACAGATATTAATTCTGTTGTTTCTTCCTTATTGTAAAATAAACAATTGAGTTGCTTGACTAATGTTAATTGTATCCATTTTTGGATAATTACTGAGCTATAGAAAGTAGAA